TTGAACTTGGATTGATTGAACTTGGATTGATTGAACTTGGATTGATTGAACTTGGATTGATTGGACGCTGAATAGAGAGACAGTGATGCATAATAAGTTGGAGTTGGGCGTAGCGAGTGCAGGCCAGAGGGCACTCGGCGGGCACTCAGTGGGCACTCAGTAGGTACTCAGTAGGCACTCAGCAGGCACTCAGCAGGCACTCAGCAGGGCACTCGCAGGCAAGTTGGGCACTCAGCGCAGTCTCAGCACCGCAGTCGCTGAACTTTTTTGGTTCTCGACGCAGACTCACCCACTCACCTACCCACTCGCTCGCTGCAATCCTTACTTCTCATTTCTCGTCTTCCACGTAAGACAGACTGCAATCCACGCCTCGAAGACGCCCGTGGCATAGAAGAACCGGCCAGATGAGCACTTGAGCGGTCAAAATGGGCACTTGAGCCGTCACCCGTCTGCCACCAGCCGTCTATCAGCAGCCTGCCAGCAGTAGGCGGTTTGTCAGGGTCCAACGCATCGCCCACTCTTTCGAACTCGATAACTGCTCGACCTCTTCCTCCTCCTCCTTCCCGCCCTCCTCTCCCGCTGTCAGAGCAGCAAGCCACCCAGTCTGCTAGGGTTTGACATCTGCACGGTGGCCCTTTTCCTCCTTGACCGCTATTCTACCTCGCTCCGCTGTGACCGGGCGCCATGCAGGTGAAGAGAAGATCCAAAGGAAAAAAATGGGGGCCATTCTACCTCCTCCGGGAGGCCCAGCCCGGAGACGAGGAGATAAAGAGACAAGAATCCTTCCAGCAAGATCAGCGATACGCGAAATGGACACGTGGGACTGACGAATACAATGCCCTGAACGCAAGGCTACCCATTTTTGTCGAGGACCAGTTCAGCTGGGACGAAGAGCTGTCTTCGCCAGCTACGCTGCCTGATTCAGCCTCAGGCTCCAACCCGGCAGCCTGCCGTGTCCATCGTTCTTCGGTCGTACTCGCATCCAATAGGACCTACTGAAGCGTCTTGCGGAGCTAGAGAAGGAAGCAACCGCGAAAATCACGAGCGGGGACATCCATTTCGGTTTCGATTCGTCTCATATCAATAAACCGAAGCCAGCTGCGACCCCTGCCGAGAAGCCCCAAAGCCAGGGAGAAGATCGAGACCGAGACCGAGGCCGAGACCGAGACCGTGGAACTGCTCAATGCACCCAACGGTCTAAGCACTGTGTTGCCCATCGCGAGTCACTCTCTGAACTGGCAGGGCAGCTCTGTGACACCTGGTGAGAAACAGACCGAGGAGACCGGAAGCAAGGGAAAATACAATCACCGTAGGGACCTGCGCATCGCCTCCCTCAGCGCCGGCGAGGGGGAGCCTGCTCGAAGAGGGCTACGTGAGCACCCTCTTCCATGTGTTTGTTGGCCAGTGGCCCTGCAAATCCCGAGGCAGGTTTACGCTCCTTCACCGCTGCGCAACGAATTTCCAGTCAGCCAACAAATACAGCCGATGCGATGAGTCTCTTCGGATCCTCGACTGTAGTTCTGAAAAATGTGAAGGATGGCATTGACTCGATGATGTTTCGTGGACTTCTCGCTACAGAGCTCGAGGCTTCGCATATTACATTAAGAAGAAAGGATACAAGAGAATCGGGATATTGTCCACGAGCACTCCGGCCTTCCTCGAGGCTATCTTCGGCATGGGGGGGGGGGGGGGGGGGCTGGACGGCCTCGATAGCCTGTGCAGGATCACGAACCCGGCAAACTTGTACATCCCGCCGCCGCCGCCCCCAGCGTACCCAGATTGCGTCCCCGTCCGCCGCCAGACACCTCCCGCCCCCGCAATCACCATAGCCAGCGTCGTCTGATCCTTTCGACGGGTGAGAGAAAGTCCATCTTTGATAGGTTTCAGCTAACAGGTGCAGCAGTAAGAACCACCGACACCTGTCATTGCAGACATCGACCATATCGTCCCACTCCGAGCCCTCCGTCAATCCGCCATCGCCACCGGAATAGCAGCACCCACATTTCGAGTGGCTCCATCCAGCCTCGGTCTCGCCGCCTGCTGTTCGTCCCACGAGCATTGGGTCTGACGGCGACCATTTCCTTCCCCAGTTTTGACAATGGTTATACTGTTTTGGGACTCCAAGGGGATCCAACAAGGTGGAACATGACAAACAAGAGAACCAAAAGGGTGTGACAAGAGACAGGACCGGCGTTTTGCATGGACCATGCTTGTGTGTGTGTTCTTCTGCCGTGCAGCAGGATCGTGGGAGCACGGTATGCTCGAGTGTTTGTTGGATGGGGTTGATTGTGGGATTGACACACTTGTTGTCGTTGGGAACAAGTTGCACACACCCGGAGTTCACACACTCACTGCCTTGTTGCATCTCTGCTGCATCTCGTCTGTCTTGCTCGCGCATCTTGCGTTGTCACAAGCTTGCCAAGCCGACCTCGTCGTCGATCCAGCAGCATGGTCGACGGCGAGGTCGGCTTGGCTTGACGTCAGTATGCAGTAGATATGCAAGATACGCGAGAGATACGCGAGACAGATAAGCGAATGCAAGATTCGCCGGACGGAGATTCAGAAATCCAAAATCCAAAACATCCGCAACGCAAAAACCAAGTCAGTGCGCAAGTGGTGCAAACTTGGATTGTGTGTGTGTGTGTGTGTGTGTGTGTGTGGCGCAGACAACAAGTTGAAGTGGCTGCCGAGTGCGCTGGACTGCCCTCGAGTGTGAAGCTTTTTGGCCTTTTGTCCCAACACCAACTTTTTGTCCACTTTGTTTCCAACTGTCGACCCAAAAGTCACCTTTCCGTGCTCCAGAAGTGTGTTTGATGGCCAAACCTTTGGACTTTCGCAACTTTTGGACTTTGTTGCGCGATCAGCTGGTTTTGATCGGGAGATATGGCGTCCCAGCAGAGGCGCCAGTCGTCGGGCAATCTGCCGTCGTCGAGAATCTGCGGAACGCGCTGGCGGATGATCTCTCTGGATTCGTGCTTGAGCGATTCCGAGACCGAATGTTGATCAGGTGCACACACAACAAACAAAGAGTGACGGAATCCCTCTCCCACTTCTCCGCTCTCTGGTGTGTGTCGGTATCTGCGTCTGCGTGTGTGTCTGGTCTGCTCGTTGAGGATGTCGTTGATGGAAGTCTCGGTGACTCGGTGATCCGCTCGCTGGCCCATTCACTCCACCTTTTCTCTCGATGTTCTCTTGCATCCCGGGTGACGGGTGCTTTGCAAGATCTGCCTTTCCCAAATCCGTGGGACACCAGTTTCTCGAATACGCCGCTCGGTCCGCGCGACAGACTTGAACCTGGTTTGTTCGCCCCCTGTAGGTATTCATAACCGTTGACTCTTAGCAGACCACTTGCCGAGCTAGGGCTACCGTGGTCACGACTGCTTTGGCTTCTTTGGAACTCTTCTTCTTGTTCGATTTCTGCAATCGCATTGAGGAATTGGTAGCGGCCCTCATAACCTAGGCTGATGGTTAGCTTGGTGAGAAATGTCACAGGTGCCGAACTAGAGTCGAATCTTCCCGGGGAATTGCTCACTGCGTCATGACCGACGAATGACTCTTGGCGTGTTCCAACAGAAGATTCGATAGTCGATGTCAACTAAGTGCCTGACGAGCGAGGCGCAAGGCATTCTTGTTCTTGCCCTGGGTACATCGAAGAGAAAGGTGAGAAGGAAAAAAAAAGAGCTAAGGACGTTGAAGTGTACAATCCAGCGGGTGCACGGAAGATGTTGGAACTTCTCCAGCAATGTCCCTCTCGCCTGGAAGCGCCGTGTAGACGTTCTCGCTATGCTGGCTGGAAACATGTGCCTTTTTCGTTTCCCTCTGGTCCATGACGTGCTCTTCGCGTGTCTGACGCCTTTGGACGACCTCATCGCGTCTGGGAAAACTTTGGCGGCTCAGTCCAACATGACCTTCGTTGGGCGTATTGAAGTGGCACTGATTGGACGGCGGAAGGTCTTGAAATGGTATGTGTGAGAGCGGCACGGATTCAGGTCGTTCGGAGCCGTAAGTCGAACTCCAATATGAATCGATCAGCGCTCCTTCTGGCTCGGTTACCGTGATTCGAGGCATAGGCTGCTCGGGCGTGATGATGGCGACGCGGAAGTGCCGCCTCGCGAGGCCATTTGCTGAAGAGAGCAATTCTTATCAAAATTCGATTCCGCAGAAGCCTGCTCTTCGCTCAAATACCGGAGCGCAAATCGCTTTAAATTCACCGGAAACGGATTCAGTTTTATTGCCCAAGTCCTCGATCTCGCCGAAGCTTCTCCAGTGACACGGATTGCTGTTTGAACCATTCGATCTCTTCTACCATTGCTTCAACGTGCTTGCCTGATTTGCATCAGGAAATCAACTTCAACTGGTGCTCTGATCAAAGGAGAAGTGCAATTTTCTCAGGACATCGAGACGTGGACTCGGTGCAGCAGAAGTCGCATGGGGAATTCAGTTGAACGAGAGTGAGGGGACGGTTTTCTCGAGGCGCAGGCAGATTCGATCGCGGAGGGTCAGGACGGCTTCAGGACGGGGGGCTTAAACGCTGAAATCGATGGAGGCCGGGCTGAACTGATAGCATATCCATGGGACCTTGCTTTGAGCTCAGACTAGCGATTCGAGCGAGGAATTGGTCGACGGACTCGGAGCCATCATTCGACGCGTCCATGTTGACTCTTCTGCAAGCGGTTGAGTCTCCAATCGGCAACAATCCGTGCTAAAGGGTGAAGATGATGCCGCACTCTGCATTGAGATTGACGAAAAAGAAAGAATGGCCACCCGCTAGAGTGTGCAAAAGATAAGCGAGCAAGCGAGCGAAGGCGAAATGAAGGTGTTGCAGGCAAGCGACAGGCAAGAATGGTCCGGTGAGTTCATTTCGGTACGCAACACTCCCCCACCAGTACGCTCGTTCAGTCCCCCGTGTTACACGCCGATGCATCGACGCATTCAATAACACGACCGGCGGAGGATACGGCAAACCTCCAGGTTCCGGTAGCCAACGGCGGTGCCGCGCCCACCCCTAGCCCCTCGAACCCACGACGCCAAATTCGGGCGCAGCTGCGCCTGAGGAGCCTGCAAAGAAGGGCAAAATGGCGCACCGTCTGAACCGAATGTTTTCTCGGTCCGACCCCAGAGACGCCGAGGCCGCCAAAGCTGCAGTTGAAGCTCGGCTCCCTCCAGTCCGGCCAGATGGAATTGAGGAAGATAACACAATGTCCTCCGAAATTCTGGCAGGGCCGATGAGCTCCAATATAGCCCGTAGATGTTTATTCCACCGGCCGAGAGGGAAGAGATGCTAGTTGGTCTGGGATCTCCAACAGTTCGCCATGCTAACCCGACGACCAAAAGGCCCTTCTGAACGCCATTTGGGGCGGACCGCGGCTGCCGAAGAAATCCAACCTGGAAGAGTGTGTCGCGGTAGGAGCAGTCTGGAGTCTGGACCAGGACCACAGATGGAGCCGGTGAATATCCGTTGAGAGATCTCCCCGTGACTGCTGGGAGAATATCATAGATTCTGGCATGAAATCACAAAGAGTCTCTACAGCGCCGTGGCCGCCCAGCTGCAAGCCAACCCGCCAAAGCCCTCTTCGATTGATCCGAGGATTAAGAAGACTGCTTGTTCCTGGACGTGTTTGTGCCAAAATCTGTTTTTGACAAGGCACAGAACAAGACCAGTGGATACAAGGGTGCTCCGGTACTTGTCTGGTGAGTTGAGTTTTGCTCTTGGAATGTGTTTGTGTCGCAGTGACGGCGGGTCGGCGGACACGGGGATGTATTTCGGAACGAGAGTCTCCTCTTCTCACCTCTTGTCCTCTTCGACCCGGCCGTGATCACCACAATGTCACATTCGCCGGCCTCCTTGACCGTTCCGGCCCGAACACGGGTGGTGCTGTCCTCGGCGCAGCACGCACCTGGCCGTCTCTTTCTTCTCGGGCTTCACGTCGACCAGCAGCAGCTCGCTGTAAAGGGAGCCTCGCAGGAGGGCATGCGCCGTGGCGGCGCCCACCTCTCCGGCTCTGACAATGGCAACCCGAGCAGTCATCTTGTAGTTTTGGTTAGTTTTTTTTGTCTTTTTTTCGAGAATGTATCAGTGCCGTCATCCTCTGCGTGAGGCGGCCGGCCCAGGCGGTTTTGTAGATCTTGCGAAATACATATGCATTGGAAAAAGGTGGTCTGTCGGTGGCGTGAGGCTTGAAGCAGGGAAAGGACGCTATGGACGAGGGTATGGAGAGGTTTGGCAGCGATACGGCTTTTTAAGGAAGCTAGGACATGAAGAAATTGTTGGATCCGTCTTCTTCCACACCTGAAGCTCCCTCTCTGTCCAAGATCAGAGCATAATCTGGAGGACGGAAAGAAGAAGGGTTCCACTAACCTGCTGGTTGGAATTGTCAGAAGGCCAAAGGCCACCGGACAGGCTGCTTGTACCGCCAAAGGAATTTTATACTGCCGCTGATCGTTGATCTTCTCGCTCGCCCACACGATGGTGGTCCTGCTGCGCCTGTTTGCGCAATGACCCTTCCTCGTATTACAAGGACTTGACAATCCCCAAGCCTTTGGTGTCCCGGGAGCGCAAGAGAATGCAAAAAGGATCGCTGACTCGGCCTCGCAACCTCAACAAGTCCAGGACTAGACTTGCCAATAGCTCCGAACCCGATCTGAAGAGCGCTGCCTACGCTGCGCTTGGACTGCATCCGAATGTTGTTGGACTGATATGCGAGCGGAAAGGGTGGCTCAGCCTCATGCAGTCCTCAGCCTCTCTCTGAGCATCTCGTATCGAATGGAGGTTAAGAACCGCAAAAAGGGAAAAAAGTCGAGAGTGCCAACGTCCGGAGGTTTGTATTGGCACATGTGATCCGCAAACAGGGACAATCATGAGCCACGCGTTCTTCAAGTTCTCTTGCTCTCTCACTCTCTTGTAAATCTCCAAACTTGTAATAATTACTGCAGTCCTGGCCTGGTTGGTAGCCTGCAACGTCTTGTCTCTTGAGGTCCTTTGGCCGAAGCTGGTAGCGTTGGTGGCCTCCTCTGTCCTGCTAGATCCCAACAACTTGTCTCTTGGGGTCCTTTAGCCCAAGCTGGTAGTGTTGGCGGCCTCCTCTGTCCTGCTAGATCCCAACGTCTTGTCTCTGGAGTCCTGGCCTGGTTGGCAGCCTCCAACGTCTTGTCTCTGGGGTCCTTTAGTCAAAGCTGACAGCGTTGGACGGCTAGAGATACCGAGAGCGCGTCGCATTTGTACTTGAAGCACATCTCGTCGTGAGATGAAGAGAGGTCGGAGATGTGTGATGTGTTTGATCGGGTGACTGTCGAGGAAGGGGTTGCTGTTTCTGAGAGGAACGTCGATAAGGACACTTGAACTTAGTATAGTGAAGTGGTGACAGGTGAAGACGTGTGAGAGGAGCGCTCGACAGCTGGCTCAACCCTCCTACAGAAGGCCGTGTGTAGCTGGAGTTCGAAATGCTGGCGTTGGCGCTGAACGTAAGGCACTGAAGCCGACTGGAAAATTAGTTGAGGGACCGATTACTAAAGGACCCCCTTTCTATCTTGCATTCTTGAGACGCCTCCCTTTCCGCATCTCTCCCTATATTAGGGCTACCCCCTGAAACTTTTCATTTCCACTATCAGCCTTCCCGACCGCGACAGCTACTACGGCGTGTACTATGCCGTAAGCCAAGTGATTAAGGGCTTTGTGCCATGAAGTGGTATTGATGATGGCGTGCATCGGTTCGTCTTGCCTTTTGGCAGCACGAGAGGCTTTTCGTTTCAAACTGGGCGATCGTAGGGTTGACACTATAAAGTAGATGATGGTGGTACGATCACAACACTACGAGATATTGATTCCTATCTTAATGATTCCGACTTAATAAGGAGTAGATAAAGAAAGGGAGAAGGAATATAGTAGTGATATCGTATACTAGTGAGGAATGGAATAAGCTCTATAAGATAAGGGGAGATAATATCTATATATCCTTCTACGATAGTGCCGAGAACTGACGACCGTAGCGTCGCGCTTAGGCTAAAGGGGTGTATGAAAAGTTTTCCTTGAAGTCGCACCCGACATAGTGGTAGCCTTATAGTTTTGTTAAATCGTAACACTGTCTGTGCCTTATAAGTGGTGTTAGGATCCGGAGCTGAGTAGAGGAGAGAGAGTGTGTCTGTGCGTGAGGGAGGGATGGTGTGTCTGTCCATGCCATGTAATTCCTCGCCCGTTGCCCCCTCTGTCGTTCGTCGTTGGTGCCCATGCATCTCTGTACTCTGTATGTATTTCCTGCGCTTTTGCCATGTAGCTGTGCTTGCTAGCTACGCCCACATAGGACTAGGGACTGTGGACGCGGAGGTGGACGCGGAGATGAACGGGGATGTGGACGGGGTCGTGCATGCTTTGTTCCTGTGCACGCTGTTGTTCCCGTGTATTCTTTGTGCCCGCGGTGGTCTTCCTGCGGTGGTCTTTTCGCTCGCTCATGGCGCTATGACTTGGTCGTCTTCAGGACAGTAGGAGGAGGAGTATCGTAACAGCGGGAGCCTGGCTCAACAGTCAGCAACATGGCCCTTGCATGGAGCGACGAACAGGAAATACATGATGGCGGCGTTGTAGAGACAGGCTCACCGACAACTGAACAAGGCAACAGGTCGGAGAACGCCAAAGAGACAGCGAAGGAATCTGGGCGCAGGGCAAGGGAAGGGAGTTGAAGATGGCTCCGACTTGAAAAACACACCGGTGCTTCAGTCTTGGTCTTAGGTGCTCTCTCGTGGCAGTGTTGGCCCTTGGGCTTAGCAGCGGCTGTGGCGGCCTTGTTTGTGCCTATGGTGGTCTTTTGCTTGCTCATGGTGTTCTGCATCAGTGATAGCTCTACCAGAGGCAAGGTAAGGACGGCTTCTCGCTCAGTATATCGGTTGCCGGCAGTCGAGATCTCGGTCGCCTCGCCTCGACCTAGATCGGAGAATTGTTCAGTGCCTGCCGTGACTCGCCCAGCTCCTGTGACTTCATCAACTGCGTGAGCCTTCGCTTGGTCTTGGTCTTAGTCTTGGTCTTAGTCTTGGCCTTGGGTACTCTCGTGGCGGTGTTGAGGTACCACCAATCCAATCTGGGTCAGGTTCAGCGCAGCGAGCGTTTGGAAGTTGTCGGAGTAGAAAGAAGCCTATGGACCTAGCCACGTTGGAGAGAGAGAGGGTATGACGATCTTGCTGGCGTTTCGGAAAGTCAAGTTGGCAGCATCCTGGAGATTAAGGAGATGGACAGGGGGTTTCCCTCCGCTAGCACTGTAAGGGAGAGGCAATGCCTGCGCTGCATCTGAGAAGGTCGTCGTAAAGCACAACGTGACTGAACTCATCCAAGTTCGTCTCGCCACAAGATGGCCTGCGTTGCATCTGACGAGGCGGTCGTCGTAAAGCACAACGCGACTGAACTGGTAGTGTCCTGGGACCATTGGTGGCAACCATTCTGTATCATCATAGTGACACCCCCCCTAGCGACCCCTGACATGGTCGGGACTTTGCAACTCACAGAGCCTTAACCGTCGTCGTCATCGACCAGGTCATCGCCGTCGTTCCAGAAGATCTCGTCGTTTACCATGCTGTTCATCATATCCTCCTCAGCGATCACGTCTCCTATATTGCCATGCCCGAAGCCGGTATGCGCAGTCAAGTACTTCTTGTCAGACATTGAGGGAAGGGTCTAGAACATCATATCGGCACCGATCGAGTTGTTGCTGGAGGAATCCGTGGAAGAGCCATACATACTTACGCTCGGAAATTGGGCTCCTGTATATGCGCGTGGCATGGTGTTCATAGGCAGAGTAAAGCAGGGCAAGCGAGGGCAGGTCGCTTTCCGCTGCAACGGCAATTGCTGTTGCTGTTGCTGGCGCTGGCGCTGGTGTTGTTACCGCCGATATTGTTGCACATTCACATGATTCGCGAGTATGATATGCGAAGATAGGCGAGCTGCAAGATAAGCGAGATGCAAGATAAGCGAGATGCAAGATAAGCGAGATGCAAGATACGCGAGATAGTTCAACAAGTCAGTGAGTGTGTGAACTCGGGTTGTGTGCATGCAACATTTTTCCCCAAAGACAAAAAAAAGTTGGCCAAACAAACTCGAGGGACTATGCGTAGCGGACATGGACGTGCACGTGCATGCTGTGTAGGCTGTGCAGACTGCGCTTGTAAGCTGCGCTACCTGCTGACTGCAGTGTTTGCTGTCCAGCTGTTCGTTCCTGGGCTTGCTGTGCAGCCATTGTTCCTGTGCATCTATGTTTGCTGTCCAGCTATACATAATGCTTTACCAGCTGAGTTGAGGCACAAGGACAACCTCCTCCACTTCATCACCCTTCGCCTTCCGCTCCGAGTTCGCAGAATCACGCCGAGAAGGAGAAGGAGAAGGAGATACTATTTCTGCCCTGCTCCGAGGTGCGTCGCTTTGCCACTTTGATCTGCCATAGACCCTCACTTCTACTCCAGTTGTCGGTGGAAGCAGCCTAATCAATGGCATGATATGGAATCGAGGCATTCAGAACGATTTCGACATCTGGGTGGCACTGGATGGCACTGGATGGCACTGGAGAATCCAGCCTGGGTTAGTATCGATCGCATCTTCAATTCGGTGCGAAAGGAAGGGGGGGACTCGAGCTGTGCCATGAAGATGAAGCACTATACGCCTGCTGTACGCTGTCCTCAAGAACCACATCATCGACACACCTGAGTGCGAGCAATAGCACCCGTGCCGGCGCCATCGGAATCCTTGTAGTCAAGAAAAGCCGTGACGAAACGCTGTACTCAAGAACCACATCATGACGACGCCTCGGTGTCAGCAGCAGCAGCCTTTGCAGTTCTAGCGCCATCAGAAGCCGTCCTGGCAGTCAAGAAAAGCCGTAACGGGGCGCTGTCCTCAAGAACCACATCATAGTGGGAGCAACAGCCCTGCCGCAACGAAGACGAAGCCATGCACGCCGTCATGAACGTCTATATCATCGACACACTCCGGTGCGAGAAATAGCCCTACCGCAACGAAGACGAACTGACGACGCCGTCACGAATGTGGAAGTGCCGGCATTCGACGTCGCCCTTGGAATCTGGCGAGCCAGAACGTGGAAGGAAGTGATGGGAGTCATTCGGGCTCGAACCCCAGAAGACAGACATTCGAAGACATCAATCCCGACCCCCTTCATCGCCGAGTAGTTGCGGTGACTCTACGGGCGTCATCGATACCGCTTCATGGGACAGTACCAATCCTGCGATGGTCCAGTTGGGCACTAGGCGGGCCAAAGGGCACTCGGCGAGCACGCAGCGGGCAGTCAGCAGGCAGTCAGCGGGCAAGTTGGGCACTCAGCAATGCACGGATGGGCGGATGGAGGATGGATAGATGAGATGTAGTTCAAACTGGACTGTGCCAACCGCTGCGTGTCTTGACACTTGCACCCTTGCGAATCTCCCATCTTACGAATCTCCAAACCCAGGAAAAAGTTCAAGTTCTGGGGGTGCCTGTCGAGTGCCTGTGAGTGCCCAAAGTGCCCAAAGTTGAAGCTCTGGGAGTGCCCTCTGCCCTCTACCCTCTACCTCTATCCTCTACCCTCTACCCTCTAGCCTCCTTCGTGCTCTCTGGTCTGCGCTGGACTGCCTGCACCGAGACCGAGTGCCCAATTTCCCAGCACTCGCTGCAGTGACTGCGCCCCACCACAACAATAATGAGACACACCCCCTCCCGACCAATCAGAACCCCACGCTTTCCGTCCCAAAACCACTTCTTTTCCACTTGTCCAGTCGTCGACCAAAAAACTGCTTTTCGTCGCTCCGCGAGTTTGTTTAGACGACAACTTTTTAGTCTTTGGGCAAAAAAACTACTTTTCGTGCTCCTCGAGTGAGTTGGATGCACAAACTTGTTGGCTTTTCGTCCAAACACCACTTTTGTTCCACTGTTGATCCAAAACACCGCTTTTACTTGCTCCTCGAGTAGGTTTGCGAGCGACTAAGTTTGGAGAGTAAGTTTATAAGAGAACGAGAGTAGGTTTACAGGTTTACTAAGTGAGTAAGATTGGGGAGTAAGTTTACAAGACAGAGAGTAGGTATGTGGGTTTACAAACATCAGATCCCCCTGACAAGTCTAACATTGCTGAACCCCTCCTGCTTGCGCCTTCGCTTGGACGAGATCCTTGGTCTTGGTCTTGGTCTTGGTCTTGGTCTTGGTCTTGGTCTTGGTCTTGGGTGCTGTAATGGCTGTTGAGGTTCGGCCGGCCAAAAGATCCGGGACGCATACTGTTCCCGTTCCGTTTACAAAGACATCTTGACGCCATTGATTCTGGCTGGTTGTCCGTTTAGTCCGCCTCGAGGTAACGTCGATTATGTCGAAATTGTCTGGGTCAATCGGGGGTATCGGAGGGCCCCGTAGCTGTATCGGATTAAAGTAATCGTCGTCGTCATCATCATCATCATCATCGCCAAAGTCCTGATGGCGATTATGCGATGTTCGTCGACCTGGGCGACTTCTCATTGCCATCTCTTGTTACTTCAGGTGTAGTTCCTTTGTATAACTCTTCAGGGGTCCGCGATAGGTGTTGTTGACTGGAGGATCGCGGACCCCGAACAGTAGGTTGGAGGAGAATGTTGGTGGTAAAAGATATCTGCTGAATCCGCCGTGGGAGAAAGTCAGCTTTAGTAAAGGAGAGGCTGAATTGCAACGGCGCCCACTTATAATGTAATATTGGCCATCATAGTAGTCATCTTGATAGCCTTGGTGACCTTCGTAGTAACCACCTTCGTAGTAACCAGGGATTTGAAGCATCGGCATTGTAGTAGCCCCTGCTTGTGTCAGTGCGCTGGCAGAAAGAAATGAGATGAGTATTCCTTACGATTCATCATAATAGCCTTCGCCTCCATGTTGGGAGGTCCGCGGTCCCGTTGTTGTTGATCGGAGGAGGACCGCGGACCCCTAAAGATATAGGTCGTAAGATAATTTTGGTGATAAAAGAGATCTGCTGAGTCCGCAGTGGGATGAAGTCAGCTTTGGTGATGGAGAAGCTGGGATTGCAACAGCACCACACCCACCTTGGTTCCCGTGGCGGGTAACTGTTCGGGGGCACGCGGTCAGGGGCCCAAACAATAAAATCGTAAGAAAATGTCGGTGGTAAATGGAAGATTGAATAATCTGCTGAGTCCGCCCGCAGTGGGATCAAGTCAGCGTTAGTGACGGAGAAGCTGGATGGTAACAGCACCCACCTGTATTGAAACATTGATGAAAATAAAAGAGGATATTGTCATCCACCAAACTCTCTCAATGCTTTTTGCTGAGGTGATGACCGTCGTCCCTACCGCCAGCTGTGTTGTTTGTTGATGGTTGTTGCTTTGGTGATACAGCCGGCGGTAGGGATGACGGAGCGGCTCTCTGCCGCGAGAGTAAAACGCGGAAATGCAAACGCGTTGCTGGAGGAAATGAAGTGGAGGATGGAAGAAGGGAATGAAAGAAGAGAAGAAAGAATGGAAGTGGAAGTGTGGAAAGAAAAGAGGGCAACGACAGACTGTTTTTGGGGGAGGGAGGTAGGTGGGTGGGTCAGGAGAGAAGGATGCTACTGACGTTGCACGCCTATCCCACGCCAGCTGACCGGCGGTCGCGATCTCCTAGCGATACACGCAGGTTACGCTGTGCTTCCCAAACTTCCATCACTGCATCAACGATGGTTCCTGTTTGAGGCATTCGATCCCGCAAGGATGTTTCGCGACCCTCGAGAGGTCACTCCGATCTGCCACAGGCCAGCAAACCCAGCAGGGGGACACAGACCATCTAGCAAACCATCGTGCCACGCCTCAGAATCTTCCACCCAGCCGTTACCTTTTCTCCCATCTCAACCGGCAATTGCAAGCCTCTGGTCCTTCATCTCTTCATGCCGACACCGTGTCAAATTGCTTCTGCAACAAGCGTGTCGACACGCCATCAAAAGCCTCCCAAGCATACTGTTGTACCCCCCATGTCAATCCAAATGCTGTGCAGAAAATGCTCCGCTTCATGAGTTCATGTGCGATCGTCTGAGTTGGAGATCGCCGCACCATTCCAACACCTCCACCGAGACCGCCGGTTCTTTGCAACTTCCCGTCGACTAACCATCCAGCCGTGGCACTCCTGGTCGACAGACTCCGGCCTCGATCTCTCGAGACTCTCATATACCACCACGCATTCAGCCTCGGCCATAAGATCTGCCGTTCCCGAACTACAAAATCGGGGGAGTATACAACTACTACTCGTACGTCATGTTTGACAATGTCTTCTAGAAGGCCATTGCGAGTTAAGTCAATCGGTGGCGCAAGAAAGAGTTGGGTTTGAGGAGCACCAATTTGGACATATGCTCCGTCGTGCGGCAGGCCAAGGAGGTAACTGAGCTTTAGCTCTCGATCTGCCCTGGGTTTGAGGTGGCGTTCTGAAGAAGATCTGCTTTCTGAACCTGCTCTTCTTTCTGCCCGCCAGCCTGTCTTACGTGGACTGCGGGTAATAAGAAGCCAGGATTCCGCCGATAGTTGCTCGCGTTCCATTCTAGATTTTCGCGTCTGATCACTTTTGTTGCGATTCCTTCTCTCTTGTACACGTTCGTTTCTTTCAGCGCGTGTTGGCTTTTATAAGAGGAGTTCAAAATGGTTTAGATCGCGATCCAGGAGAGTTCTAGACGAGCGTGCACGACCGACGAGTCTGGTTGCTCTCCTGTTCACACACTCATCTGGTACACAACATGTATGGGTGTTCACCGAGAATGGCAAATTGATCTATATGAAACCCCCAGTGCCCTCGTCGTTATCGGGAAAGAGACGCTGCCAGCCACCGCCCGTGTCTAAGATCTCCAGGACGAGCGATTCCTATCGCCTCGACACCTCTTATTTGAACTTTCCACCAAAGGTTCGTGGTCTCAAAAGGGGTCCACGCTCGAACATGTCCGACGGTCGTCCCTGTATAGTGATGGAAAGTGAATAGACAAGCTAATGAGTATGATACTGCGAACTCTGAGCGGAAGGCGAGGGGCGATGAAGTGGAGCAGGTTGTCCTTGTGCCTCAGCTGCGCAGCTGGTAAAGCATTATGCATAGCTGGACAGCAAACACAGATGCACAGGAACGAACAGCTGTATGGCAAGCACAGCTGCACAGGATCGACAGCTCGACAGCTCAACAGCTCAACAGCAAACAAAGCTGGACATGAACAACAGCTGGACAGCAAACACCGCAGTTTAGAAGCGCAGTCTGCCTGCGCAGCCTGCACAGAATGCACGTGGACGTCTGGGTACAGCCTCCTTTCCTTCTCTCCTTTCTTCCCACACTTTCATTTTGTCTTTTCTCTCTCCACTTCCATCATTCCTTTCCTCCAAGGTAGCCTGCCAGGCGTTTGACTTTCGGGGCAGAGAAGAGTCGTCTGTGTGGCCTACTGTCGTCTTCCTGACACGGGTGTATACCATATACACAACTCTATACCTCCTTTTATCATCTTTTAATATTGCATTGCAGGTGGGTGCTGTTCCAGTCTACGCCTTGCAGCCCTCCTTCACATCGTGCAATGTGCTGACCTTTTTGCTTGCCTACAGCACATTGCTGATATTAGAACACAATGACTTTCTCAAAATTCATCCTTCCTACCATCGCCCTGCGAGCTCGGTGTTGGCAGCTCCTCGCCGACATCAGAAACCATGACCTTCGCAAGATTCATCCTTCCTACCATCACCCTGGCGAGCTCGGTGTTGGATACGTCCACACCATGACCTTGTCGAACACCATCCTTCCCACCCTCGCCCAGCGAGAGCTTCGGTGAACTGGCGTTGATGCACAATGCTCGTCGAGCTACGACCGTGGTGAGCTCGTCCAAAGGAGGCTTACTCTGGGCATTGGACCGTGCCATGTTCCGGCGAATTCTCATGAACAATGGAGGTGCCTTTGCTCTCATCCCTCAAACCTTATGAGAGGTCCAACATCGCCGATGCCTTGGAGACGGTCAAACATGAGCCAGGTCAGAACATCACCGAGGGAGAGCCCTCGTACTGGCGAGCTCGGTGTTGGCCCCAAGTATGTCCTCACCATGACTTTATCCACAATCATCCTTCCAACACTCGCCCTGGCAAGCTCGATGTTGAGTACGTCCACCCCAAGACGAAGACTGAAGCACCGGTCGGTACGTGGTTCAAGTCGGAGTCGTTGCTCCTTAAAAATCGTGTTGCTGACTATCGAGCCAGGCCCCCACCGTCACTGCTACCCCTGCACCTGAAGAAGATCAAGTGAAGGCCGGGAGCAAGCACAAGCCCACCACAGGAACAAAGAAGGCAGCCTCCAAGAATGTCGCCGCCGCCGCTAAACCCAAGGCCAACACCGTCACAATGGAGCACCCATGACCAAGACCAAGGCCCCCGCTGTCATTGACACCCCTCCTCCTGAAGAAGACCAAGTCAGGGCACCATGAGCAAGCAAAAGACTACCACAAGCACAAAGAAGGCCACCCCCAAGAAGGCAACGACGGAAATGGATTCACGACAAGATAGTCGAGGCCAATCTGCTCCACCTGTTCGTCAAGAGCAATTGTGACGATGAAGACCTGATCCTGCCCAACACCCTCGAAGTCAAGACTACGTCCGCCGACTATATCGGCTAGGATCCCGAGGTGGCGGCCAAAGATTTCCGCCGCCGCATCCGGAACCACGAGAAAGTGTCCCAGGCGGTCGACGAGTCAGAAAAGCATCTCACCTACGTGAACCTCATGGCCTCGATGAGCAAGCACGGGCTTTTCAGCCGGTTTCTCCTTGGCTTGATGGTGTGTGATCACGACTCCACCTGGGTCGTCGTTGTCCGCAGCGACATCGGCTGTTACAACATCTTCAGCGACATTGCCTGCCGTGACATTGTTTGCAGGCATGGCTGCAGCGACGCCATCCACGGGAATGGCATCTCCCCAACACAGAATGGGTCAACAGGAAGCACAAGGCAGTGGACAAAATACTCTGGCACCTGGCACCTGGCATTCCCGGTCACCCGATCCGGCAACCTTCTGGTCACATGCAACAAAATCAAGGTCATGGGCAGCTACTGGGATGGCGGCTGAGATAGCTGCTGAGTCGTATCGAGCCAGCACCAAACCCGACAAAGTCGCTCCAATGGCGTTCCTCGATGGCATGCGCGGGCTTGCTCGTAAGCTCGACAAAAATGTCTTGCTTGGTGGATTTGCAGCGGTCGGCTGGATGAGAAGAAGGGAGGGGTTTGCGAGAGTGGACGCTGAAAAGTACAAAAGGAGTTGGGATGGCATCGAGGTCGAAGGCGAGTTCAACCTCCGTAGACAATAATCCGCTCATCCGCCTCAACATACCTGTCTTCTACCTCCAGCAGATACTATAACCAACCTGTTTGTACGCATATTGAAATCTCAATCCAACTCTCCTGCACCCAAAAACATGGCGCACTTCATTGTTGCTGGTGCCCTCCTTATCTCAACAGCCTTGTCGCCAAGCACTGTTAAGACCACCATGGTAACCCGCACACAAAACAATCACACACAACACAATAAGGGCTGATGATTGAGCGAAAAAAGAAAAAAGAAAAAAGAATGAATGGTATTTACAGAGGTAGGTCCGACTACGTCGATCACCCTCTCTGAGGGAACCCATTAACCACCTAAGCCAGAGTCCCGAAGAACCGCTAATTGAACCACCGCCACAAGTGACTGTGGAGAGTCCCGAAGAACCGCTTTTGATGCGAAGGCTTGGGTAAAGGAATTGGACCTTTCCACTAGGCTAATGTACCCACCAGGGCAGGCGACAGGAATTGTGCCAAAGAAATATATATATACATTATATTCTCAGCCTCCACTTGTCATGTGACCGCGGTCAGTCACATCTGTCACCTCACCTATGGCACTTTTGATATCGCCCATTCTTAATATTCCTGTCTTGGCGTCTCAAGCGATGCCTATGGAGAAACTGGAGGCCGGTGAACAGCAGGGGCAGTGAGGCTTCAATCTCAAATTTTGGTCTCATGACTGAAGCTCCGTGCCTTACTGCACTGTCCTCCGGATGGATGCACATTGTATATCAGCAACAGCAGGAAGGAGATAATGCCGAACGCGAACTGACAGCTCTCCTTCTGTCGCGCCCCTATGAAGAACAACATCAACTGCAAGATGTCAGATTCATGGATGATGGCTCCGTCAATGGGGGAAGCGCAAGTCTAGAGATTTCCCGACCCCAGGTTCACACTCCCAGTGTCCGCCCTCAAGTCATTACCGCCGATCCCTCCAGGCCGTCCTCGGCCCATGCCCTGGACCCCTGCCTCCCTCGCAAAGATAGCAGCACAACAAACAATATCGTGACCGCGAAAAAGGAGTAAGCTAGTTCCGCGAGCGACGATCGTCTCTTCTCGCCCAGATTTGGTCTCTTCAGACTTTCCACAGCCAGCCTTTCCTTTAATGAGGAGCTTCCCAACGAGATCGGCAGTGCCTGTGGCAACACCACCCAAGACAACCGAACCAAGACCCAAGCCACCAGCAAAAGAACATTGAAGCGAGAGAAGAAAAGATCTTGCTCTGGGGAGCCATAAACGACGGGGGTGAGCTTGTTGGATCGCAGCCTCCTGGTCCTCCTTCTACCGCTGAGCAGCATCATTCGCCAAAGCGTCATCTGGGATTGGAGCGCCTAGTAAAGGCTGATTTGAAAGAAGAATCGTTCTGATTAGGTGCAGAGTGCCAGAGGGAGTGCTGAGTGAAAAGATTTGACATTCTGAAAGTGGTTTCCGGCGGGCGCAGCGTGCTGGGACTGAATGCTGGGTGCCAGAGTGCCAGGGAGTGCCCTCTGGCCTGCTCAGTGCCCTTCTTGTCTGCGCTGGACTGCCTTCTCCCTCTGCCTTCTGGCCTGCGAGTGTCGACTGGGACTGCCTTCTGCCCCTTTTGACTTTTCGACTCCAACTCCAACTTTTGTCCAACTTTTGCCCATCTGTCGACCCAAAGTGTGTTTGATGGTCCAACCTTTTGCCTCTGCGTCCCAAACACCAATTTTTGGGCAACTTCGGTCCAGCCGTCGACCCAAAAACACATAAACACACTTTCCTTGCTCCTCGAGCGTGTTTGGGTGTTTGATTGACAACCTTTTGGGCTTTGTCCACCTTTTTTTGGCTTTGGCAACTTTGGACTTCTGCAACTTTTTGGCTTTTGGGGGAAAAGTTGTAGCTATTCTACCGCCCTCCAGAAGTATGATCTTTTCTCTCGTGGTGAGCTCGAGATAGGTGGTTTGAGGACCTCTTTTGACGCTGCCGTAGGGACCGGTCTTTGCTGTTCATTCTGGGCTGCTAGGAGTTCGTTGAACCTGGCGTCCAGCCTCTGCTTGTCTGAAGGTTTGTCGGCGAGGTGAAGAGCCTGGAAGTACAACTCAGCAGTCTTGGTGGTGGCGTCTAGGACCGCCTTGCCGGTGGATTTGGGCGGGATTGTCCTCTCGATCGAGCGCGCCTGGATTGGGAGTACGTACCAACCAACTGCACAACGTTCTGGCATGTTGCACCCTCTGCTCGCCCACGTCGCGGATGAATGACGTATAGAACAAACTGACCTTGAGCCGGGCGGCGAGTCTCGGCAACGGAATCCCGCCCGAATCTCCTCCAAGGTGGTACATTAACAGAACAAGACCAGTGGATACAAGGGTGCTCCAGTGCTTGTCTGGCGAGTTTAGTTTTGCTCTTGGGACGTGTTTGTGTCGCTGTGACGGTGGGTCGACTGAAACGGGGATGTATTTTGGCATGTCGGACCGACGCGAGGTCTCTCTGCGAAAGTTGGCGCCGTGGATTTCTTGCTCCGTCGACTTCTTTGCCGGCTTAGCGCCCTCGTCGTGCCATCTTCGTCGTTTGACTGTCTTCCCAGCTGCTCAATTTCTTGCTGTGCAGCGCAGTCATTCCATTTGTTGCCAGGTTCTCTTCCGAGACTGCATCGAATCGCACAACGCCCCGCTTTGGAGGAATCTAAAGCGTATCAAGAATAAAATCCTGAAAGTCCAATCGACGAGCTCCTAGAGCTTCCACCGCCATGACGAAGGTCGAGCACAAGGCTATTTTGAGTAGGACGTCGAACCTCCTCTTGCTCTGAAATAAACCGTGCCAACACCGTCGCCAGTTGTCATCGATGGATGGGGGATCCCGTCCGAGAGCTCTCCTCCAGAAGGCGACGCAGTTGCTGCCGCCGAGACTCTCGTCATGGATGAGGTGACGTGCGAATTGGCGCCCCCGAAGACAACATCCCCTCTTTCAACGGCTTCGCGCTCCTCTCCAGGAAGATTAAAGTAAGAGGCTGTTGAGAGCAATGGCGCCAAGGAGTACTTACTTCAGAAGACGTGACGGGGGAAGTGGTGGAGAGGACGGAGAGGACGGAGAGAAATCGCGCTTTCTGGAGCGCCACTGCGAGCTTCTCCGAGTACACCTTGAGGGGGCATGTCAGCGGGACGGAGCAGCGCAATAGATCGTCTTTACTCGAGGGACTGGCGAACGAGGCTGTGATGAACGGGTTGCTAGGGCTGGATGAAAAGCACAACTCCTAGAAGCGAACCGAGCCTAGAGAGCAAACAGTTAAAGATCCTGAAGTCCATACCAAGAGACTTTTCGGAATATGGCTCCCAAGAAACGCAGAACGACATTGAGCGAAAATACCTGTCTGAGGAAGGGGTCCCCGACAATGAGAAGCCCATGACCTACAATAAGATTTGGTTGGTGGCTCCCCACGTTAGATTTGAGCCAAAGATGCTAACATTGGTCACAGGGATCGACTGCAGTCTGACCAAGGGGCCACATTTTGCGGTGAGCTTGCGGACATGAGGTGTCGCAGTCGTAGCTCGTCTGTTCATGACAAGAGTCAGTCAGTGCTATTCGTCGCAGAACCTACGGTCAGTGTAGTGATCCCTTTGCAAAAGAAGGTGACTTTCGAGGGCCTTCCGGAGGATGACGATGAGAAAGAGAACAAGCGTCGTCTGCTGTATTGTTGATCGACTCCAGGATGCTGGCTCCTTGGTCGATCTAGAGCGCGTAGCATTATGGCTGAGAGTCGTCAAGTCCGAAGGGTGAGCCAGTCGTGGCCGGGAAGAGCGAAATAATGTCGAGGGATACCGGGGGCTCAGGCTGGGTGCGATTGAGAGATGTACTTTCCAAACTGCCACCTGTTGACCCAGAGCTGGGCACAGTAGTGCGGACCCCCGAGAGCGGAGTGGTTTCCAAACACAAAGGACAGGGGGACGTCGTAGCCTTGCAGCATGTCGAGTGTCAAGTTGGTGGTGAAGAACTCCGCGCCGGGCTGGCTCCGTCCCAGTGGCTTGAGGTGTTTGCCTTTGGCCGTGATGTCTGCCTGGGCATCATACAGCTCGGGATACTTTTCGAAAAACGCCGGGTCGATGCGAAACGTGGAGGCGCCGTTGTGTGCCCCAAGGAACTTGAACGGCTGGAGCGCGTACTCGGGCGACTTGAAGAGCGATGCTGGGAGGAGGTATTCTCGAGGGACGGAGCTGGGCACAGCTGAACTTCTAGGTGGCACTGCGACACGATGGTATGAGGCCGGTGGCGGAGGCATTTCGGATAAATAAGCTCTATTCGGCGCTGCCTCGACGAAGACTGAGCCAGCACGGGCTTGTCAGGCTGTTGACGGACGCCCTGGACTCCGTCATTAGTGGACATACCCAACTGAGTGGTGCGTCAGTTTTCTCTGTCCTCCCATGAGGTTGTTATGATCCAGCTAAGCATGTTTTCCTCCTGCGGGTCTTCCCGTGGTGTCCTGCACGCCTTGATAGAGGTGCTCACTGCTTAGATAGCTCCCTTCTGGTTCGGGTTAAGAGGGTCGTCAAGGTTCGGGAGGCTGCCGCGCCTAAGAGATGCAGCTGTGCATGGGTGTCCAGTATTTGGCGGGGTGAGAGGTTCCTTCAAAGAATAGTTCATGTGGTTAGCGACGCAATCGCGGAGGAGCGCCTGGAAGTTTGAGCTTGATGGACGGCGTCCTTGCTGTACTCTGAGGCGCAGTGGTCTCCAGCTTGAGAGACTGTAGGCTTGCTGAGGAACTTGATTTTCAGGGATGGGGGCTTTGCCTTGTCAGGGGGTGGAAGAGGCGCGTCGGACATCTCGAATTCGGCGTCGTCGTGGGCTATAGAGCAACTGTTGTAGGAAGGCGAGGTAGGTTCATTCTCCTCGTTGGAATTATAGGCGACAGGAGAATCGTCGAGATGGTTTGGGATAGCTCTTTCTGATGCCGGAAGATGGTTGGGGTTTGAGGATGGATCTGGCTTATGGGTAACAGATATGATGAGTCTGATGATGACGGCGAGTGGGAAATGTGACTGACTCGGCTCATCGAACATTATCGTAGTCGCGAGGAAGGCGCTGTCATTTAGCACGACGCAATCTCGCACAAAAGGATCCAGATACGTTGCTGGATCTAACAAGGTCCCCTCTGTGGGCATCGAAGCATTCAGCCTGGCGAGTCGAATTGGGACTGCAAATTGCGACCGAATCCTCTGCACGAATACCATACTCTGCGGCCAATGCAGGTGACACTGCGCTGGAGCGACTTTGCTAAGTGCTGAGTGCCAGAGGGGGTGCTGAGATGTGGGACTTTAGACCAGCCTGGGTTGTGTACACCTTGTCACAGCCTTGGAAGGGGCATAGTATTGTTGGATCCAGATGCCGAAGGATGTGGCCGTATCAGACAGTCTTGGGTGCTGAGCTTTGCTGAGAGGAAAAAGTTGAAATTCAGGAAATGGTGGGTGCTAAAGTGCCTACACACCTGAACACCTGAGTGCCAGGAAAAAGGTTTGAATTCTTGGAGTGCCTGTCGAGTGTGTGACTTGCCTATCTGCCCTGCACTGCTGCAGACTGCGCTGTGACTAGCACTGACTGCGGTGCATTCCCTCAAAGGTCCGATCCAAAGTTCTAAACCACACTTTTCTTTGTCCATTTTCTTTGTGCCTACGACTGTTTGACACCACCCCTTTCCTTGTCTGTGGGAGGTCACACAATAATCAGAGTTCACATACGGGGCACACACAATGTCGGAGTTCACACACAATGCCGGGGGCAAAAGAGACGGAGCAAGCAACGTCGGGGTGCACAATCAGAGTGAACACTGTCGGGATAAGCAATCCCGGGGCTGAATATGTCAAACACGATCTCTGCCCTCTGCCCTCTACCTTCTAGCCTACGCTGGACTACCCTCGAGTGTGGTTGATCGCCAAACTTTTTGACTTTGGTAACTTTACTGCTTGAAAGTCCCGTTCTTGGTGGCATTGTGGCTGATGGTCTAGTCATAGAAACCTACTCTCGTCGACAAATAGCCTGCGTCTCCAGAAGAAAATCTTACTCGTCTCGCTGATGCCGGAATTCGGCTCGATCGTGAAGCAGACAAGTGCAACAACTGCGGAAAGCTCGGTCACACTACCAAGCGTTGCCCCGAAGAAAGAATCGCAAGTGTTCAGCCTACTGTTACTTGCTCCTTGTGTGGTGAGGAGGGTCATCGTGTTCGAGACTGTGGCTGGGAGCGTGGTGGTCGTGCCTGCAAAATCTGCGAGTCTGAGGAGCAGTTAGCCAAGGTGTGTCCTGTCCCTACTATATCTGTGGCCAAACCAAGACTGACATGATGCCATAGGACTGTCCAAACAAGGAGATTTGAGTCTGTCGTAACTGTGGTGACGAGGACCACATGGCGAAGGATTGCCCTACTCGCGAGAAGAGAACCTGCCGCAACTGTGGAGCCGAGGATCCAATCGACCATTTTGCTGGTCTTTAGGAGAGAGAGTTGAGCTGAATAGTCAAGGAAAGTGAGTGTTGAAGAGACGGTGAGGAACACGGAGCCTCTGTCAAGTGGCATCGGTCAGTCGATCGCCGAATCTGTTTGCCTGATAACCCCTACGTCCAAATCCTACTTTTCCTGGCCGCCTTTTCCTTTCTAAGCTCTGACCATCGCTGTAGGTTGTTCTGCAGCACATATCTCCCGTTTGCGCCCTGCTTCATAACCAAAAACTCGCAGTGGTTGATGTCTCGGAGATCCTCGAAGAATTCCACACTGTAGTGGAATACTGCTTGTCGCGTTCAATGAGCGTACGCGCTATCGGTCTGCGCTCCGAGTCGTAAGCCTCGAACACCAAACACCCCAACCGTACCGGAGTCCTTCAAGGCTAATGCTGAGCTGACCGTCTGGCCTGGTCCTGATCCGATGCCCGAACTGCCCTCGCCTGCCCCCTTGAAAAGGATGGGATCAGCTCTGCCGGCTCTCCCAGCTGTTTCCTATACGCGTGTCATGCTTTCGTGCAGCATGTTTGTCGCCATATAACGATCATCATTCATACACTCATACACTCGAACCGACCCGATGCCGATTCCGCCCACCAAAGCGTTCAACAACAGCATCTCCCAAGCCTCATATAGGCGTCTACACACCTCCACTTGCTCGTGGACACACGCGGACACACTCTCTCCCAACCCTCTTCCACGTCCATCTCGTAAACGGCTTGTGGTCGGCATAACGAAGTTGATCTTGAGCAGTAAAGCAGTCGGAGGGAGCAAAGAAATCGTCTACTGCCGTGGGAAAGCCAAAGGACACCATCGTCGCCGATGCTATTCTAGTGGGGGGACCCGAAGATGTCGATGCCACGGTCGCAGCGGCCGAAGCAGCATTTACAGGACCGCGGAGCACATTTACAGGAGCTTAGCGCCCTGAATGTCTGCGACTTCTGGCAGATACTATTCGCCCTGCTTCTCACGTCTGAAACCCGTTGCGACGCCGGACCCCGAAAAGCTTTCTGCCCATGAACGCGAGTATCGATACTTTGTTGCCGCCCAAAGACTACGGCGACAGGTGGCAGACCATCTCGCCATCTCGGCCGACGGCTGGGTGCCCGAGGATGCTTGGGGTGCGGAGCAACTGCAGCATCGGCAGCTCTATTCCAACGTGGTGCAAGCCATCACGAGCACCGAGGATCCGGACCACGACGCACCGATCAAAAGCGAAAGGGAGCTGAAAGCGATCTGGCGGTTCGACTTATGAACCTGGGAATATAGGTTCAGGAGGGGGAGTGATCGCATTACTCACTCTGTATATTGTACACCAAAGGGAGAAAATTTTCTTGGTTGAATAGATAGCTACGCCTATACTATCCAGCGGGTTCCATGCTGCATCGGTGGTCATGTCGAGGGCGCCGTTTTCCTGGCCATGAACCTCCAGGGATGGTTCTCTGTGACTTCAAGCTATGAGAGGAAGATGTCCCGAGCCCGTATGAGTCTAGCGAGGTTTGAATATGACGATAACGCTAGTGCAATAGCATTTTGTAGTAGATGATAGTATATTATGCACGAAGTAACCAGCATCGTTCTCGCCCCCATTCGATGGATTTATCGACCGATATCCTGTTCGTCGTTACAGTCGTGATATCCTGTTCGTCGATACAGTCGTGATATCCTGTTCGTCGTTACAGTCGTGATATCCAGTTTCTCGTTATAGCGTGATAGCCTGTGAGCGTGATATCGAGTTCCTCATTATAGTCGTGATAGCCGGTCCCTGGCACGTCCCCGTGCAACCCCTTTTGCAAACAAAACCAAAAGCTCCAGCACCGTCAGTCTGTAGCATTTGCCGTGGTATTTCTTCCGGCAAGGATCTCTTGCCTCGCCATCGCGGCCGCAATGGTCGCAGCGTCGTCCGAGGACGCGACCTCACGCACCTCGGCGACGACTTCTCCATCCACACTCACTGTGCAGCGGTACAACTTGTCCCCCGCGGGGCCATACCCGTCGACTTCAGTGACGTATTTGATGGATGCGGGCGCCCCGACAAGACGAACGAGGGCTGACCTCGGATGTTCGGTGTCGACGGGCTGCGCACAAACACGCCGCAGGTAGTCCCAGATGCCGAGCCGCTCCAGGAAGCGCTCGCACGGCTCCAGCTCGCCGTGCGAGTCGACGAAGATGGCGCCGATGACACTTTCGATGATGTCGGAGAGGAATTTCTCCGGCCTCAGCCGCGCGAGCTCGGCCCACGGGTAGAGCGGCTCTGTTGCCAGCGAGGTTCGAATGGCGGCCCGGTGCTCTCGGTAGCGCTCGAGACTGCGCTCCCGGGCCAGCGCGACCTCCGGGCTGTGGAACCGCATGTGCGCCCACAGGTGTCGTCGCTCGCGGCGCACCGTGCTGCTGAACACACCCTTCCCCTCGCCGCTGGGCCGCCTGTCTTCTTCAATGGAGACGACGTCTTCGTCCGAGGACAGTTCGAGGCAAAAGAAGCCGAGCAGGGCGCCGTTGACGATGGCGGCCTTGATTCGAGTCATGTCGCCCTGGGCGAGGTCCAGCTGGGCCAGGTGGGAGACAACCAACATGTCCAACACGGCATCGCCGAGGAATTCCAGCCGCTGGTAGGATTCCGTGTGCACGTCTCTCTCGCAGGTGGGGTGGGTCAGAGCCTCGAGCAAGAGATCCTTGCGGAGGAACCGGTATCGCAGGATATTCTCCGCTTTGACGACAAAGTTTGTCAAATCAGTGGCGCCGGCGCCGGGACGATTGGCTTCGAAACTGGACAGCGCCTCAAGAGGGCGCAAGTTGGGCAGGAAGGTGTTGATGCAGGCACCGGCTAGGTCGATCCCTCCGTCAACATATGCGGCTCCAATCAAAGCTTCGACCACGTCCGCCAGGACCTTTGAGCTGAGGCGTCTTCCCTGCTTTGGACGAGGCCCAGTCCTCATGCTGGATATGCGAGGATAGCGGTCTGGCCCCATGCGCACGGCGTCGGCGATGATGAAGGCGTCTAGGCCAGTTCGGATTGCCGCATGGGCGAGAGTGTTGTTGGACGTTATCTTGGCCCGCGAATGCGAGAGGTAGCCCTCGTGGAAGCCAGGATGGTCGAGGAAGAGCTGCCGACTAACAATGAACTTGAGGACCGAGTCGCCAACATGCTCCAGCCGCTGATAGTTGGTGACCCACTCCGCCGAAGGACAGCTGAGCGCCGTGACGACCAGTCCGATGTTAGTAACGGAGACTGAACGGAGAACGGTCGTGCACAGTTCCTGTGCAACTAGATATACCTCCAAAAACTGGAGCACGGCGGGAATGAAGAGGCCGAATAAAGCCGAATTAATGTCCAGGGCGTCAACGGTCGCATCTTTTGCCGGGAATCGTTGGGTTCGACCCTCAGCATCCGAAGGAAAGCCCGTGGACAGCGTGGCCGGACGGAGAAAGTGCCGTCGTCTCAACAGCGCCGTGCACTCGACCTCGACAATGGATTCTTGTGGAGAAATCACCTGCACATGCCAGGCGCGGAAGATGAACGGCTGACCGGACAATGAAGGAGTTCGTACAAAGCCCCGGCAGGGTAGGTCTGTGCTGAAATGATCCAAGGCCAACCTTCGCGCCTGGTTCAATGCCAGCCATTTCGCTACACCTCCGTCTTCGACATTGGGCGTGAACAGTGCAACGAAGTCATTTCCACGGTCTGGGAGGCGATCAGAGTGAACTGCTCGCCGTAGGAGGTCTGTCGCTTGCCTCATGTCATCCACAGCGTCGGGTGTCAGAGAGCCTATTTTCCTCGGTTTCCCCAGTCTGATTATGACATTGACGCTCTCGTCGCAGAACATCTTGATGGGTTGTATCAACGGTATTTTTGACGGCGTCGTCAGAGAATATTCGAACACAGTTACGGTGCTGCCGCCGTCTGTGCTCTGCGCCTGGAAAATGACATCAGTTCTGTGCAGGTCGGGGGCCGTCCAAGCCTGAGCCTGTTCAAACCAGGGGTCAAACTGTGCGTTGACTTCCACTACTGGCGGGAGATGATTGACTTGATCAGCCGCCAATGTACTTTCATCTGTGAGAGGAAGAAGGTTATCGTTCAACAAACCCGCGTCAAACAGTGCCTGGTAAGCTTGAAAGGCGGCATCTTTCCTCGCCGCCTGCTTAGTTTGCCATGCTGTGCATCCGTGTGCTTGCCGCACGGAAGCATTAATACAACTAGGAAGGGTCACAGTCGCCGTGAATAGGCCCGTCCGCGGGTCTTGAGTGATGCTAAAGGTAGGCTGGTGATCGACGTAAGGCTGCGGAGGTAGCTTGGAGCAGAAGTGATAAAGACGTCCCATTACCATGTCAATAGTCAGTCTTGCCCTTTTTGACCAATGCGTCAGCTCAAGAATACCAGAAGCTGAGTGCCTGTAGAGGGCTCACTTACCCTGTGGAGGGAACGGCGATCACAAACGGGACCTTCTCCTCAGGCTCCTGGTCTTCCACTAAGCAGGTCTGGGCCAATCTGCTCTCATCTTGATAGAGTCGAATCATGTCGGCTTCGAGCTGCTGCCAGAGCGGGACTTTATCTTTGCCCTCAACCTTGCTGTCCACCAGAATGGCGAAGGTAGATTGCTCCTGCCTAGCCCTCCCCCTTCGCTGCAAGAATGATTTGAGGTTTGCGGGGACATCGAAACAGACCACCAGGTTGCAGGCGGTGACATCGATGCCTTCTTCCAGGACATCCGTTGCGATGATAAGGTTCTTAACTTTAGCCCTCAGTTCGGTCAATGCCTCACGCTGTGCTTTCAAGTCCAGCAGTTCAGCCATGGAGTATCGCTTCTTACCGCTGTTCGACAGTCCCACGAATGTCGTGCATCGAAATATGTTCTTCGTCTGCGCGTGCCGTGAGAGCAGAGCGTTTAATACACTGACGGTAGCACGCTGTTTGACAAACACGAGCCCAGAACATCTTTCGGCATCTTGTTCAGCAAGAAATTGTATCAGGCTCTCAGCCTTTGGAGAGATGAGCATGTTGTCCTCGGCGTTGGCAGTCCTACTTAACATGAACGATGACATCGGACCAAGTATCTCGATTAGCTTGGTCTTCTCGGCGGGGGCGAACCCAAGGAGGTATTCATGCTGGGCGTGGAAGCTTTCGCTCAGTGCCTTGATAGATTGTATAATGAAGTAATCGGCAGCCCACGGTCCGAGTTCTTCATAGATATGGTCGGCTCTTCTCTTGAATCTGACCAATTGCTCCTCGTGACCGCCGGCTGGAAGACGTGTTCCAAGGTTTAGCGGATCGGGAGCTGTGAAGTCGTCCCAGTGGGTAACGAGCTTTCGACCTATTCTGCCCAGAAGCAACAGCGCCGTACTTTGGAGTGGACTTGCGGTTAGAGTGGTGGACTCGTATTTTATTGTTTTCAGGACAGGCCTGTGGACAAATTGCAACATCTCGTCTCTTTGCACGCGAGGGGAGCGACAAGTCGCATCCAGGTTCTTTTCTAGGGCGCTATTGGCGTCAATGAGCAGTTTAACTAGGGACTGTCCGAGACCAAACACTGACTCTAATTCCTTGCGCTTCGATTTCACTATTGGACTGGCGGTCAGACCCAGAATGTGAGGCACCGAGTCTGGACCAAAGCGCAGCTTTTTCGGATGGTAGAAATCCTCCATGATCCTGTTCGCCGGGTGTTTTTTGCGGCAGTGATGGGCTGGTTTAGGATGAGTTTCATTCTCCTGAGATGATGTGCTCGGCTCACCTTCGTCGAACACCAACAGAGCCAGCCTCGTCATCTGGACAAAGCCATGCGCAAGGGCGTCGAGGAGGACGGCATGCGTTGAGACCACAATCTGCACACCACTCAATGCCGCGTCCCAAATTCTCTGTTCGCTCCAGCGGTCGACATTGTCGGCACCGAGCAGCAGTTTCGTCCTCGCAGCTGGCAATTGGGATAGCATGACCTCGTGCTGTTGAGTGCACAAGGCCACTGTAGGCGCGAGAAACCAAACAAGCTAGAGTTGTTGTACTCTATAAGCTGATTGCCATCAGGCTGCATAAACTATATCGGTTACCTTGTCCTGAGAACAGCGCTCGAGCTCTTCCTGAATTCGAAGGATTGCTCTATGCATTCAGTCAGCCAGGCCAGTTGGACCAGTTCTTGAGCTGACATTTGAGTCTTGCCGCTCCCTGTATCCATCTAATTCTCGCGGTTAGAACAAGGCTGCTGCGGGCAGATCATCTGGATGTGTATACCACTGCAATGATATTCTGGGCAAGGCTCTGCTCCAGCATCTCCAGCTGATAGCCACGCGGTCGATACTGCCGCCCAGGAGACTCCATTTTGCTTTGGTGGGAAAGCTGATCAAAGAAGATGGTTCGGTTCGGAGGTGTTCTTTGTCACCTACAATATCCATTGTGCGGTCTCACCGCATTCAGCCTTACGCAGACAGCCACGTGTCCTACCCCGCGGCGGGGTACAAAGAGTCAAAGCCTGAAGCTGCACCTCGTCTTCCTGAGCTTCTTCCTGATCCTCTGGCCGTCAATTCTTGGAAAACGTCTTATATATATATTGTGAATATGTCTGGGAACCAAGCATCCCGAGGTCGGGGTGGTGGCCGCGGGCGCGGCGACAATCTGCCCTACCACCCGAGAGGGAGGGGAGGCCCCTCCAGAGGCGGCCAGAGTTTCGGGAGAGGGCGTGGAGGTGGAACACAGTCTGAGGTGGCACTGTTCTCGTAAGCCCTTCCTGATCCTGCTCGCCTGTTTACAGTTTTGATGGACCGAAGCACTAACTGCCCTCCGTCCGCCTCAGTCACGAATCGGGCGGCGATGCCCTACCCGACCGGGCCATCCGGGCCCTCGAGGATAAGATCGAGGCGAGCGCGAAAGCCCCACCGACAAAGACGTCTCCATCCTCCCTGATCGCGAAACTCCCTCCTCGTCCGGGTTTTGGTACTCAAGGAAGAGAAGTATTGCTGTGGACAAATTACATGGCGGTGGCATCGTCCGCCAGCCTCGTTCTCCAGAGATACCACCTGGAGATTTTGCCCGACGGCGCAGGCCAACAGCCCAAAGGAAAGAAAGCGCGCCGACTCGTCGAATTGCTCCTTGAGGATCATTTGGCCCAATACAAAGACAAGGTCGCCACAGACTTCAGATCGACTCTCATAAGCTCGACTAAGATTGATCTTGTTGGAGACAACTATGATGTCGTCTACCGGGTTGAGGGCGAAGACAGTCCCGGGGCAGACGCCAAACACTACCGCATCCGCCTCTCGCACACGGGTTCCTTGACCGTGTCTGAGCTGCTGAATCAGCTCACTTCAACAAACGCAGGGACGTTGCTGGGATCCAGGGAAGAAATCATCCAGGCGCTGAACATTGTTGTTGGACACAATCCCAAAGCCGCTGCAGAGATTGCCTCCATTGGAGCGAACCGGCATTATGCGCTGGACGCGGCAGACTTTGAGAGGTCTTCACTTGGCGCCGGGCTGACCGCCATCCGCGGGTTTTTCTTCAGTGTCCGAGCGGCTACCGGGCGGCTGCTCATGAACATCCAGGTCAAGCACGGGGCGTTTTATGAGGATGGCCCACTCGATCGAGTCATGAGCGCATATGCCGCGAGCATTGGCTTCAATAGACCCAAAGTTGGGAGTTTCGTAAGGAAGCTCTCAGTCAACGTCACGCACATCGTCCGAAAGAACTCGGCCGGCCGGCCGATTCCCAGGATCAAGGTTATCGAAGGGCTTGCCACGCCACGGGACGGAGCCGGGCTGGAACACCCTCCTCGGATCTCCGAGTACGGCGCTGGGGCGAAAGATGTCGAGTTCTGGATGGACAGCCAGGGCGAGACATCGGCATCGGGATCCGCTCAAGGAGGTGGTGGCAAGGGGAAGAAGGGCAAGAAAGCAGGCCCGGCACCTCCCCTCCAAGGACGCTACATCAGCGTCTACGACTTCTTCCGCTCCCGTATGGAAGACTTCCTAACTGCGAGGGCTCGTGCTAATGTGTTGCCAGAATATAACATCGCCGTGTCTGAACCCAAGTTACCCGTCGTCAATGTCGGCAGCAAGGATCGACCATCCTACCTCCCCGCCCAAGTCTGCATGGTCATCCCTGGGCAGACTTGCAACACGCAATTAAGCCCTAGCCAGACGCAGCAGATGATCCGATTTGCCGTCCGCAAGCCGGCACAGAATGCCATGTCCATCGTCACGTCGGGAGCGAAGATGTTGGCTGTTGGCAACAACTCAACACTGGTAAGTCCTCTCGACTCAGAGCGTTTTGGATGCCTGCCATGTTTTCTGACTTGACCAAGGATGCTTTCAACATCAGCATCACACCGAGGTTGCTCACTGTCCCTGGCCGTGTGCTGAATGCTCCCAATGTCAAGTACGCGGGGCAGAAGTCGGCATCGACGAGGTTTGGGAGTTGGAACATGCAGCAGGTCCAGTTCACCACGAAGACGACATTGAACTCGTGGACGTATCTTTGGATCTCGTACCCGTCAGCGCGCGATCCTTGGCGCGACGAGGGAGACTTACAGAAAACAATCACCGCTTTCGCTGCGAAGCTTCGAGAGGTGGGTATAACCTGCAGCGAGTGTATGAAAGGGTTGCGTGTGACGGTCACTCCGGGTAACGTCGACTCCGCGATTGATACGGCGCTCCACAGATTTACATCCAGTCCCCACAAGCCTCCGCCAAAGCTCGTCCTGATCATTCTGCCGGACTACAGTGGGCCGATCTATAATCGGGTCAAGTATGCATGCGACGTGAAGGAAGGGCTTATGAACGTCAATGTCCAGGCTGCGAAGTTCGCGAAGCCCAACAATGACCAATACTTCGCCAACGTGGCCCTGAAGATCAATGCTAAACTAGGGGGCATGAACCAGAGCCTGGACCAACCAAAACTCGGCATCATCGCCGAGGGCAAGACCATGGTGGTGGGCATCGACGTGACTCACCCTTCCCCGGGGTCGTCGTCGACAGCGCCCAGCATCGTGGGCATCGTCGCCTCGATCGACAAATGGCTCGGGCAGTTCCCGGCCGACCTGGCCATCCAGACCGCACGGCAGGAGCTGGTCGCGGGACTCAAAGACTTGGTGAAAGTGCGCCTCGAGATGTGGAAACGGCATAATACCGCGTACCCCGAGAATATTCTGGTCTATCGCGACGGGGTATCCGAGGGGCAGTACAACCTGGTCCTGGATCACGAACTCCCCGAGATCCGCGCGGCCTGCACCGAGGTGTACCCGGCGACGGCGACCAAGCAGGGGATCCCACGCATCACGATCGTCGTTGTCGGGAAGCGGCACCACACGCGGTTCTACCCGACCAAGGCCGAACAGGCGGATCGCTCGTCCAACCCGCAACACGGGACCGTGGTCGATCGCGGCGTGACCGAGGCGCGCAACTGGGACTTCTACCTACAAGCGCACACCGCGATCCAAGGCACGGCGAGGCCCGCCCATTACTACGTCGTCTATGACGAGATCTTCCAGGCTCGCAAAGTCCCCCCGGGCCCCTTCAAGAGTGCCGCCGACATCCTCGAGGACCTGACGCATAACATGTGCTATCTCTATGCGAGGGCCACCAAGTCCGTCAGCATCTGTCCGCCCGCGTATTACGCGGACCTGGTGTGTGACCGGGCCCGGTGCTATTTGAGTGGATTCTTTGACCCGGCGGCGGCGAGCTCGGCCGGCAGCGTGAGCGGGGGCGGAACGAACACACAGGGACCAGACTCCAGTATGGTCAAGATACATCCCCGAGTGCGAGACAGTATGTTTTATATTTAATGGGCGTCGCCGTGTTACACTCGGATGTATAGCAGCTGGATCAGGCAGGGAGGGCAGATGGAAGATCTTTGGAAAATGTCTTTTGTCCGGTGGAAACCGGTCTCTGTTAGTCTCTCTGACGGTCAGGAACTCTTGGGCGGAAAAAAGTTGGCGTCTTGCGTGGATTTGGGTCGATGTCGTGACTATGAACTTCATATGCTTCTGGGATTTGTCGAGACTTATCAGAACATTTAAGTCTGTCTGATGTTGGTGCTCGGTGAAGCCATCAGGTCTTTCGTCTCAATCTTAACCGTAATATGCCATGTGTATGGAACGTATATATATATATTATGTGAATCTGGCTATTTTCTCTCATTCACGTCAAGCCGTCGAGGGGCTCAGCCCGCGAGTGGCACCGCTGCTAAGAGGGGATTTCCCAGATTAGGCAGCGTCGGGGCTTTTCGTGAACCTGCAAAGTCGTCTTGTGTAACGTTCGCGAAGGCATCGAATGCTTGCGAGGCTGTGCAAGATCACGTGCTGTTCCCGTTGCCGAGGAGCGAGGGAGATGGGCATCTTCCCCTCTTGCCGGTGGCACCTCTTGTTGCCCTGCTGTCTCTTGTCTCCCCTCTCTTGCTTTCCTCGACGCGAATCATCATGGTAAGCTGTACGACAGGGGGAGGACACGGGCCTGGGAAGGCAGATGGGCCGGGGGCGGGAGTGTGAGGTTTCATCTTTGCTTCGGTAGCTACATCCTTTGGCGTCCAGTACGTCGTTGAAAAGATAGCTAGAGAAGAGCTGGCAAAGTGAAATTGAAACCGCCGAGGCCCATCTACAAGACCGCTCGGACATGTCGCCGTTCCCTCGCAGTGGAAGCTTTTCAAGCTGCAGTGTAGCAAGCGGAGTGCAGATGGTGTATGCCGTGGGAGTGCGGGTTCACAAATACACAGATCCGCTACACGTTCACGTCTCCAGGGAGATCCCTCTTTGCTGTTGAAGTGGTCATTCACGTTGACGCCGACTGCATACGCCAGGTTCTTTTGTCTGAGGCGATGCTGCGGACCCAGATCGATCTCCAACAGAGATGACGAGCGCCGTGATTAAACACTGCACCTTTGAACCACCTCCGTGGCCTAATCGGGTGGAAGGCAAAGACATCGGAGAAGAAAGAATAGGAAATCCCAGCAGCAGGCCAATCCGCGCTTCGGGAACGAGAGCCTCGCGTGGGCGAGAACGAATAGAAAGACGGGAAAAGAATCAACAGGGGCGTTTCCCTTGTACTGCATTAGCGATTCGATTGATGCAGGAGAATGCGCGCTCCTCTCCCCAACGAAACGCAATGTCAAGGTTGCAACCCGAATGGACGGCACGGACTGAGAGAGCCAAGCGTTTTGACTGTCAGGTAGGCCTTGCATAGTACTCTCAACGGGGCGGCCAACGCCAGGACGCCCGACGATGGTCGCCGAGCACAGCTCCCTGCGCCTGCTGAATCGTGGCCGCAGTGACATTCTTGTCTGAGGTGTAGTCCCACCGAGTCGTCTCTTGTTGCACCATTCCCATCTCTTACGGCCAGAATCCGGGTTTCTCTGGACTCCTGAAACTCCAAGCCTTGTTCAATCGTCCCCTAATTCTCACAGAGGTCGCCGGTTTGCGGTCGGAAATCAAAGGGGCAAGGGTGTCTTGGTCTAGGGCGCAGGCAGGATGGCAGATCTGTTGTGCGTTGCAGGACTTGCACTGGCAGTGGCATTAGCATGAGGCCGCAGCCCAGACATCACTTTGGGGATTGGTGCCGCTTGCATGCCTAGGATCGGTGTCGACCTTGCAGCCCGCTGGCTTCGAGAACGGACAACGGCGTCGCGTGTCTGGCCCCCTCGGCGTCTCTGCTCCTGCTCCTTGTGTCGCTTGCAGGGAACTGGTAGTATTCCCACCTCGTTGGCGTGAAGGCACAATGGTACAAACCGGTCACCAAGGTAGGCAAAATCTGACGTCTTCTCGGTGGTATGTAAAGGGGACCTTGCGCATTCTCTCTTGCGGATGGTTGTTTGCAATCATCCTCTGGAATGCGCAGAAAGGTGAACGCTTCGCCGGTAAAGACGCGGCCAAACGTCTAATCCAGACGCGATGGCGCCAACTCCTGAAATGGCACAAGGCTGGCCCTGGAAGCCAGCCTTGTGCCGAGGTTCGTTCCGCCTCACCTGCCCAAAGCAGCGAGTGTAAACAACAGCATGTGAAAGTGAATGCGCAGCTGCGCTTTCGACCAGCGCACAATGGAGCATCTCCAACCACCTTTTGTCTTCATGTTGAATACGGAAGAGATCACTCCTGATGCGGGTACAGCACTAGCTCGATCAAGTCCTGAGCACTCAAATGCACATCGTCCTCGATCTTCATGCCCAAAGCGATCCTGACTCCCCGATCCTCTCGAAATGACAACACCGAGCCTTCAAAGTCCTGAGGAAGGACAAAGTTCACTTCAACAGAACTCAATGAAGACGCCTGCGAACATGCCCGTCAGAGCTGCAGGACACTCAACTGGGGAATAGACCGAGGAGATTCGATCAGCGGAGGACCGACAGAGTGTTGTTCAGAGGAAAATTAGGTGGGCTTTCGCTCAGCACAATGTCTTGACCTGAATATCGCACATGCCGGAGGGTACACACGATCGACCGCAAAGCTGCATGAAATTAGGAGGGACTTGAAATTGCTGCTGACATGAGTCGTCCGTCCTAGGGTGAGCACCAGTGTGGTTTTGCCTCGCAGCGAAAGGCTCCGTCCGCCCTTGGATCTTCCTCCGCTGTTCTTCCTCCCTCGTTCGTCCCACAGGTCCTTGCCTGCGCAGGCATTCGGCGTCTTTGAATACTGCCCCCTTCATTCATGTCCAAACATACTTGCAACCGGCTTCATCACATGAGCTCCAACACGGCGCTACTGCTGGCGGCCCCCCAATGCTCGGACGTCAGCATATTGGAGGATGCTTCCAAGTGCCGTCTTCGACGTTGATGATCGGTGTTGTCTGCAGCCTCGACACAACCCTCGATGCGGCCACCGCGGCCTACCTGTTTCTGTCCCTACTACCAACCATTCGCTGATTATGCTCCGTGCTTGTTCTCGACATGACACCCGCTCGAAGAAGCGGGCATGAGCCACCCCGCAACCTCTCAAGGCTCCGCCCCGAGGTCTCACGGGAAAGAGAAGGAAACACCCGTCAGAAGGGGAGACATCCAGGTTGCACCCGTCTTCCAAGCTTCGGGAACCGGCTGTGCAACGCTCGTCTCACTCGTGGAGCGTTGAAAGAGTCCGACTGCAGGACTTCGGGCGTCGAACACTCGGTGTTGACACTACGCTATAACCTATAACAGGAGGGGGACCGCAGAAAGTAGTCGCAACAGGAGGAAGACTCAAGAAACAATCTAGCAGGCCTAGTGGCAAGAGAGGGGATTGCTCAATCAAATCGCTATACTTCGGAGTATGAAGCCTGGTTTTGTCTAAACTGTGTACACAAATCCTGCCGTTCCGCCTGTCAATGATTGATGTGATGCGTCTGAGTTCCAGGTCCAGACTCCTCCAGACCCATCTGATGGCTACGGTCTAGTCGAGGGAGGTGAGATTGATAATAGTGAGGACGATATCGATAAGGGATAGCGTTTGTGAGTATACGTGAGTATTCAGGAGGGTGAGTAGGTGATTGTAACGGGAGGGAGACCCGAGAGCAGATTGGCAATCTTAGTGGTGAGGAAGAGCACTGATCAAGCAAACCCTTGCGGCTGAAGTAGAGAGACCTGCATAGGAGGTCTTCCGGATGGGAATCGAAAGCAAGATATGTTTTTTTCCAAACTCCTCCTCGTTTGCAGCAGGCGGTGTCTGTATCATGAATGTTTATGAGGAATGGGTGGGCTGGTAGGAAAGTCGGTTTGGGCGGCGCAGGCACCACAGGGTGCGGGAACGAGGCTGAATCGGACGAGGTCCTGCTCTGTAACGACCCATTCTTTTGTTCTGCCTCTTCGTCAGGCGTGGTACCTCATGGAATTGGCCCACGGACAGCGAGGATTGGTGCCCGAAGAGTTTTGTGTCAGGCCTGTCCATGGGCCAATTCCATGAGGCCGCGGCGGTGGACGAGCAACTCGGCTCAGTGCAATGTCCAGATCAGAGAGAGTTCCCACGTACTCTCTACTGAGAAATGCGGCAAGTTACGCATGGGAGGCACGCAGACTGATCCTGACTCGCGAGGAAGACGCCCAAACCAGAGAATGAACGAGGCAGTTGGCGATCTGGTTCCAGTGGCAGAAGGGCGGTGGTGGGCGCAACACTGTCGGCGCAGTGGCATACACATTGGCACAGCCGGGCATCAACGGCACATCGCCGCTGCAAATGCATTGTGTCGGAGGACTTGTGCGTGCCCTTCCAGCCGTGCAGTGGTCCTGATACCCAAGCAGTTTGAAGAGGACGCAGTCCGCGAGTATCAAGGCTGCCAAGACGTAGAATTTCCCAATTGGGCTTTTCATGCACCAACAAGTCGATCCCGTGTAACACCCAAGAGGGCACTGAAGCACGTTGTTGCTGTTAGTTGCCAAGGCGACAGAACAGCTAGCACGCTATGCCGTGAGCTAACGGCGATAGGCTAGCTCTCCTTGAATACCTGCCAGACCGTTGCTCCCGACCTTCATATGCGTCTCAAAGCTGCAATCGATCAACTCCCTGATCCTGCCGTTCAACTCTTTGAGCCTATCGCTGTTGATTACTTGATGGCTCGTCTGTGGTGAGATCACAAGACGATTCGCGCGCACCTGACCCGCAGGACGAAGGGTCAAGGATGCCTCGAAAGTCCGGTGGCTTACACGCTGAGCTACGATCTATGACAGTTGAAACAACAGAGGAAAGTCTATTGCCTCAAATTGAGCAGCAACGGAAGGACTTCTGAACAGCAACGCATTGAGCTCATGGGGCTACTGAAATAGCAAATCGAACAAACAGAACTCACAAGGAAATCGTGAGAGATCTCAAGTTCATGCGTGGCTGGAGAGCATGGGAATCTGCTCCAACTTGCGACAAGGATGTCCGAGCAGCGTGCCCACCATAGTGTGCTGTGGGAACGTGTCCCGATGATTCGCAGCGTCATCACCGTTTCGCTTCTAGACCCGGCGGCTAGATCAACAGGCTATGAGCCCCCTTCAATTCCACCGGCCATGGCTAGCCAGCGAAAGACCGGAGGTCTCCGAGAACACCGCTTTGGCCGCGCAACGACGAAGTGGTGTGCCCGTTTCCCAAATGTACAACAAGAGTTCGATCTGATCATCCACAGGAAAGCGGGCCCGAGGCATCACGAAAGAAGCGCCACAACAACAACTCCGAAGAAGCGCACGCCTTGAAGCTGCAAAAAAGCCTCAGTCGAGTGAGAACAGAAGGTCTAGACAATGGGACTCCCTTGCCACCAAAAAGGCAAGCTTGCCTTCGTCCAGCAGACAGCTTCTATACAGTGAACGCTGCCGCGAAGAAGATCTGTGTTTTTGTGTCAAATGATAGCAGTCCAACAAGCCCCCAACAACAAGATCACTGCCTAACAAACGCGCCTTGCGTTTTGAGTCTCTTTGCTTTTACATCTGAATGTTCATGTGCAGTCTTTGTCGTGGTTCTGTTTCGTGCTGTCTCCATTGAACCTCCCAGTGGCGGATTCGCTCCCATGAAAGACTGAATGGACTGCTGCATTCCCAGCTGATGTTTCCGGTCGACGTTGACATTGGAGGCCAGCCTCCATACCATATTCATGTGCCCTGACCAGATAGCGCATGCAGTGGCCAAAGGAGGGAGCCGTGGTTCGTGAATCCGGAGGTGGGTGTCTGCATACGTATACCGACCGGACCGATGCCAGAAGACCAGCCGCCGGTCCCGGAGTCGATGCCGTTGACACTGAATCGCCGCTCCGGTGCGGTCTGGCCGAGGGCTCCTGTGGAACTCGATCATCAGGCGATGAGTCTTCCGGTTCCTCACCTCTCACCGCCTCCCCCTCCCCCCCCCCTCGGCCCCACCCCCCTCTCCCCCGGAGCGGACAAGTCCTCGATCATGGACAAGGTCGACCTGATGCACTCTCTGCTCACCAGCCCATGTTTTTCCCCGGTAGGAAGACTTGTTTTTAGAGAGAGAGGTGTGCGATACATGTCCTCGATCATTCTACAGGTCATTCTGATCGTGCTCCTGCTCAGCCTCAGAATCGTTCCATGGCACAAGACTGATATTCATCGTACTATCCAGAGAGAAATTCATTATGTCATTCATTCTTCTACCCATTGCGCCGTCCATTTTGCTATTCATTTTCCTGTTCATTCTTTCCATTCTACCGTGCACTCTGCTGTTCATCCTGCTATCCATACCCCCCAGTCCTGTAGCTGTGCTTCCCCTCCACTGTTCTTGCGTCTAATGTCACGAATCACCATGTAGACGTCCCAGAGCAGATTAGACCTTCAAGTATGCACTACGTTAGCGTCTCCCCTGTGCTAGTACCAGTCCCCCTCATTGAAGGTATAAGATGTCGTGACTTTCTACCAAGGGCCGGCGTTATACCGTTTGCAGCCAATGGATTATCACCGTGACATCATGACTCTCGACCCGGATAAGCGGGACAAAAAGCCAAGTTATCAGCTGAAAACCTGAGACATGCGGCGACCGCAATGCAGCTAGAGGACCACGAATACGAGAGCGGTGTAGGAGGAGCAGCGGTGATGGGCTGGATCTGATGTGATGCCTGGAGGCCACTTCAGAATTTCACCTAGCGAAAGAGTTGGCCCTTGCTGTGCGGGACTGGCTGGCGATCCCAGGTGGCTCAAGGCGAGGTCAGTTGAGGCGGTCTCATTGCTTTGTTCGACGGCTCAAGACGGTGTTGAGCAAGGAGCTGCTGGCGGTGATGGTGGACTTCTGAGTTTAGCTCTAGATCCTCTTGAGTTGAACACTCATACTCTGAGTTTTGCGCTAAACGCTCCGAGTATTTCGCACGAAATACCTCAACTTTCTGGTCCCCAGCCCCCTTTGAGCAGCACTGGCCGCCAATCAAGGCCACGCCATTACCAAGGCGTGGAGCGCTCCCCTCCGTGAGCACCTTATCCATTCGCTCCTTCGCCTTTAACCTTCCCCTCAGGATCTGCATTGGCAAGCGAGGAGCGACAAGGTTGCCGGTTGCCCAGCCCCGAAAGCCTGTCAGGACCACGTCTTGCAGCCAACCACAACGATTGACGCCCTGCAACACCTCGCTACCAGACAAACTATTGATATCCTGTGTAACCTGACATGCTGTGGAGCGGGAGGTCGAGAGAATGTCCGGACAAAGACAATACGAGCCACTTTACCCCTGTCTATTGAGGTTGCCGTTCCCGTTGGGGGCATATTTTCCAAGTGGACCGCTGTCTAGATGAGGAAGTTGGTTAAGAGCTAGAAGTTTTTGTGATGCCTTTGGCACCCATGTCTTTTGCTCCATCCATATCTCTATCCGGTGCCGAACTTCTGTCCTTCAAAACCCTTCATTCACATGTCATCGAAACCTGTTTTGAACCAACCATTGACCCCCTTCAGGCCCGCACACATCTCCCACACAAGCGTCAGAGTCCCTTCGGACTCGCAAAAGAAGTGCCTGTAAAAAGATTTCAAATTTCAACAGATTCTAAACCCATGCGAGGTGCAGTAGGTTTTGGTGGACCCTCGAGAAGCTTTGTATCATGGTCTGGATGCCCAATCAACCGTACTCGCTCGAGTCCATAGGCTTTTATTTTTCTCTGAGGGAGGCTTGCATATCGCTACTCCGCCCTCATTCTTTCCGATTCATACTTCCAGCTGAACTTTCCCGTCGGGCATTGGGCTGGACAGTTCTGATCGCCCATCCCTTCGCCCTCTCCGATGCTTCTTCTCACCGTTGGATATTCGCTGCTTTTGCTCTCTCTCCACTCTGTCAGTGGCCGCCCCACGGGGTCTGCCCTCTGGAGTACCTTGCTCATCCACCTCTCTCCGTCTTTCTCACTGCTCGCACCATCGGGTCCGCACACTCACCCCTTCGAATGTTTGCTATTCTTTGTCTCCATGCTCTTTCTCTCGCAGCTTCACTAGTGTCCCCCAAGGGGTCCGAGCACTTCTGCCCCCTCCAAAATGCTGGCTTCAATCACGAATGGGAAGGAGTCGGCTGTGCCCACTTGGTCTGTTATTCCAGTTTGCTAGTCCAGTTTGTGATTCCAAAGTTCCAGCAATATGCGTGTACCATACCTAGTTACTCCAGCCAGAGCAGTGCGGGGCAGGACAGGACAGGGTGCTCTCTTTCTTTCTTTCTTTTCGTGGCGGAAGGGCTTTGCTGGCTAATTCATGCACGTCCCGACGCCCCTCCTTGGGCCTCAGCAACAAATCACAACGTCGCAGCACTGTCCCAATTACTGTGATTCTCTTTTCCCAATCGAGCCCTTTTCCCTTGCATATGCAACAACCTAGTCAAGTCCACTCCGGCCAGGTTAAAGGGGGGGCTGTGTTTTCTTTTGGTGGCTGGATTGCTCAAATCACAGGGGGGGAGCAACCGCCTCGGTATCGGCCCACCATGCCTCAGATTTCTGGCGTCCTTGACCCTTATCCTTGTCTGCTTCCTGGAGGGCCTCTGTTTGCTACCTGTAGATTGCTTGTTCGCTGCTTGTAGATTGCTTGTTCGCTGCTTGTAGATTGCTTGCTTGCTCCTGGTGTTCACTCTCCCTGCACCTCGTAGCTTGCTCGTAGTCCCCAGCCCGCTTGTCAATTGTTTGTTTGCTCTTCGGTCCTTTACTCCCCAGTCCTTTATTCTCCAGTCCTTTGCTCCGACATGGACGAGTTATTCCGGACCATCATCCAATGTCCTTGGTGCCTGGGTACAAAGCGCGCAAAGTACCGCCGCTGTTGATTGATGTAAGCGCCAAGAGACCCCCCCCCCCCAAGTGATCAAGATGGCTCCATAACTTTTCTTCCCTGTCCCATACGGACTCATGCGCGGTACCATGAGACTCGCCGCAGCGCGGTGATTACAGCGATGCCAAATTCACAGGACATTTGCTTAATGGTCGTCGTGATGCGGGCAGTTGTCTGGGGTTTGAGATTTTCGAGGTGGTCGGTCGTCGACCAATCAGACGCTGCTCCAAACCTTGATCTGAGAGGATCTGGTACTTGTGGCTCCTAATGCAAAGTATATCGGATCAGGTACCTTGTTAGCGAAACGGTACTTTCTTGACATACTTAGGTACCTACTTGTTAGGTACCCGCCTCGCTTATTAGGTGTTAGCTCTTGGTGGTTACTCTAGGCCCTGTAGGCTGTAGCATGCCCCCCGACCGTCGCCTACCGCACCCTGGACAGCCGCCTACGCTACTCCCAGGCTGTCGCCTAAGGTCCCCCCACAACCTAACCGGGAATTCACCTTGGGAACCCCGAGGCACCCCCAGCCACCCCTAGCAAGCACCTGGAACCCGCTAGAAACCAGCTATCAACTCCCGAAACGCCAACCGGGCTCTGGGAGAACCAGCAACAACCACAGGCCAACTCTGGCCGGGTACACAGGAATCTTACTGAGAGAACAGTCACATTATCATAGGGCCGATGCAGTCGTGCTCATTTTGGGCGGGAGGCAATGTTCATTCTCTGTGTAGGGATATCAACTTTTTGCTACGTGTCAAAGAAAGTGTCGCCTGTGCTGTGTTGCTGTCACACAGGCCCCAGAACAAGAAAGCGGGTTGCATCGTCAACTGACAAGGAAAGCCGCCCACCGTGTCATCCCATTCCACGGTCGAACCAGTAAACAGTAGTATTCCGGCAATCTCATAACTTGTTGCACTCAAGCACTAGCATGATGCATTGACAAAAGGACCGTGGGCCTCCACCCATTCCTCTGGCATTGGCAGGACATGAAACATGGATAAAAAGCAAGACGCAGGTCCAGTGTGGTGTGATTATCTGGGATTTATCGAGAGAAAGCGACCACGAATTTTCCTCTTTTTGTCTCGATCAGATTATCGAGAACAGTTCTTCTCAGTGATGCTATGTTTTTGTGTTTTTTTTTTTTTCCTTTTTGGGTGGGATCTGTTTCCAATGACTCGCAGGTGCCCTTATGTTTCCGGTATAAATGTGGCTATAGAGGCGCCATTGGTAGTACAATCAGCAAAAAAGACGGATGACAAAAGCCTCCTGATCGAAGAATGTGCCCCGTCGACGTGGAGGGCCTTGCCGGTGGGCGACTGTCTCGAAGGAGTTGGCAGGAATGGAAGTCGGCTAATCACCAGTGAAAGCCTTTGAGTCAGCAATGCGACTGTCAATCGACTTCTGCTCTAGCATGCTGAACTTACCATCGCCACAACACATCATAACCCAGTCCTGTCGCCTACATGTGGCTCATTTTAGGCTGCATACACTTGTCCGTTCCTTCCACTCTCCACGGCGGTCCCTAAAATAGCTGGCTCCGTGCTCGTCACAGGCACCGGGGAATGCGAAGAGTCTGAAAGTTTCCGAAGGCGCGTCACTCGCTGCGCACTCGATGACCTTCGTACAAGGTCCAGCTCCCTCACCAACACACTCAGGCCATTCCAACAAGCACCACACGGTCTTCTCTGACGCTGCTGGCTCTTCCGGTCTCAAGGTGTGTCTTGGACAAGTTCGACCGTACCAATTTTGACACACCACAGAATCCCATTGGACGTCGTCCTTGGGCAGCTCAACCACTGAGTGGACACACATGGTGGTGCCTTCAAAAGGCTTGCCACGGCAGTCTGGGAAGAGGTGCATTTTCCACGCTTTGGGAAAGTCTGGCATGAGTGCCAGGGCCCACCACCTCAAGTGGTATTGCTGGGTTTTGTTCATGCGAAAGGTGTAAGCATCGAATTGAAACTGTGATATTGTCTTGCAGTCCAATAAATAGGAGACAACTAGGCGAAGTACCTCATCAAATGTGCCGATGCGATCAAATGTAGCGTGGTTGAATGGTAAGTCGTACTTATCATCCGGTGCAGCGCGCTTTTCACCACGAGAAGTTCCGGGCGTGATGGCGGAGTGATGGTTCCCGGAGGGACAGCTCTCCAACAAAGCAGATGAAGATGCCGAGCTGTTGTCGGCACTTGCGGGGGTGAATGTGTCGACGGCTCCTTCAGCGGGAGAGCTAACCACCGTATTGTCACTACCTGCCGAGTTTTTGTCGTCATTGACGGGACCTTGGGTGCCCTGAGTCGTCGCATCATGCGAAGAAACGTTGTTTCCTGCGTCACCGAGCTTGAGATTGGCCTGGGAAGCATGCTCAGAAGGAGAATTCTCCGCAGCATCATCAACAGAAAGGGGCACCAAAGAAGGTGAATGCAGAAAAGGATTCGGTGGAGGTCGAGGGCTCTGTGGCCTCAGCGTGGTCTGCGGCAAGAAAGGGAGCTGGGGCATTGGAAGTGTTCGGGACATCTGAGGTGCTCGGGGGATGAGAGGTATGTTGAGCGTGATAGGGCCCCGGGGGGTATGATAGACCGGGGGCCAGATAGGGCTTGAGCGGCTTGGAGGTGTCAGGTACCCTGGGGACTTTAGAGACAACGGGGTCTGTTCTGGGGACATTGTGGGTATCCGAAGCCGTGGAATCGATAAGGTTGGTGGGGAAAGATTCCTAGAGAAGAGCACAAGAGAGATGGGGAGAGAGATTGAGAGTGACGAAGCAGAAAGACGGGAGCAGGTCGATGAGAGTTCGCGGTGGACAGGCAAAGAAACAGAGGACGAAGCTGAGAGAGAGAGATTGCAAGGAGCAGCTGTGAGCGGAATCTGGGAGGAGCAAAGGTTGGAAGGAGCAGTCGAGGCCGAGCGGACCATGGGCATACTGATATAGATCTGTTCTGTATGCCTTTCGAATTGAGGAGCGTCGCAAAGCTGGGGTACCTACCTGGAGCAGCACCCAATGGTCGAATAAGTGGAACTCCTTCGATCGAGCGAACCATCACTCGCGGATAGACGGATCACCTTCGTCTATCGGTTCCTCCTGAGAGAGTGAGGTGCCTACTCGGCGCTAATCTCTGAACCATCTGGGCATGTCGAGTTGTGGCATCTTGAGCAAGACTTTGATTTGTTGGATCCTTGATCTGAAACAACCAGCCCAATTGTGGCAGCTTCGGATTGCTTTTACAGAGACAGGATCGGGCAAGCCAAGGAAGGGATGCAGTGCGGAGGCGCTTGCACGGACCCCATGTCAGCCCGATAGAGTTTGACGGCGGCAACATGGCCTGAGTGCGGCTGCAAGGACTCTCTGAGGGGCTGGAGGAGGGTCGGGAAGAGGGAGGTAGGGAGGTAGGGGCCGCCTTTTTCTGCTTGCCACCCGGTTGACCAGGATCTCTAACTGAGGTTGCGGTGCGATGACCCGTTCAGTCTGACGGACTCGACGAGGGAGGGTTCGAGGTTCAAGGAAGGCTGAACTTAGCAGTTGGAAAAGAGCGGATTGAGGACCCAGGACTGAAGACCCGGGACGCAGTCTGATGAAGGGAACTGCCGAGTGCGGCTAAGACGACGGCACTGAAGAACTCGAGAGACACCAAGACGATGGTTGGCAGGACTCGGCAAACCTGACGGAACTGTCGCCTTTCCCCAGAGAGCCAGTGAAGGTGTGGCACGAAGGATTGTCGTTGTTTCTGGAGAGGCCGCCTGTGGCAAAATCAAGTATATAAAGTGGTGTGCTGAATCAGCACAACGAGCCCCCCCACTCTCATTGGCCTCGTCCTTCTTGGCTCAGGCTGCTTGCCACGACGGTCACCCACGTGATAGAGCCAAGACGCTAGTCCCCAAAGCATACTAGCCATTGGGCACTGCCGCGTCTCCCGACAGGAAGCAGGCTGAGCAACAGAAACTCCGTCAGCACCGGCCTCTCTTGAAATTCGTCTGCCTGCCTCGACGGTGATATGATGTGACAAGTCTATTGAGCTTCCTGCTGCATTGCTCTTTTCATCTTCCACTGACGTCCTCACAAATCAGTCAGACTGGCGTTCTTCGTACCCCCAACTTACGACGCGGCGGGGAGACGGCGCTCAGGTGCAGGCGCAATCTACGACGGCTTCGGCAAGACTCAAGTCATCGACGACCACTCTGCCCACATGGCTTATCCCGCTCTCGCGACCGGCACAGGTCGTAACATCGACATGGCCAAAACCGAGTCGGATCTGGCCATCAACATCCGCAAAGCTACCAGCATCGAGGAGACTGCACCCAAGCGGAAACATGTTCGCTCATGTATTGTTTACACATGGGACCACCGATCCTCCTTGTCCTTCTGGGCGGGGATGAAGGTCCAGTATGTCTTCCACCGTCCTTCCCGGTCGTCGTCGATGGATTGCTAACCATGAGACAGGCCCGTCATGGCGGACGAGGTCCAAACCTTCAAAGCGTTGATCACCATCCACAAAGTCCTGCAAGAGGGTCACCCGGTGACGGTCAAAGAGGCGCAGCAGAACATAAATTGGATCGAAAGTCTTGCTAGAGGCGTGACTGGAGAAGGACTGCGAGGATACGGCCCTCTTATTCGTGAATACGTCTTCTTCCTGCTCGCGAAGCTGGGCTTCCACCGCAACCACCCCGAGTTCAATGGTCTCTTTGAGTACGAAGAATACATCAGCCTGAAGTCGATTAACGATCCCAACGAAGGCTACGAGACCATCTCTGACCTGATGACCCTGCAGGATCAAATTGACACTTTCCAGAAGCTGATCTTCTCGCACTTTCGCGGCGGGTCGAACAACGAGTGCCGCATTGCAGCCTTGGTGCCCCTGGTCCAGGAAAGCTATGGGATCTACAAGTTCATCACCAGTATGCTTCGAGCAATGCACACCACAACCGGCGACGATGACGCCCTTGAACCACTCCGCACTCGATACGACGGCCAACATTATCGACTCGTCAAGTTCTACTACGAATGCTCCAACCTCCGATATCTGACATCCCTCATCACCGTGCCCAAACTTCCTCAAGATCCTCCCAACCTCCTAGCCGACGACGACGAAAGACCCGCCCTCCCCAAACGGCCTGCCAAAGAAATCGAGAAACCTCCTACTCCCGTGGCAAAGAACGGAACCCCCGATACCCAGAAGGATATCGAGGACTTCTGGACAAGAGAAGCTCAAAGACAACAAGAGGAGTATGAGGCGGAACAACGTCGTCTGCAGCAACAATGGGAAGACCAGCAGAGGCAACAGATGTTGGCACAGCAAGAGGCGCAGCGTCAGTTCGAAGAGCAACAGAGGCTGCAGGCGGAGCAACAACGCCTCGCCCAGGAACAACTTCTTCGCGATCAGTACGCTGCACAAACCCAAGGTCGCTTGGCTGAGCTGGAGCGGGAGAACCTCAACGCTCGTGCGCAGTATGAGAGGGATCAGTTGATGCTTCAGCAATACGACCAGCGCATGAAGGCTCTCGAAGAACAGCTGCAACAGCTCAACGCCAACTTCCAGATGCAATCTCAATCCAAAGACGACCAGATCGCGGCGTTGCAGGAACAAGTCAACACGTGGCGGTCCAAGTACGAGGCGTTGGCCAAGTTATACTCTCAACTGCGACAGGAACATCTTGATCTTCTTCAGACCACCAAGTCACTGAAGTTGAAAGCGGCATCGGCCCAGGAAGCCATTGACCGCCGCGAGCGCCTTGAGCGCGAGATGAAGACTAAGAACCTTGAGCTGGCCGATATGATTCGTGAACGCGATCGCGCCCTGCACGAAAAGGATCGGGCTCAAGGTTCCAACCGAGAGGAGGTCGAGAAGCTGAAACGTGAACTGAGACTTGCGTTGGAGCGAGCTGAGGATGCTGAGAGGGCCAAGGGGTCCGAACTGTCGTCGATGCTAGCCAAATACAATCGTGAAATGGCCGATCTGGAAGAGGCAGTTCGGAGCAAGACAAGACAACTCGAAGAGATTCGCTCCAAGCAGGGCGAACGGAACTACGACCAGGAAGCCGCCCTGCGAGAAAAGGATGATGAGATCGAGATTTACAAGTCGGGGATGGAGCAGGCACTGGAGGAGCTCGAAGAACTCAAGTTGGGACACGGCGAGTCCGACGGTGCGCTGGACGGTGCCATTGACGAAGTCATCAAGACCACCGTCAACAAAATCAACGACATTATCGACTCCGTCCTTCAGAGCGGCGTGCAGAGGGTGGATGACGCTATGTACGAACTCGACTCTCCCATGCAGGCCGGCAATCAGAACGCCACGGCACCCTATGTCCTGTCCCAGATCGAAAAGGCCTCTGCCAGTGCGACCGAGTTTTCCACCGCATTCAATAACTTTGTCGCGGACGGACCTAACAGCCCGCACGCAGACATCATCAAGACTGTTTCCGTCTTTGCGGCGTCCATCGCCGACGTCTTGTCCAACACCAAGGGCCTGACACGCTTCGCGACCGAGGAAAAGAAGGCCGATCAATTGATCGATGCCGCGCGACAGTCCGCCCTTTCCACGGTCCAATTCTTCCGCAATCTGCAGTCGTTCCGCCTCGAGGGACTGGAAGCCGTGCAGAAAACCGATGTGGTGATCAACAGCAACCACGATGTGCTCATGAAACTGCAAAAGCTGTCGAAACTCGCCGATGCCTTTGCACCCAAGGGAAGCAAGCTCAAGACCACCGGCGATTTGGGTGACCTGGTGGACTCGGAGTTGACCAAGGCCGCCAACGCGATCGATGCCGCGGCACAGCGTCTTGCCAAGTTGAAGAACAAACCTCGTGATGGTTATTCGACTTATGAGTTGAAGATCAACGACTCGATCCTGGAGGCGGCCCTAGCCGTTACCAACGCCATTGCACAACTGATCAAAGCAGCCACGGAATCGCAGAATGAAATCGTGCGCGAGGGGAGAGGGTCCTCGTCTCGTACTGCATTCTACAAGAAGAACAATCGCTGGACCGAGGGACTGATATCCGCCGCCAAAGCCGTGGCCACGTCGACCAACACTCTCATTGAAACCGCTGACGGCGTGATTTCCGGCCGCAACTCTCCCGAGCAGTTGATCGTGGCGTCAAACGATGTCGCCGCTTCGACAGCACAGCTTGTCGCTGCATCTCGGGTCAAGGCGAGTTTCATGTCCAAAACCCAGGACCGCTTGGAGCAGGCCAGCAGGGCGGTGGGAGCGGCTTGTCGTGGCTTGGTCAGGCAGGTGCAGGACATCATCAAGCAGAAGGCGAGGGATGAGGGCGAATCGATGGACTATTCCAGGTTGAGCGGACACGAATTCAAGGTCAGGGAAATGGAGCAACAGGTACGTATCCGTTCTCTTCTCTCTCTGTGGTGGTGTCTCGGAAGGACTGTATGCTAACTCGTGAATGTGTTCAGGTCGAGATTCTCCAGCTGCGAAACGCCCTAGATGCGGCGCAGGCGAGGTTGGCCGAAATGCGGAAGCTTTCTTATCGCGAGGATTGAGGACCATCACTTGAATTCCCAAACAGATTGGTAACGACTCTTCCTTCTCCGGTTTCACTCTTGCCGACAGGATGAAGGGGGTGAGGGCAAGAGACGATGGCAGTGGTTGGGGGGAATGGCAATGACGGGACGTGTGAAATGGAGGATCATGAAGACCGGCGATAATGAACCCGAGCCTGACATGAAGCAGAAGCACGAGCACGAGCGAAGTCGATACAGCCGGGTCGAAGTCACTGGTAGAGAGCAGCATAGGCAGCAAGTATATCGAGATTGGTGTATTGGTACGCTTTATCCTCCCAAGGTATCAGCCTTAACCATTCCCAGCATTCTCTAACCTACTTATCCTTATCCTTATCAGCATCACACAACCACGCACAATTGAGGGACATCGTTGTCGGACCATGTTCCAATCCTTTTCCGACCCCGTTCAGGGCTGGCGCGGTGATGCCGTCAGCCACGCTCTCGAAACTCGGCGCCGCGCGCTCGGGAGTATTGCACACCGTATTCTCAGCTGAGGGTTGAGGCTGCCCGGAACCGCTATTCGATGGGCTGGCAGCGGAGGTGTTGGCCCCCGGGGTGGAGGCTGTGCCGAAGACAGGAGATGAGACGGCGCCATAAGGGCTTACACGCGAGTCTCCTTTTCGACGGTTAGAACCCTTGAAAAGGAGGCGAGCCTGTAACCGTGGGACGTAAAGGCGTTAGGATACCCGGCATCAAAGAGATGACCTGCAAGCTGACAATGACCTCAAGCAATATAACAATAAACTCCTACAACACGACAATGACCGCCTATACCAGGAGAACGGCCGCCTGCCCGCTGAAAATCAGCGCCTGCGATATGACAACGACCTCCAGCGAGACGACATTGATCGCCTGCAAAACGACAATGCGGCGATCCCAGAGCTGCAAGAGCAGCTGACGGAGCTGGAGAGGGCCACAGGTCGAGATGATGATGGGATCGCCCTCGTCGTTCCTGGGCAGCGCCGACTCTTCGGTTCCGGCCCGTGGATGAGGAGGCGTTCGGGGCTGATACACATATCCAACCCTCCGAGCCAATATATCCACCAATCCATCCCGAATCCTTTTGTTCCTTTTCGCTCCGCCGGGGCGCCACCAATGTTTTGGTGGTTGGCCATTGGATGGCAATGCTCAACCCCGCCCCGGCGAAGACAGACACATAGCCATGACCTGGCATGTCTTGATCCTGAAAATCACCATCCAGGCGATCCTCATCCGCCCAAACCTTTCCTCCCGCGATAGGGATATTTATTATCCCTGAAATCTTGCGGATCGAAACCCGAGCCTTTTCTCGAATCCCTCCGCGATATAATCCTCCTCCATTCGACCGCGGAACATGCTTTCCTTCATCAAAACAACCCCGCCAGCCACAGGCAATGTGGAGCCTGGCTTCTGCATATTCCATCCACGATCGACCTCCCTTCTTTGGTCCTCGAATGACCGAATTTCTCGAGGAACGCCATCCTAATATTTTCGACGGCCGACCGGACGCCGCCACGCTAGATATTCAAGGGGCGACGCATGCCAAACCGACCATCATGGACTATGACGTGTCGCGCCGGCGCAACGCGTGTCGCTATGATGGTCTCTCTCCCTTCGTCCTGTTGTCCTCTCGATATCTGGCCTCTAGCCGTCCCCTCTTGAAGCCTTGACTCGACTCGTCGTCTTTCGCGCTGAGAATCCTCTCGCTCTCGAGCGAAATTCTCCCTCTCGCGGTTGTCGTCGTCGTCCACGCTCAGCAGACCCGGTCACATCCGTTGACCCCGCCGCGTCTCAACTCAAAGTCTGCGTCATTTGTGACTACAGACGCGAACGATATCGAGCGTAGAAGTTGGACTGGGTGGGTGTAAAAGGGGATCCTTCAGTGGTTTATATCTCCACGCCTTGTCCTGGTTCTCAAGCCGGCTCTGGGGTCGTATCCAATCTCATCCGGGGTCGGATCCAATCTCACGTGCTTTGACCGGATCGTGCTGGAAGAGAGAAGCCGCACAAAAAAATCAGAAAACGCCGAAACCTCCCAAAAAAGTAGAAAATGAAAAAAAAAACTGTGCTAAAAAAAAAAGAGAAAAGAAAGAGGAGCTCTGCTCCTCCAGGGGGGGGAGAACGGGCTTCTTATAGGTCTCGAGGCCTGCTGTTCCTTGGCACCCTCCCTGCTCCCTGCTCCCTGTCGATTCCTCCTCGTCGTCAGTAGCTGTGAAAGCGCGTAGTCCTATTGTGGTAGTGCCGAGGCAGAACAGCCCACGGCCTGCGGACTTGGCCGAGTCTTGGACAACCAGCGCCGGCGAATCGCAGCTTGTTGTCGCCTTGCTGCACTCAATACTGCCCAATCAAGGCGTGTAGATACCAGTGTGAAACCGGGGCTGATGTGAGATTGCGGCCTGCCCATTGGGTGGTGCTCGAGCACATGTTTGTCGCAGCTGCCCCCCATCTTAAAGTCGCCGAGCGAGATTTGCAAAGGAGTTGTTTTGTAAAGATGCGGTTCCGAGTACAAGAAGCACGAGTACTGTAACAGCGGAACCGGTGCGTGAGTGATTGCTTGTTCACCGCCGTGTTGCTGCACTATCTTGTTACGTTTTGCTTCATCCTGCCAAATGTCGATCTGTCAAAAGTGAAACACCGCCCCTCCTCTCCTCGAGACCGGCAGCTCAACTCGCAGCAAGAAACAAAAGCAATCGGCCCGCTGACTGACCGACTGCCTGATTGCTAGAATTGGGGGTGACTGACTGTACTCGGTAGAAGCAGATCCAGAAGCACCCTTCCACCTATCCCGCCGGCGAGACCTTCGCGACGGGCGAGCTCAAGCACAGAATCCGTCCCTCACTTTTCCTCCCCGCGTCCTCCTCGACCCCCTCTCGATCCTACCTGCGAGCAAGCGAGACTGCTTCTCTGAAGCAGAGTTGCGAAAAGCAAAACATGTTCTATACTACACAGGCAGGGAGGTGGGAGCGGCGGGAAGAGTCTAGATAATGTCATCACGGAGGTGCCCAGGGCCCAGGGACATTCGAGGCCCTGGAATCAATGCAAAGTCCATTCAAGACAACGTCGCGGAGAACTGGGTGAATGATGGACGAAGCATACGAGGTATCCCGTATACGCCCCAAGTCAATGCGGGTACGGGTGGGCTTCATTGCAGCAAGTGCGACTACCATCCCGCAAGATTCCACGTCACGCATGGACACGCACGCGGCAGACTGCGACGTTGCTTGTTTTTGCCATCAACGAACCAGGATATATATATTTTGTGCTATGTACCGCGTAGAGATAGTATACGCGTCTTGATCTTTCCAGGAGCCCGAACTCCGCCGGGGTGTGGTTTGACCTGCGTCTTCCCCTCCGTCTTGGTCGCCCCGTGGTCTTGGGGCACGTGTATATTTCCCACGTGGGCCTTGGGGTTGTCCTACAAAGACTGGAGTGGCCGTGTATTTCTGGCGGCACGTGTATGGTATTTCTCCTCTCGGAATTTTTGCTGTGGAAGGCATTCCCACCAGCCATCAAGTCCATCAGGGCTGCCAGAGGGTCGGTGGTTCCGTGGACCACTGCTCCGCAAGACCTGAGCGCGGCGGAGGCCGACTCTCCTCCCAAAAGAAGTCCCTTGTGGACACAATGCTCTCGCAGATGAGGGGGCTCCCGCTCCAAGTATTTGGTATGAGCTGCGTCGAACCGCTTCCGTCTCGAGTCGTGCGGACCTCTCGCTCTTGGGAAGCAGCTCTCCCTCCGCATCTCCATAAAGGGAGACTCTTCTCCATTTGAGAGCACGGACAAGATTACTTCGATCGCAAACTTTCGAGTTTTGAGCTTTGAGGTCCGCGATCCCACGGGAAGAGGGAAATTCTTTCTGGGATAGGCTGTCTGACCTGGTTTTCAGACACCGTCGCAGTTCATAGATATGAATTGTGTAAGAGATGTTCCATTTTTTCTAACACTCGCTGTGGATCACGACGACACTGTATGATCTTGGACGTAGCCGAGTGTGTTGCTGCACGGTGGCGGTGTTCAAGGATGGGGGAGCGCGCGGAGGTCACTTGAGCTTGACCATGGCAAAGAGGTGGGTTTTCTCGTAGGGAGTTGCGGAACAATTGCAACTGGACGGGCGGAGGACGGAGGAGATGAGGACAATGCGGGGTTTTTCATGCTTGATCGCGATGCCGCCTGAACTGACACTGCGGCCAGAATGTTGGTGTCATAGAGGGTTCAAAGGACTCGAGAGGGATTCGGAGGACTCGACAGGGAATTCAGGATTCGAGGGAGATAAGAAGACCACTCGAAGAGGGTTCAAAGGACCCCCTTCAAAGGGGTTCTTGTCACAGTGTGAAAGATTGATCGATTCAGCCTTGAGGCCCAAGGCCCAAGGGCAAGCCAGTCTAGAGACAAGGTAAATAAGGCTGAGAGCGCCCAAATGAGGGGTGGTCACGTGATGTTGTCAGTTGTATCCGCAACAATGCAAAGGACGCGACAAGACAGTGGGCGCGACAGAACAAAGGATCCGTGATCGGTCGACGTCGACTTCACATCAATCAGTCATCTCTGGGGGCCCGGAAGTGGTTGAATTCAACCTATCAGTTGCGTTCGACTTGGAGAGTGTCAGGAGGAGTCGACGAAGCCGTCAAGTTCAATGTCCCCTAACACAGTTAGCTTTGCATTAGGCTTGTTCTTGATGGGAGGTTGAGCATCAACGAGCTGACACCACGAGCGCACGAGGCTCGAAGTCAGCCTTTAGGAGGCTGGTAGGATGTTGCACCACTCGAGCGACGCGAGGTGTCGCTGTCAGTTATGTGGACGCAGCTCCGCAGACCTGGAGAAGATATGAGTGGGAAGACTGTGGACTGCAGGGTTGGAGTGCAAACTGCGGGGTCGCGTTCAAGTCAAACATTCCAAGAACCATATAGAGAGAGACACTGTAAAGGGACTAGTGTGCGTCCACCAAATTGAGATTACTGTATAGATGTACGGTATATGAGCCCAGGCTAGCGCTCCCGGTGCCTGGCAATACTTGGAGTGAAGACCTGCTGAGGTACAGGAGAGGGAGACAGCCACTTTTCAGACTTGTTCCTCGTGCCGGTGAACAGATTGGCAGCCATGTAGACTAAATACCGAGTCTGTTCGCTGGAGAAGTCGGACCAGTGAACCGAGACGACTCGAAATGCAGCAATACAACTTCACCCTCACCTGAGTTGTTGCTTTCAGTGCCATGAAGAGCGGGCAGGAAGGGCCAACTTTGATTCCTCTTGGTGGGACACCATGATGATTCGCATGCGCCGACCTTGATGGGGATGAAGACTGGTACCTCAACATGACCTGATCAAGGGAATGTATCTGGAGAATCAAATGAGATTTCCAGACCGTGTTCCTTACTTCACTCACTGACGCCAAGCCCATTCATTTTCACAGGTGCGGTACCGTGAGGATTTGAAAAGATTTGGTAGCAAGGTGAACTTTCTCTCTCCCTTCTCTCCATCTCTTGTTCATACACACACACACACACACACACACACACACACACACACACACACGTGCGACAAAATGGCGTCTTATTGCCCATATTGCGCAAGAGAAGCTGACCACGGTTGGCGATACTGCATGTTCTGCAGAATGCCTCTGCCACCGGGCATCCGACGTCCAATTTCTGGTGGATATCACCCATTTTCAGGTGGACATCACCCAATTCCAGGTGAACATCACCCAATTGCCCAACCCTTGAATGGGTATCAGCGACAAGTTGCACAGTTTCGTGATGGATACCATCATCGGCCGACGACAACCATGCCGCTCCTCACTAGCCCGCTTCAAACCCCTCACACGCCGAACAATTGTCAAGACCAGGACGTACAGGGCACTCCACTACGACTCCGGTTACTGAACGTGTCAGATGGGAATACTCAGAATGTGCGTCAACATGAACCTCGTCGCAACCACTGGAATGCCTCACATCGCCGTACTCAAACACGTCGATCAAGACGCGAGTCTCGCGGTATGTCGACCCCCAGAGAAGGTCCGGAGGCCACACGGAGTGAACAAGCCGATCAACCCCCTGAAGACGGCGAAGCATCCACTGGTGCGAAAACGCCTTGTATCTCAGATGACAATGCTATGGAATATGGCGAAAAGAAGGATGAATGGATGGCCGAGATCCCCGGGAAACGAGCGACTGCGAACACAGCCACAGAAGAAGCTGGGAACAAGCCAGATGCGAAGCCAAAGGCTCATATCCAACAAAAGACTCCCGTCCAGCGCACCAAAGTAGTCTTCCCAAGGGACTCAGCCCAACATGCGGCCCTAGGAGCGCCGAGACTCTCGATTACATTTGGAAATATGCCACCAGTGAACCAGGACGCAGCCCTTACACAAAATTACAAGACAGAAGTCCCCGAATAGGACCCCGAGACTTTCCACAGGACTCCGAGTACCTGTGAAGGGCAAACCTGGTGAATCGGATGGAGTTTCGAAGAACGATCGCAAGAAGGCTTCAGAAGCGGACGATGAGGCGTTGGTCACTATTTGGAGAGGAGAGGAATGCGTCGACGGAAGTGTTTTCCCATAGAGAGCTTCAAGGAACCATAGCCAATGAAGTGATGTGCCTCAAAGGCTTGGGGTTGTTCGATCGGCAGTAAGTGCACCCAGACCATAGCTTGCCCTATTCTTGTGTTCGCCCAGGTCGCTCCAAGGCCAGGCCAGGTACGTAGAAACGAGGCAAACTTTGTTGAAGAAATAGCACTTGAGCGAGATCACGAATTGGACTGTCTATCTGCGCCCGTGGCTTGTCGTTTATATACAAATCGCTGCGGCCAAAGACTGCCACACAGATCTCTTGGGGGACGGCATCCAATTTGACGTTTACGCTAGCCTGTGGGAGCCAAGTGGTGCATTACGGGTCGGAGATTGCACCAATCACATTCACTGCTTCTCCGACGTTCGCTGGCTGGAACAAGAGGCGTTGGATTCAACCCCGGTATAATGCTGCGTATAAAGGTAGAGAGGTTGCCTCCACGGACACTGCATCGAGTTTCCCTACCACCATCCACTCTTTCTTGCACGATGTCCAGTTCATCTGACCGTATCCCCGTCCCGGACCAGGCTGAATCCGACGCCTGGTTCCCGTCGCCTTTCTCGCTGACGCAGTACGTGCCCTCCAAGACTGACTTTGACGGTGCGGACTATCCGGACGCGTATAAAGGTGGCAAATGGAAGATTCTCCTCATTGCCACGCAAGAGCGCTATCTGAAAATGGCCGGCGGCGAGTTCTTCTCCACTGGCAATCACCCGGTCGAGATGCTTCTGCCGGTGCTCCATCTCGACGCAGCCGGCTTCGAGGTCGACATCGCCACCGTCTCCGGCGACCCGGTGAAGCTCGAGATGTGGGCGTTTCCCAAGGACGACGTCGCGGTCCAGAACGTCTTCCAAAAGTACAAGGACAAACTGCGTCAGCCGCTCAACCTGGAAGAGGTCTGGGGCAAGGGATTCACGAAAGAGACACCGTACATTGGCATCTTCATTCCCGGCGGACATGGCGTCATGAACGACGTGCCCTTCTCGCGCACGGTGGGCAACATTCTGCGCTGGGCGCACGCCCATCAGCGCTACTTCATTTCGCTCTGCCACGGCCCGGCGAGCATGCTGGCCGCCAACGTGGACAGGCCCGCCGGCAGTAAATTCATTTACGACGGCTATCGGATCACCGTCTTCCCGGACTCGCTCGACCAAGGACCCAACGTCGACATCGGATACATCCCGGGGAAGATGCCGTGGCTCGTCGGCGAGGAACTGCGCAAGCTCGGCGTCATCCCGCTCAACAAGGGCATCACAGGTGAGACGCACCGGGACCGCTATGTCCTCACGGGCGACTCGCCGCTGGCGTCCAACAATCTGGGAAAGCTGGCTGCGCGCGCTATCCTCGATGAACTTGCGGAGCATTCCTAAAGTTCGTCGCTGGCTGGAACTTGAAGTGAGAAGTTTCTAAGCCGCGAAGTGGCATTTGGAGGAAGTTGTATGTAGCATTGGAAGTAGCTTCAGAACCGAAACGAATCACACTCCTTTTTATCTCAGTTCGATCCCAGAACTAAACGTCGTTATCATTGCCGAAGGCTGATGACACAGGTGATTCCTTGAAACCCCCACGTAGCCTCGGGCCCATAGTAGTATCGTATGTCGCCAGAAGCTGAGATTCGGCTGTCATGCTTGCCTGGTGCGCAGCTATTGTGCAGGAGGAGCCCGTTGGGCTTCTGCTCAGACAGCCGACTGGCGGCTGTGGAAGCATTCAGTGAGTTGCAACCGGTCCAACAAAGCGAACTGGTTCTTGGGCAGTTTCGAGTTGTTTGATACTACGTGAAATTCGACATCCACTCGTCGTTCGAAAGATCGCCCGTCCATAACCACAACTGTCCGACATCATCAAGCGGACCGCCGGCACTTGACGTAAAGTCCAAGTCTCCAAAGTTGAGCTCCAGCAGATTGCTTGCAGCAACGTCATCTCTCAGTGCTGTTCGATCATCCAAAAGATCAGCGATTTGGTCCACCGAATCTGCTTTATGATCAGTGACAAGCCGCAAAACCAAAAATACCAGAGACGATAATCAAGCGGATTCACCTCTGGCGGGTTTGTGGTCACTATACTTACATGGCAGTGGTTGGCTGTTGAGCAGGATGTCTTTGGCTGACTCCTGGCCGTTCTGGGGATCCACGCGGAGTTCCAACGCCTTCAGCACCCCCAAGCTTTGAGTGGCGAGCCGGTAGTTCTGGCTTGGAAAGTCCTCGAACAGGTTGACGATTTTCTTTAGGGATGCAAGCCATGTTGGCTTCTCCGGGTTGCTTGGTTGGGAGGCAAGCATGAGGCAGAGGATCACGCCAGCCGTAAAGGAGCAGATGGCAACATGCATTGCGGCGTGCGACGACCGGCAAATCAGCCTCGAGGCCGCAAAAGTCGAGATGCTCGCGGTGCGGGTAGCCGATTGGGAGAGCTGTCCAATTCCATCGGCTTGATGGTGTCGGACGTCATGGCCTTCTCGCAGGTTCTTGGGAAAGACGGCTTGTCTGAACAATACCATTTGAAGGTTGTCGTACGCCAACTGGAGAGCAATGGCTTGCCACTGCACCTGTAGGGGCTGCCCATTGAATCCTGGGCCATCGCCAGAACATTTCAGCCGGTCCGGCACGCTCGCAAGCCAATCTGTCAGCTCGCGACGCACTTGAAGGAGGCCACGAAGCTGATTGGTCTGCCTTTTTCGACCGAGGAACGGGCCCATGATTCGGTACAGGCGTGCCTTGAGCTTGTGATACGTCAAGGGTGATGTCGACTCGGGTGCCGCCCCTGAGCGGGCGATATTGCCACGGACGTCGATTTCTGGCACATCACAGTCCGAATCATCGATGGCACATGGCAACCCAAATGCCACAGCAGCATATCTTTCAGAAAATCAGTATCTAACAACGGGGGGCCACAGCAGGATACAGACTTATCACAAATTTCCAAAGCCCACCAAACCAGGCAGGCCTCGGATGTGCTGCTGCGTGATTGACGATGAAGGCCCATGGCTTGGGCACATCGGACGCCACTCCCAAAGATGGCAAAGCCGAGATAAGGTAAGCCGTTGAACAGATGGAAACTTCCCAACAAGATGGCAATCTGAACTGCTTCCAAGCTTGGATCGGCCATTATCCTTGAGAATGCAACGTCGACCACACTCATCATTTCCGAGCGCAGGGCAGCGCTGATTGGCAAGCTGGAGGATGTCGCATCGTTGGTCCACAGATAGTGTGCCCCCAGACCCCAGACTAAGGACATTAAGAAGCAAAAGTTGCGATCGGCCGTCTCCATGTACTCCCCAGCTAGGGCTAGAGTCGACCGTGTGCGGAAACTTGATTCGTCAAGAACCTACCATTTACCGTCAGCGTGTCTTTTTGGACAGACTGTCCGCTCACCCCCCAAACTTGCCATCATGAACCAGTTGACCGAGCTGAAATAACTATCTGATAGCATATTCAGCACCACCGGTGACGGAACAGCGTAGGGCAGCTCATCGCGCCAGCGGAACGTCGTAGAGTCATTGACCCAGCAAGGACGACTGCCTGGAATGGCGTCGACACTTTCAACCGCTTGTCGAACAACGTCGCGGTCGAGCAGCTACCAGTGGTTATCCAAGAGGTCTCTTGGTGGCGGCAAGGAGACCTCAGGTTGGCGATAGCGCTCACCTGTTTGCTCAGGTCGACGATGCTGCTTTCCTCCAGCATGACCGGTCTCTCAACCGCGGCGGGTATAATCAGCGGTTGGTGAGTCGGAGGGACGCGTAGACCTGGAGCCACACACACGTGTCCAGATTGAAGGCATGGCCGGCAGGGTTTGTTTGGTGTGCACTGCATGGGTCAGTCCTCTGGTTGTTTCAATCCCGAAGCAGGATGCGTTGCCTTTGACTTTCGGGCCCTGCACCTTTCGCAGGCTGTCTGCCGCATGATCCAATCCAATGTTTCTCCCCGGTGTCTGGGTTCAATCGTCCAATGGGTGTTGCAAATATACCCCAAAACAGTGCAGCTGTAGACTGTCTTTGACTTGGTGGAAGATGGACGTTCATCGAGACAAGCTGCGTAAGCTGCTTGCTGTCTTAACACACTTTCCCCAACGTCAAACCCCAGAATGGAGCCCCCCATCTGGAACCCCACCGGTGCCACTTTTCAAGCCAGATGCGGCGCGTGCCGATGTGTATGCTTCGAGTTAATCTAGCTAAACGAGTTCTCTACCTCCAAATCCAGGTATGAGTGATCCAGTGCTGCGCTGTGTATCTGGAAGCAACCTTCTTTCGGCTCTCTTTCGGTCCTTTGTCGCGGGAGGGCCATGCCTAACAAACAACTTATTCGGTCACTGCCCAAACAGGCTGTCTCTGCCAGACCTGCCTTGGTTTCACTTTCTTTGTATTGGGTGAGACCTACTGCCCTGTTTGGTTTGAACTGCCTGGACTCAGGGCACGTCCCAGACTATAAATCTCACCAACTTCTGCTTTACAGCTTTCTCAAACACAACAACCGACTTTGCATCCAACATTGGGTACAACGCCAATCGCAACCACAGGTGCAACCTCCCGGATCACCTTCCAGGCTTCCACCATCAACATTCATCACTTACCTTGCCGTCATCCATGACTCCCAATCCGCGGCCAGTGGTGCCAAACGAGATGGGGAAGCAAGCTGTGTATATCTCTATTTTCCGCGGGGTGGTGTTCCGGGAAATTGAAGTCTGCATAAATGCCAAGGTCGAGGAGCAGTTCGATGCACGCTTCAGAGCGAGATTCAAGGAGAGACTCGGCGAGGCATTCGAGCCAAAATTCAAACCCATGGCCCAGCTTGTCCGCGGGAATGTAGTCGAGGAGCTCGGCAACAAATTGTCGCAGACCGTGGCGGGTATCGTCTTCCACTCGGTATTTCGCGAAGTATTAGATGAAACAGGTGCGGTGATGCGCCGGCTTCATGCTCCGAACACGTGGGTGCGAGACGCAATGTACGATCTGGTGTTCCATGAGAAATACGACGAGGTGATGGACGAGCAATTCGATGACGAACTCGAAGCCACGTTCGACCCGGCATTCGACGAAGCGTTCCCTGAGGTCTTTGATCAGAAGTTCGACGAGCTTCTCGCCGTGGTCACCAAGGCGGATTCTCCCAAAGCGGCTTAGAACGACGACGGCGAAGGCTCCTCCGACGAAGAATCTGAAATCTCTATGAAAGGAGACTCTTCCTAGAGGCTGTGGAAGAGCGTGAAGGGGTAACATGTCCAGAAGGAATGCGGCAGAGAGGCCAGGGACTGGGAGGGACAACGAACGAAACTTGTCGGCCACAGTGAAGGGTTTCAAAAGCATGGATTGTATGGGGATGTACCACGAAACAGGAAAATCATTACAAAAATATCAAAAAAAATATGGGATATGGAAGGGGGTTTGATCAGATGTAACAGACTGGAAAAGCGTACCATGTCGCAAAGGGCGCATTAATGCAGAAGACGTCTGGTGAAGCCTTGATCAATGCAAGGCCAATTTGTGCCAAATCTCCTCGACCCCCGTAGCCACGCGCAGCGAAGCTTTGCAAGCAGCATCCCATGAGGCGGCGGGCGAAGCTTCATGGCTAGGCATTGATGGCCCCGTGGCTATGTATGTTCTCTCCGATCTTGCACGGTCAGCCTAATCGACTTGCAGGGCACCGAATGGAGGTCTTGAACATATTGAATATCCTCCAACACCGCAAGTTTGGCGACAAAGCCATCTTCTATTCGAGCGACTTCATTCATTCGGGCAAAAAGCTCATTGTCGCAAATTGATCCGCTAGGCGGAGCCAGGTGTGTGTGCTCAAGTGCAAGGTCGTGGAAGGCTGATTATCTAAGTTATCTTTGTAGCTTAGCGCCGTCTGGGCGAAGAGGGCCAATGTCAAAAAATAAGTGGCCCGGTCTGACGAGAAATAGTATAGAGAAGTGATTCACGATTGACCTAAAGGTGACCACCATTAACAAGGATATTAATTTCGTGCTTAGGAACAGCGGCATCCTTATCCTTATTGATAATATTACCTATATCTGATCTGGCGACGACCTCGTCACTATTGAGTGGCTGGCTAGATTCTGAGATAGCGTCAATTCTTTGTCAGACTGTGCCATTGTTTTCTTCCGCAGGCTTGAGGGGTCACACCAGCCTCCGCGTTTCTTAGCAATAATTCGCAGTTCAGCCATCTTTCCATCCCCGACCTGGCGGCCATATAATGAACGAGGACATCCTTCCATTTCCCCCGCTCTGCCTGGCCGCCGAGTATCCGCGCGCGCCCAGAGAAGAGCGCCATCTCCTCCATCTCCCAGAATGAGTGCGTCTGGTTCAGAGGCCAGCGATGCAGACTGCTAATCCTGTGTGCAGGAAAGCGGACTACAAGCACCGCGAACCTCTCAGGCAACGCGGAACCAGGCGAACTCCGCAGAAGTACGCGTCTGGGAGCTATAGCACCACTCGAGTGTGAGAGCAGAGAAAAGGAACAGGAACCTGGCGTATTGTTTGCGGCTGGAGCCTCGCGGGGTCGAGCAGTAGGGATCTCTCTGGTTCTATTGCTGGCCATCTACTCATCATGACCGCGTTCCAGAAACCCAGACACTCCTCCCCCTTTCTCGGACCTCCCTCGAAACGAAAGCAAGGCCAGGACGCTCCCGACCCCTCCATTCCGGCGCAAGGTCCGCTACCTATGAGTCGACCTCGAAAGACTCCTTACTCCGCTTCGGCGCCAGGTCTGCCACCTATGAAGCGACCTCAAAAGACTCCTTACTCCGCTTCGGCGCCAGGTCTGCCACCTATGAAGCGACCGCGAAAGACTGCTTTTCCCAAGGCAGATAGCCTACGAGAAGACATGATCGCGTTCCAGAAACCCAGACACTCCTCCCCCTTTCTCGGACCTCCCTCGAAACGAAAGCAAGGCCAGGACGCCCCGGACCCCTCCATTCCGGCGCAAGGTCCGCCACCTGCGAAGCGACCTCGAAAGTCTACTCAAGGCAGCGCAGATGGTCAACCAGAAGAGACTGGGCCGATATTCCTTCCAGGCCCCTCTGGCCCGATCTCTAACCGGATAAAGCACAAGCAGCGGCCTCACGAGCGCTTTGAACCAAACGAGCAACCGGGAGCAGAGCTTTCGGAGGACGACAGCTCGCTGGAAGAGATTTTGGTACAGCCAGCTGCTCCGGTCAAAGGAAGTTTTCTGCGCGATTTCGACCATGAAGTCCCTCAGACTATTAAGGACCTCTGTCTCCAGCTACTCGAGAAGGACCAGACTGTGCCTCAGAACACCTTGTTCCGCGATGACCTTTTCAGCAGACTTTGCGGGAAGATACGAGAGGGGAACGAAGCGATGATTATTCAAGACGTCACTCGCTTGATTGTTCCATCCGCGATGAATCTGGCTATCTACGGCGATACACATCTCAATATCTTGATAGAAAGTGTAAACGAAGCCTGGACCGATTGCATTCCCGTGGAGGGTCCTCGCCCACAACCGAACTATGCCGTTGGGTTCAACCGATCCGCATTCACGGAGGAACACCTGGAAAAGCTCGGTGAACTTACTGGCGGCGTCTTCGACACCTCATTCTCTGCTGCAAACCGCCGGATGTATTTTCCATTCCTCACCTGCGAGGTCAAGTGTGGCTTTGGAGGGCTTGACATTGCTGATCGACAAAACGCTCACAGTATGACCATTGCCGTGAGGAGCGTTGTCGAGCTCTACAAAGCGGCGAAACAAGAAGAGGCGCTCGATTGCGTAATCCTCGCGTTCTCAGTATCCCACGACCATCGATCGGTCCGCATATACGGTCACTACCCTGTGATAGACGGGAAGGAAGTTTCATACCATCACCATCTTATCCACGAATTCAGCTTCACGGTATTAGAAGGGAAGAACAAGTGGATTGCGTACAAGTTCATCAAAAACGTCTACGATGTTTGGATGCCGGATCACCTCAGACGAATCCACTCAGCTATCAACCGGCTGCCACCGAGTCGTGACTCTCTGGTACGTGAAGTGCAACTCCAAGACCTGAGGAGTCTTTGCTATTGACTAGATAGCGTTGACATTGCTTCGCAGGAAGATGAATCGCTGGATCCTTCTATTCCAGAAACTCCGACTCCAGAAAGGGCCACTCCAGACACTGCGGGCTCCCCCGAGTTGGGTCAAGGGGAAGCCATGTGGTGGAACAAAAACTAGTACCACAAAGAGCCGAAATGCAGGCGCAAAGGCAGGACCATCGAAGACGACCAGGTTCGCGGAGTCCGATGAATCCTCGCTTGGGCAGTTCTTGCAATCGCCCAATCCCCGGGAGATGGCTGAACTTTTGGCTTTGCGGGGTCCTCGACTCGAATCGTTGCACCTGTGCCACCTGATGATCAACCCGGGCCACACCGGATCTCTGTGCATATATCAAAGACCGAGCCTACATTCACGAGTCCGTCGTTCGCGAGCTACGATCTGAAGATTCCGGGTGATAAGAAGGACCAAGTGCGATCGTGTCTCCCGAGGGACGAGGCCGAAAAGGCGGAATCATTTTTGTCAATTGAAGGCACGTGTCGAGACAAAACAGGGCAGATCGTCTATCAGGTACAGTCTGGCTTGCTGGCGCGACCCATTTGTCATACGCCGACCTGAACACTGTTCGAGGGAGTAGGACACGCGGAAAAACACCGTCACCCGGGACAGCCGCCAAGTTCTGTGCCAGTCATTGACAACGCGGCGGCTGATACTGTACGAGGAAGGAAGACACGGTGCGAGGTGCTTGGGACGACGGCAATGGTTTGATTTCACGAAGTCTTTGGATACGTCGAAGTCGAGCCCCGTGCCTCAAACCGCATACGCCGGGGAAATCTGAAAAAGACCCTCGGAGTTCACTACGCAGGCGCTCAAAAACATCCCCTGAGTATCAGAAATCGTGTTGAGAATTTCTCTCCGCAAAGTCCATTGACAAAGGGTTCTTGACACGAGCGCCTCTCCGTTCTGATGTTTGGTTCACAAAAGTTTCTGGTTCCAGGCTGCCAGGAGTTTGCCTTTGGCGACCGAAGTTTGCACCCTTGCATTTGCTGTTTTCGCACGGACTCAGGTTGTTGGGTATGTGACTGGATATCATTTCAGATGCATAATGATGAATGCGCGGACAAGGTCCTCACGGCCACACCGGCACATAGCGTGTAATCCGTCTCTCGGATACTCGGCATTTCTGAGCTCATCCTCTGTGATCTCTATATGCTGGCTGTGCGTGTGTGCCCCTATGTTGCTCCCCTTTTTCGCATCCGCCATCATATCGAATGGCGACGGGAGAGGACCAGTCCCTAGCCGACGATGAAGACAACGACTCCGGGATAGCCGAAATAGGCGACGAGTCAGACACAGAGGCCCTGTCGCCCTCTGCCGCTTCGAGGTGTTCAATATTGAACAGCGTCGCTGTTCGATCTGATCCATTTCCGCCCGCCGATCCCCTTGGTCCCGGATCCAAAGCAGCTCTGCTGCAATGCATATGACAACTTGAGCCCCGGAAGATACTTGGAAGTGGTGGCTTCCGGCCTCCCACGATCGGATGACGATACCATCCCGGACGGCAGTTTCTATCATCGGTGGATTGATGGCACCGAACGGGCGCCGAAGACGAGAGGGCGTGGACCCAAACATCTCTGAGAAGTACCCAGAGATATTGCTGGGCGAGTGCGGCTTCCGCGACATCCAGAGCGTGACCTACAAGCTGCCGCAAAACCACTGGCCCGCGGACGCGCGTTCCAGGAAAATGGGCTACTGGAACGAAGTGGACACTTTGAATGATCTGGAGGGCCTGTCACCGCGGCTCTTCGCTGGGGCGCTTGGTTGGTCCAGAGAAGAAGTCCAACTCTCGACAGCGGGGTTGGCGGATGACGTCCGCGATACCAGCATACATGCGTATTAGCCAGTGTGAGTACTCAGTATATTGGGACTTGAGTCACTCTGTCACTCTGACGACGAACCAGGATTGTCACCTACGGACGGAAGCCCTGAAGTACGCGAGGATCGTGCAGGATCGTGCTCTGAGAAGCTTTGGTTTCGGGCGCTTACGGAGAGTTCGAAGATGTATGTAATCGGCAGAGAATTGCACTGGGATAGAGATTGATTCATGACATAGAAAAATAGACACTAGCCAGATTAGGCGTAGTTGGTTTCTGCCAAGCAGGAAGCGAATGCGCCGTGGTACGAAATCGCCGCCCGGAGGCATTCCCTGTCTTATTCATGGTCAAACAGGAGAAAGGCTGCTGCGCATGGTTCAAGGACCATGGATCACTGGAAATCCTCAGCAAAGCCAGTATGTGACTCATTATCATGCCGCAAACATTATGGGTTCTGTCCATTCGACTTCGCCCTCGCCTCAATCTCGAGCCAGGCCAGTTACTGACTTTGGCGACAACCCCCCCTCTTTCCCAAAACAAGAAAGCGTATATGAACTCTGCAAGCCCGCCCGAGCCACCACCCATTTTTCACCCTTTCGCACCATCCTACCCTACTCTATCATTCGAATCAACTCTCAGACACTCTGTTTCGACAATATCCCACGCGTTAGCGATTATATCAATACGCGTCTCGAAGCAAGCCACCATCACTCCACAGCACAAGGATCCGGACCTGCCCAAATCCAGATTGACCGTCTGATCCCATTACGACCACAATCAGTCATGATCGAACTGTTTGCTCGCCTCAGCCACATTCTTAGGTCGCGTCATTCACCGTCATCTGCATCATCCTCCAGACCTCCTCTCAAAGATACCTCAACGGCTGTCGAGCCAGAGGTGGTGGCGCTTCCAGGTCTAGCCAGGTTGCCGCCGGAGTTACTTCTACAGATCATACAGTATCTACCAGCCGAGTCAGCTGCTGTGTTTGCCTTGATATCGAAATATCACTACGCGGCTTTGAAGCAGCATGTTCTCCCCGGTCTCAGTTCCATGGCTGTCAAAAAGCGCTTTCTTCGTCTTCTTGAGGTGGATTTGGCCGAGTATATCGCCTGTCACTGTTGTGATATACTCTATCGATGGAAAGCGTTGGCGCCACCGTATTATTGTCCTCGGCGATCTCGCCTTGAGATGTCCGGCATACACACACCTCGGCCATGGTGTACATACTACCCAGAGCATCAACCTCACTATCTAACCCTCGAGACTGTTGCTGCCTTTTTGAGGGGATACGAGCACGGCTCTGCTTACGGCCCACAACTTCAAGAACTTCATCATAAATGCGATATCCCACTGCCACGGCACTTCTGGGCCCCAGATGTATCGAGGGATACGGTGGCGCGGGTCGTCAACGGGAAACTGCTAGTTCGAACATCCTACAGTTTGCAAATGTCCTTGCAGCAATCTTTGGCCGCCCAGCTCGACCGGCTGAATTTCATTGGTTGTCTTCATTCTCCTGGCACTCTTCCTGCTCTCGTCAAGGACGCTATCGATCACCACCTCGGCCGTCCTTACAAAGCGCCACGGTGTTTCGATTACATCAATTGCGCAGAGTGTGCAACAGATCTGCGCGTTGCAGTCCTAGATACAAAAGGTGATCGGTTAGTCGCGCAAATAACCACGTGGCAATGCTACGGAGGGCGTGATATCGATCAAGAAGCATACACGGTCCGGAGAATGTTAGGCTACCTTTTTGCTTGCGAGGGCGAGGGTGAGGGCGGCACGCAGTCGCTAGAGTATCGACGTGCTCCTCCCAGCCGAAATCTTGAGCTACTATACAACGAGAGCCTCGGCGACGGTGGCAGCCTTGCCAACGGACTGCAACAACGGCACAGATGGCTCCATTGGTGGGACTGGAGCTATCCAGGGTATACCAACGCTCCGCATATTTGCTGCTACATTGGCCCTGATTGAAAGGATAAGAAGTGCCGCCTTTATCGTGGGCTGAACAGACGTGACGAACCCTGGGGTCGGAGGATCAGCAAGCCCCTATTTTTGAGCATCTCTATTCCCTCGCCAGAAATCAAAAACGCAAAAAAAATTCAATATCAACGAGGAGCAGTGGAATTCTGGAGTCAGGAGTCGAATCTCGGGGGGCAGGAATCGGAGTTGTGGCGACGGTGTTGCAATATCACAGGCACCCCCACATGAGGCGGTTCCGGAGGCGCAGTGGACCCTTGTGGGCGTTTGCTTTTTGGAGATCTCCATCTTTCTGTCAAAAGAAACGTGGAAACTCCGCAGCACATCATCGCGTGAGTTTGGCGCACGTCAGGTTATTGTGAACAGTGTTGTCAGGACTGCAGTTATTATTAATGCAGTCATGACTGCAGTCAGGCTTGGCACCTTAGCAGAGCCCACAGAATATCGTTTGGTAGCTAAAACAACTGTTTTATTCGCTACCGATATCGAACGGTATTCGCTCATCGAGAAGTTCCACACCATCGCGGCGTGTAGACAATAGGCGGATTGGTATGAAGACATGGTTTTTTGTGCCTCACCCACCTAATTAGCACCATAGAACGTAATCCCCTTTCCGCGAGATCTTTTGAGGCCTCGCAGTACCTAAAACACTGGATTGATCAAGGTCTATACTAGGTCGGAGATTCAACCTAGTTCCGCCAATCAGATCGCTCCATTTGCGGATGACGAATGGACTGTAGTCAGGACTGCAGTCAGCAGCCATGTCGCTGGCATGACTGCAGTCCTGACAACACTGATTGTGAAGAAGATCTTACTTTCTGCTTCGGAGCACCACCCCATTCTAATTATAATAGGGTTTTCGCACGCAACACGCTATACGATGGCCAAAAGAAACGTTCTTGTTGCAGTAGTGCGACCACAATCCGGGTGTCCGCCGACCCCTGAAAGTCCAAGCCTTGTGCGATCGTCCCACATTTCTTGCAAAGTTCGCCCGTGTTGTGATTAGAAATCTGAGTGCCACGGCGTCTGGCGTCTGGGTCTAGGTTGCAGCTAACGGCATTTGAAGATAACCCGAAGAGGCGTTCACGCATTGCTGTAAGTCACTGGCATCGACCAGAGAGGAATTCTCGACGTCCCCCTTCGAGATGCAACCGGCGCGGGCGACGCTCTCCTCGGATTCGACGACCCGTGTCGAAGTCAGCGTCTCACAGCTTTGTATGCTAGAGGAACGTGCAGTCCTCTCTTTGAGAACAATGTCCAATCATTGTGCATCGTAAATCAGCTTCATGTACTTAACGGGCTGTATGTCAACTGACACCCCTTCCGTCCATCCACCCACGGACCGTCGTTCAGCTCATCTTTGCGGGCCCTTTGTCGCTTCAGTATCCAGCGCACCTTTTTCTCATTCGGAATTTGCTTCCCTTTTCCCTTTTGGAACCAGCCGTGGGTAACCTCTTCCCTCTGCTTTGTCCATACATCTGTCTCCGGATGGCAAGATCCTTCGCGTTGACTTGCGAGCGCTGGTCGCCGACTGTTTTGAGGACAACTTCAATCGTGATGCTGGAGCAATTTGTACTGTCGTGCTGCCCTCGTATGTAGGTCTAATTGGCTCTGTTGCCCAGCTGCGCCTTCGTATCATCCTCTTCTTCCTTGGTCCAAGGGCCGTCCCTCACCAGGGTCCGAAATCTGTGTTCAAGGTCGGCGTATTGCGCCTTGAGCGTGGCAATGGACTCTGTCTGAAATCTGTGTTCCAGGTCGACGTGCAGGGCCTTGAGTCTGGCAATGGACTCTGCTTGGGTTTGAAGCTGCCTGGTTCGCTCTTGAAGAGCTTGGTCTTGCTCTCGAAGCTGTTGCTTACATGCGTCGGTGGTCTGCAGGATCAGTCGCACTTGAAGGATGTGCCGATCAAAGACGTCCGCGAGCTCTCTGTTCCAGGACGACGTAGCTCGACATGTCGCTTGCACCTCCCTTGCCACTGCCTGGAAATCGTCCCATTGTGCCAGCGCCTCCCTGTACAGGTGCTCAGCGTAGGCAGATTTATCATCCAGGACCTTCAATTCCGCCAGTCGGGTTCCGATTGTCTCCACGTTCTGCGTTCTATCGACTGTCGAGGTCATCGAACTGGGTCCGAGCAGCCTGGAACTCTGTCTCGAGCTTGTTCGGTTCGCCGGAACGGCCGATATGGGCTTGGTTCATGGCAAGATACTGACGGTAGAGAGTTTGGAGCTCCGAACTACACTTCTGCAAATCGGCGGCTCTGATTTCGCGAGCTCCCTGTTCTGCATGGTACAGGTTTCGGACAGTTTGGACGGCGTCTTTGCACTGCTTTATCAATGCACTGCTTTATCAATGCAATTTTCTCGACATGGCTTTGGCTGTTGGCGGCGAAGAAGTCTCGGACGTCTTGAAGCTGGTCCTCGGTCTGCAATTCGCGGGTTGGACTCTCCATTGTTCGCGGTTGGTAAGTCAGAAGGGGTGGGAGAGAGAGGGTGGAAGATGGTTGAGTGAGGCTGGGGCTGGTTCCTTGTCATTATATTGAGCTTCCGACAAACTCAGGCGGACTTGGCACAGCGCAATGACTGAGCAGGCACGTGGCAGGCATGTGATAAGGGATACACTGGACGCCATCTGTCAGGCTGAACGGAGTGGTTGCCCTCGAATAAAAGTGCCAGGCAAATAATGTGACACGGCTTAAGATGGAAGCTGGGTGGATAGAAATGAGAATCCCGCTCATATCCGAATCGGGAGAGCAGGTTTTCGGTGATGGTCATTCCACTCACCCGATCCACATTGGTCTATCGTGTTCTGGCTCTCTACTCTCTGCGTTATAGCCTGTTCGATTACGTCAATCGCCTTGTTCATTGTCTAGGCGGGCCAGCGATTAGACCTGGATTTATCAAGGGAGTTGGAACTCTAGTAGTCTCCTCGAGGGGCACTCGGTAGGGCAGGTACCGTCTCCTCTTACCAGCCTATAGTCGTGTTCGATTATCTAGAACTTAGGCTAAGTATCACTACGCTAAATAGGCGATTGCTAGGGGTGTCAAACATCACTGGTAGCTCACTTTATACTACGTTCTGGCGTGTTGCCAGCCGTAGATAGCTTCAGCAATTGCGGACAATCATGACTTAATGTGCTCATTCGCATTTGTCGAGGCTAGTTCTGAGATGGGATCGCGGTAGAGCGAGTCCTTCAATCCCTTCCCGTGAAGCAGTCTATTGATCTTCATCCGCGCCCCCTGATCAGTTACTGTTGGTTTCACGTCTTCTCCCAATTGGGCGAGAATAAGCCAGAGACATTCATGCTTCATCCTCATATCCCGCCCACCCGAAAGACAGAATCCCAGACCACCGATCGAATCTGCATACAGTCAAGTTCTCTGCACTCAACCCAGGAGACGTATAAACAAGCTTTCCACTCAGCGTTGTACTACGCCGTCTCCATCTTCCGGCCCGACCCCCGGAGCATTTGGCGATACAAAACCGGCGCGATATGTGGGAACGCGACTCGCACGCTTAATTCAAGAGTAACAGTAGCCACCGGTGAAAGAGTGGCCTCGCCGCCATCTGATCTCGTCCCCGCCTCTTTGTACAGCCAACCTTGGTGTTGACCTCTCAGTCATTCTGTGAATTACGCAGGAAGCCTTGTTGCCTAGTCTCGACTAGCTTAGTAGTTCGTTTGCGGACTCGTTTACCTCTGCCACTGCCAATGCCAGGAGGCGCCGTTGACGGAGGTAGTCGCTCCCAGCCCCGTTATCGACAGGATCCGTAAGGAATTGTGGTGGCAGCGAGGTCAGATTGCGATTGTGTGACTTGCAGAAACGAATGCCAGCCAAATTTGCTGTGCCAAGCCTCTACTAGGCATGAATAGGTAAAATAAGCGAATTCGCCGTGGTACGAAATCGCCATCGAGCTCGCCACCCGGAGGCATTCCCATAAGACATGTTAGCCAGTGGCTCGTCAGCCTTTATCCAACGAATTCTCTACAGCACCAAAAAAACCCAAGACTATTCTACCCAGCCTGGTGCCTAAACTCTCACTCTCACGCTTCGCTCTGAGCGCCGTCACTCCCCAACTGTAACTTGTGGAGGCTGAAGTGAAGTCCTCCCGCATCTAGGACCAGTGACGCTAGTGAATGGGCTGCTGCGCCACGATTGGCTGAGCTAGTGACGCCGTTTCCTATTTGAGCGGGCACTCACGTGGCGCTCTCCTTGTCTGCCTTGCCAAGCTTGCATGATCCGGCTGCCTACAGCCTCATGTGATTCTACTCGAGTCACCCAAGTTTTATAAGCACTTGGATTCCTCTCCTTCTTCCCTCTCTTTTCGTCTTTCCAGCAACCCAACACTGACTTCTCCATCATGTCGTCCTACTTTCACGACCAGCGTCGCTTATGCGGGTGTTGGTTTGTCACCAAAGAGGCCGCAGTTGCAAGACAGTATCTTCCTCAGATCGAATTGTCCTCTCACACAAACATCCTGGCTACAACGTCCCGCACCACACTGACGCAGACTTTTGTCAACAACCAAGACCACAGCCTTGAGGAGGTCCGCTACACATTTCCACTCTACGACGGAGTCAGCGTGGTTGGCTTTAAGTGCACTGTTGGCTCCAAGACCATCGTCGGGGTAGTCAAAGAAAAACAACAGGCGAGGGCAGAGTACCAGGAAGCGGTGGAGCGGGGCGAGACTGCAGGTCTGCTCGAACAACTGCCTGAAGCCGCTGATGTTTTCACCACGTCCGTCGGCAATGTCCCTGCGAAGGAGAAGCTCCATGTCGAACTGGTTTATCTCGGCGAGCTCAAACACGATGCCGAGACCGATGGCTCTCGCTTCACCATTCCGACCATCATTGCGCCTCGATATGGGTCACTGTCGAGTGACTCCGCTACGGCCATGTCCAGCACACAGATTGACAAAGGCCGCATCGCCATCTGTGTCGATGTCACCCTTGAAGAAGGCTCGATCGTTCAGGGTCTACAGTCTCCAAGTCATCCCATCGCAGTCACCATGGGCCGCACCTCCGTCATGGAAGAGGACTCCTTCAACAACAACCATGCTTCAGCGACGCTCACACTTGGTACCAGCGAACTCCAGAAAGACTTCATCGTTGTTGTTCTCGCCAAAGTCACTGGAAATCCGAACGCCTTCCTCGAGACACACCCTTCTATCCCCAACCAACGCGCCCTCATGACCACGCTAGTGCCCAAGTTCAATCTCCCCAATATCTCGCCCGAGATTGTCTTCATCGTTGACCGAAGTGGGAGTATGCATGGGAAAATAGAACTCCTCGTCGCTGCCATGAAAGTCTTCCTGAAATCGTTGCCGGTTGGTGCCAAGTTCAACATTTGTTCCTTTGGATCGTCGTTCTCGTTCCTCTTCAAGAAGAGTACAACATACGATCAGTCAAGTCTCAAGGATGCCCTCAACCACCTGGACACGTTCGACGCAAATTACGGCGGTACGGAAATGCTGCAACCCGTCAAGGCCACAGTGGAGAACCGCTTTAAAGATCTTCCGCTTGAGGTCATGTTGCTCACGGACGGCCAGATCTGGAATCAGCAGGAGCTGTTCACTCTCGTGAAGGAGACGCCCAACGCACGCTTCTTCTCTTTGGGGATTGGTCACGGTGCTTCACCGGCACTGGTCGAGGGGATCGCCCGCGCCGGAAACGGGTTTGCGCAGTTCGTTGGCCCCGACGAAAAGATGGACAAGCGGGTTGTGCGCATGTTGAAAGGTGCCCTCACACCTCACGTGACTGACTATACACTTGAGGTCAAATATACGGACGATTCTGAAGAGGAAGACTTTGAGATGGTTGACCGAGAGAACAAGGAAGAAGCTGTGGTTCCTGTTGTGTCCAAGAAACCCATTTCCCTCTTTGACCCCACGGCTACCGAGGAACCAACCAACCCTCCTGCCAACCGCTATGACAACTTGCCGGCCATCTCAGTCCCTAAGGTCATTCCAGCACCGTACAAGATTCCCGCGCTCTTCCCATTCAGTCGCACCACCGTCTATCTCCTGCTGTCACCCGAGGCGCCACGGAAGACCCTGAAATCGGTGGTGCTTCGCGGCACCAGTTCTCATGGCCCTCTTGAACTGGAGATTCCCGTCCAAGACGTCGGCGTGGGCGAGACAATTCATCAACTCGCGGCTAAGAAAGCCATCCTCGAGCTCGAAGAAGGGGGTGGCTGGATTGCCAACGCACGAAATGCTGACGGCCAGCTCTTGAAGTCAGTGCATGAAGGAAAATGGGATCTTATCGTCGAACGAGAAGCTGTCCGTTTGGGGGTTGAATTTCAGGTTGGAGGGAAGTGGTGCTCGTTTGTTGCTGTGGATAACAATGCGAAGACAGTCGAAGAGCATGCGTCCAAGCCCCTCCCCCTGCAACCCAGACGTCGACTCCTCCCGGATCGTGATATAATGGATACATCGCTGCCTGAGCTGAAGAGGTCGCAGCTGCGGGAGCTGGCCAGCATTTGCTCGGCTACGGTTCCCGCCCCTCCGCCTGCATCTTCCAGTATGCTGTTTTGTGCAGCCCCGCCAGCTCCTAGTCAATCTTCCCGCAGCTTCGGTGGCGGCGAGGCGCGCTTCACGGACATCCGCCGCCCTCCAGCCGGTGGTGGTGGTGGTGAGATGCGCTGTTCAGACCTCGGCAGCCGACCAGCCGGTGGTCGTGGGGGATTTCTTTCTAGAAGCGTCAATACTACACCACCGTGGCGGGCAAAGTGGAGTCGCTCCGGATCTGGTAGTGCGGGACAAGAAGCCCTTCCGGGGGAGGAGGCTGGACCACCCAAGGCTCCTGTCGACATGTCTGCGTTGAGCAACGGCGAAAAGATGCATCGGCTCATCGGATTGGTCGAGTTTGATGGGTCATGGCTCCGTTCCAACCATCTTCTCGCCCTCCTCGGTGTCACTGAGCAACAATTTACCAGCGTCAGTGTGCCCGTCGCCGACGCAGGCGCGGACACTGTCAGAGCTACGGTGCTGGCGGTCGCGTGGTTGAAGGCCAAAGTTGCGTCCGAGAAAGATGTCTGGGAGATGGTGGCGGAGAAGGCCACGGAATGGTTGGCGACGAGACTGGGGGGCGAGGAGAAGGCGAACAAGGCCATTGAGCAGGCCGAAAGTCTTGTCTGAAGAGACACGAAGTGTGATGCTCAGGACGCGTTCTACATCAAGGTCGGTCGGGATGCTGTTTCCAACCCACTAAGCAGTGGAACGAAAAGCACAGGATTAATCACTAGGGGAAATGATCAGAGAAATACCAAAAAAAAAAGGCAAGGGATGAGTGTTTGATTGCTTGAAAAGGAAACAGAAATACCCGGGGGGAGAAAAAAAGGATGGGAGGATATTGTTCTTTGCACAACGAGAGATACCCAAAAGGGATGGATTGAGGAAATGGAGATAGGTTGAACATCATGGTCAGTTGAGACAGTGGTTCAGGGATTTGCAGATACTGCTGCTGGCTGAGAGATAGCAACGATCATGGTTGACACTGCCAAGGTAACAATGTGCCCTTTGGTGCGAAAAGCACTGGGAAGACTTGAATGCTTGATAATGATTCAGCAAGCCCCTCTTTTTGAGCATCTCTATTCCCTCGCCAGGAATCAGAAACATACTGGTGCCCAAGCAACGCTAAGCCGGAGACGCTGGCGCAACAGATCGACGGGGAAGACTAGATGTGGAGGCAATATTCGCTTTGGGGAGCAAGAACCGTGAACATGAGAAATCCCGTTGACAGAATTGGCTTCCTTGGACTCAAATGAAAGGTTCTCCTGGTCGTACATGTTCTCGGATCCATCTTCGACCAGGCGAAAGAATGGTAGAAATCCTCATACCGCCGGATCGGGCTCATGAGCCGGCTTCGAAGAACCCCCTTTGTCGTGGAGGATCTCGGGCAAGCTGTGACTAAGACGCTCGGGATCAAACCACTCGCAGGTTGCGGTCGGATCCCCATCCAGGTCTCTGCAGCGTTCGGTCCAAACACGAAGAGCGACCATGACACCGACGCCATCAAGATACGCGTGAATGAAATATGAGGTCTTGTAGTAGGTAAAAGTCTCTGACAGTCGTGACGGACGCGTACAAGCCAGATCCCATTGACCAAACCAAGGGGCCCTGCTCAACGGCCGAGTTTTGTGGCATGATTGGGCCTACTAAACATTTAGTTGAGGCTTTCGTCATCGCCTCGACAACGAGGAAGACACATTGTCTCTATTGTCCTCGACACCGAGTCAATCGAGCCTATCAACTCAGACAAGGTGATTGCCAGTGCTGTAAATGACCCTTCGTGCATCCTGACCCCGATTTCGTGGACCTACCGTCTTCTCGGCCTTTTGGCCACCCTCGTCCCTAGTATCCTGCCGCCGTGGGCTAAACACCTTGCTAGGCATCTACACGATGTACCTTATATAGGTGCATTCCTGCGCTTGATCGCCCCTCCGCCACCACCACCACCACCGCCCGAGTTGATGTCCATCTCCCAGCCAGCCGACTTTGAGTGTCGGTCATAGTGATGATGAGAGATCGACTGGCGAGGAAGAGCCATGCTGCGGCAACTGCAGCACAGTGCTGCTGAATTTTCTCATTTAAATCTGCGAATTGTAAGTCAACAACAGCACAGAGGTGGCTGAAGCCTACATACCCAAAGACATGAAAGGCAGGAGCATCGCGAGCCTGAATCCGGCGTACCACCGCACCCACCACTGCCATCGCCGACTCCCACTGAGCGACACAGTGCGTGGACAGTTTGTGCCATGGAGTGCGGACTGCCGCCACTGCGTTGCCGTCGCGAAGGAGGTCTGCCCACAAACTGGCATTGCGCTGGCCGTCTGCCCACATCCACACCTGGAGCCACGTCTGGCGATCTTGAGGTGTCTGCCACATGTGCGGACCAAGGGACTTTCCAGAACCTCCATTGAAGAGATTTTCGAGATTCCGCTGGGGAGGCTGATTCAGCTCCAGGAACTCGCTCCTAAAGCCTGGAGTTTGGAAGTGAGCGTCTTCAAGGCGGTGTCTGGTGGCGGGATCACGGCCTCCGAGGGATCGCCACATCTCCACCTCGAAAGTCAGGCTTTTAGCGTCTCTGACCGAAACCCGTACTCGCAAATCCGTAGCGCAATATCCACAGCTGATCAAGTCATGACATAATGGCGTTGGCTCGAAGCCGCTGGGCAGGTGCCAGACGCCCTCAAGAAGCACTGAAGGGAGAGAGTTTCTCAGATGGACGCAGCCGATGCCGTTGAACTTGACCATTTCCGGCATCAGTGAGTACCCGAGTGTTCGATCGACATAGCCCGGCGAAGGCCTCAGACGGTGTTTGGGAATCGGAACGCGTAGCCTGTAGATACCATGAAGGATGAGCTTCCCCTGTTGCACCCGGGCGTCGAGAGATCTAGCCACCGTCGAACCGCGGGTCGGATACCATCCACCATCACTATTGCATTCGTGGGCGAGTTTGTGAAGTTGTGGACCATACTCGGCACCCTTTTCGTGCCCCCTTACAAAGGCGTCTACCATCTCCCGCGAAACACAAGTGGGGCGGTGGACGTAGCACAAGAGTGAGCCACGATTGAGAAGAGGATGGTTCTCGTAGTTCGGACAACGCCATTTGGGTTTCTTTCTCCAGTCAAACAAAATGTTGCAGCTGTAGCATGCCAGTAGATGGGGCAGATCCTTCTCCAGCAGTCGAACAAACCGAGCCTTTTCTTCGGGATCTTGCATTCGTAGATCGAGTTCGTCAGCGAGAGTAGCATGGTAGTACTTGGATGTCAGAATGAGACATGCAACCGCACTCAGAGGCAGAAACGAGACGATGAGGAGGAGAAGTTCTGTCGGCAAGCTGGTCAACAGCGGTACCAGGTTCTCCGGGAGAAGAGTGAGGCCAGGCTGACGGCCCTTCTTTCGTGGTTTGACAATGGAAAGAGGAGTGGTCATGGTTCGAAGGTGTGTGCTGAAGGCAGATTCAAGGCTGCAGAACTGATATCGAGGGCGTGTGCTGAAGGACCAAATGTAGGAACGGGGGATGAGAGTGCTGCTCGCGAATCTACCCCTCCCTTGTGCCCATGCGAACGGATGGATCGCGGCGGGCAGCAGGGAGAGCAAGTGTCGACCTGGACAGAGGCAGGATAACAATGGTAAGGAAAGAGTGAGCGAGGGAAGTTGCTGGCGCTGGCCTCATTGTCTGCCTCATCGCTTACCACGAGCCTGTCACGAGCCGCCATCGTCAGTGCCCGCTAGCCAAGCCACTAAGGACATTCTAACGAGCCAGGCTAGCGACGTTAGTGCGGCTCTAAAGAAGCTTAAACTCGGTAGGACAAAGGATCGAATACCTCATCTCGAAGTACATACCGGTGCCCGGCCTCAACATATCGCGCCCCGCGTTGTGTTCTAGAATACTCGGCGCAAAGAGAAGCTTTGGGAAGAGGGATCTGACCCCTTCGCATGTTGCTCGGACTTGCAGCTCAACACGTTCCCCCATGGCGCTGAACCACACATCCGATGCGGTATTCAGCGACGACTCTGATTACATCTGGCACAGCCACCCGTTTAGAACCATAGCAGTAGAGCTTTACTCATCCCTTGCGTGCGTGACCCAGCTCAATCCCGGCTCGGCTGCGCAATTTCCCCTGCCCTGGATCCCTTGATCCCTTAGGACCGGCCCGGCTTGGAACGTAATCTTCACCCAGTCTCTCGGTACCGTTGTCTTCACTTTCATCCTCTTTGGAAGAGTCACTATCATTCCCGGCCCAGACCATCCGAGTTGTGAGATTGTTGTGCTTTGTTCTCTAAATCAAGCCTCTTGTCTTTTGCGGTTGCGACCTCACCTCGCTCGATTTCATCACAGACTTGATCAAGTGAGATCTGAATAGTTGCGCCATGGAGTGAAGATGGTACGAAGGACGGCGGTGCTATGTCGAACACAGAAATTTGTAGAGGAGGACCAGGGACTCGCTCGCCAGTCTGGGTTCGCACTTCCTGGGCACCAAAGTCAGTGGCGATGTCATAAGGTGTAGCCGAGATACTGACTTGAGAATCGTGTCTAAGTTGACCACCGGTGGTTGTATCAGAATTGTCGCGTTGCCAAATGTGCAAAGTGACTTTCTTGGAGCGAGTATAGTCAAGAGAGATGCCAATAACTTTTTGAGTTTCTAGCGAGGTTTCGAAAAGGTAGAATTGCGCCAATTTCTCGAGGTTTTTGGATTTCTGCGAATATGCCACCTCTATAGCAAGACCATAGAATGCATCGTCGCAATAGCAGAAGTAATCATCTGGTTCATGCTTGCCTGGGTCTTGTTTGCTCCTCACACATCTGGAGCGAAGGCTCCTGATGTCATGCTTGAACTGCTCATTTTCTGGTGTACCATGGCATATCGATCCTAGCCCTCTAAAGAGGAGCATAGCGAACCCCGCCGCGGTATATTCATGGGTAAGGGAAGGCATTCGATGAACAAAGGTTTGGGTTTGGGAGAAATAGTCACACCTAAAATATCTTCACATTAGCTACAATCCAGCTGGTGGTTAGTGTTTGTACGTACCGCAATTTGTCGTTGTTGACCTCGTGTTCAAGAAGTCTTCGGAGGATGTCCCACTCAGAAGGGGTTACTTGATATGTGTTCCACTCTGTACCGGAAACTCGTCCAGAGAGGCGTGCTTGTACGTCTTGGACAATGAAGGACACGGTGGGAGGGCAATTCAAAGAGCTGGAAGTGGAATGGTCGGAGGGAGGGAAGACATCGTCAGAAAGCGTAAGTGCGCTGTTGTGGCATGGTTTGGAGGACGCAGTCGGTCTTTCTGTTGCGTCCATGGGCTTAAAACTTGCGGGCGCCGGCGCGGCTTGTGTATGTGATGCGGCATGTGTATTTGGTGCGGCTTGAACCCCAGCATCGCTGCCGCGACGGTAAGGAAGGTTCTGCATTGCAGTCGGTAACACAATGAGGATAGACTGACGGCAGGAAAACAAAGACTGCGGAGGACGTTTTGTATGCGGGGTTCACGTATACAAGACAAACAAGCACGTGACACTGTTTGTCCTCTGCATTTTGGTTTCCTCGTTCATTGTTAATTTGCAATCTACCTACTTGCTGGGAGACTCTTCACCTTCCGTACGCCGCCGTGTTGGCGAAGGAGACAGGAGGTGTGGGATTAACTTGATTGATTATCTATGTGATCGATGGGGTCGCGCGGCAGTTTTACGTGCCGGCGTGAAAACTGTCTGGCTAACCTTCCCGATAGGGTTAGGGCAACAGGAGGCAGGAGAGAGCAATGCGCCGGTGAAATGTTGCAAAGATTCCCATGAGCAATATCTTGCTTCTTGCTTCCAACTTCAACGAACGGCGCTCTGCTGGTTTGCATGTATTGGATGGAACAGGATACTCTATCCCATATGTTGCCAACTTTCTGCTTGCCAAATGCGCTTGGTCTGTCGAGCAACTCGCGATTACCACTGATCCACTTCCTGGGCAATTCTAGGTGCCTCGCGACATGTTGCCTGGTTACATCGTAAGCCTGCTACCAGCTCCCGCCCCAGTCTTGTGTCTGATTTGAGGAGGTAGCCACACGCATGTGCCGGGAAGTCCAGATAGCCCGAGAGGCGTTGGTCCGCATGCGCTTCGAGGCACGCGCAGATTTCCCAGCATTCAACTCTAGCCCTCTTGCCACACCACCACCAGTTCTTCGTGCAGAGCAGAGCGAGCCAGTACGAAACCAGCCACAGAGCTCTCGGATCAAGGGCATTACACAAGGACAAGAAGACCGAGGTTATGCTCTCTGTCAGTTGAAGATATCGGAGAACGCTCAGATCATCTTCCGGGCCCACGGCCAGAACACGGCACAGTCTGCGCAATACCCGGAGATACGGGTGATTGTCGCAAGAGGAAGACTCCTTGACCGCGAAGATTTCGACAAGTTCACTCGGGATTCCCTCTGTTCCCATCCTGTTGTCGAACAGAGCGAGAAGCGCGGTTTCAACACCCCGGAATGCACCGAGCCACATACTCTCGACACGGATATTGGACAGCTGAGCAAGTAACGCACCGAGGCCAAGTTGGTTTCCGAGCCAAAAGAACGGTACTTCTCGGTCTCTCAAAGGGACTGTACCGTTGGTATCTACATCTGCCCAGGAAATGGCTCCAAGGATCATGACCGTTGTCAATGCTGCGTCGACATTATCCCTCCATGATTCATTGAGACAGCGTCTTAGGCCGGAACAAGCATGCATGGCATGGCGGGTTTCGGCTTCAGATCGTTTGAACTGTGGCTGGCTGTGATGCCGTCGATGTGAGGCTGACGCTGCGAGCACCGCATGTATCACATGTTGCTTCTGGTTTCATGAAATCAGCGACGCGGTTCGGACGGAGAAAGGCCGACTGACCACCGTTGCCATTCCGATGACGTTCTTACACAAATCCGCCCAGCTAGGGAACGGCATTGTATCGGCTGCCACGATCGAGACGAAATACTCGAAAAGTGACTGGTCCTGATCGATCAGAGGAGTCTCCTTGCCAAGTTCGAGTTTCAGTCTTGGCCGTACGGCCCGCAAAGGCGCGAGAACCGTGTTACCGGCATCATAGGAACATGGGCGATTGTATTTTGTACACTGCTGGCAAGCGGGCTTCTGTTCGCCACACTGCGGACACGTCAACTGAGCTGTTCGGCAAGGTCTGTTCTGCAAGCCTGCTTACCTTGATGCGGCGTCGTTTGCATGTCAGGCAGCCATCTCGCGACTTTCGATGGTGCTTGCGGGGCTTGTATTGCTGCGTTCGTCCTCGTTGGGCGCTAGGGGCCTTGAAGGACAGGATTTTGAATGTCCCGCGTCTGGTGTCTGGCATGGCTGTTCGGTGTTTGGAAGACGAGGTTGACACGTAGGAAATGCTTCCTTTTGAGAGGTTTGATGCGGGCGTGCCGATCGCTCGTTTACCTCTTTGGGACACAAATACGAGTACGTCCGAGACAAGGTGGAGGCCAAACCTAAATCTCCGCATGTGGCAGCCACTGAGATTCAGGGCAGTAACTCGGTATAAATGTGGGTCCTTGCTCACGAAGAGTCTCCGCAAAGTGGCCAGCCTGGTCCGGGACCTTCTTGGGCCATGAACAGGAAAGGAAGGACGACCTCGATGATGGGTGCAGTCTTGTGGCGCCGCCTAGGCCCAACACCGTAAACGAGGACAGACTAACGGAGCAAGGCTGCATTGTTCTCCATGAACGTGACGTTCTCCATGAACATAACGTTCAACTCAACTGAACCTGAACTGGGATGCCTGCACTCGGTGGAGCATCATCCCCGCGTCGAAGTATAAGAACAGGCGGCTGTACCATTGAGAACGGTACACCTTCCAATAGCCCTCGCAGTTTCGATCCCGAACCAAGCTCATAATGTATGCCCAAACCTATTCCGCGCCTCTTGGCCTAGCCGTTGCCATCGCATTGCTGCTACCGGCCCTCTCAGCTGCACAGGTCTCGCCGCCCGTCGTAAAGACACCGGAGGCCAACTTCCAAGGGGTCGAAGCACTCCCCAGCGTGGACGCGTTCCTTGGAATCCCCTACGCCGAGCCTCCTGTCGGATCGCTTCGATTCCAACCACCACGACGTCTGAACGAAACCAGCGGCTACCCACGAGCACAGCCTAATGGCACTACCCTCACCACGGGGTTCGGTCCGGTGTGTCACCAGGTCCACTACGACAGCCCGATGCTGCCTCAAAATCTGCGCGAGAGTGTGCTGCCGGACGAAGATTGTTTGACCCTGAACATATGGCGGCCGTCGTCGTCGAATCTGACCGAGAGCAAGCTTCTCCCGGTCATGATATGGGTGCATGGTGGAGCCTTCTCGGAAGGAGGCGGGAGTGTGCCGAGTGAGTTGAAAACAGTTCAATAATCAGGCCAGGTCTCTGACTTTGGGGGCAGTCTACAACCCCCAGCACCTCGTCGAGCAGAATCCATCTGTCATCGTCGTGACCATCAAGTTGAGTTCGCCGGCAGACAGCTACCCGTGCCCAGGGCCCCCAGAACAGCGCTAACTCTCTCGCTAGCTATCGCCTGGGTATCTTCGGATTCCCCATCTCCAAGGTCCGTCGCGGCAACCTGGGTCTCCTTGACCAACGCACCGCCGTAGAATGGATCCGCGACTACATCGGATACTTCGGGGGAGACCCGGCGAGGATGATCCTCTTTGGCGAGTCGGCGGGCGCGGTGTCCATATCAGCGTACTCATACACGTACAAGGACGATCCCATCGTCAATGGGCTCATCCAGCAAAGCGGCGTGGCCACGGGAATCGGGGACGCAGATGGAACGACGTGGACGCTAGCTGCAACCGCGGTTGGGTGCAATGATACCGAGAACCCGGTCAAGGAATTCGACTGCATGATGGCGCTCCCGGCCGCGGCACTCACCAGGGCTGTCTCAAACGCGTCCGTGAACTCCATCGGATCGCCGAACGGGGGGTCCCCGTTTGTCGACAACGTCACCGTCTTCTCCATCGCAGATTACACCGCGAAGGCAGAGGCGGGCGACTTTGCAAAGATTGTGAGTCTCGACTCTCTGCATCTTGACAGATGCTGTCATCTCTTTTCAAAACACCCGCTCTGATGCGCGATGCTGTGATAGCCCGTCCTGCTCGGCACCAACAACAACGAAGGCAATGGCGTGGTCAATTACTCGCCAGAATATGGGCTAAACACGACGTTGGCGGACGCTGTGACCATCGCGGCATTCACGTGCCCTGTGTCCCAACTAGCAGGGTAAGATTCACCGTCCTTCCGCGAGTGACGAGAGAAGGGGTGCCTGACAACAATCTTACATAGACAACTCCGTGGCCATGGGATCCCGGTCTGGCGGTATCGATACATGCCTGTCTTTCCATCGGTGACGTTCTACCCATTCTCAAAGACCTATCACACTTGTCAGTCATGGCGGTTGCCGAAACCGACCCATTGACACTCTCGCTGACAAGCTCACAGCCGAGATCCCAATCGTTCTTGGGTCCTTCCGAAGCATCATCCCGTACAAGACGCCCACGGAGGCAGAGATCCAAGCGAGCAAGCTTCTCCAGAGAGCATGGGTCAGTTTCGCCCGCGACCCTCACCGCGGTCTGCGGGACGAGATGGGCTGGCCGCTGTACAATGCGAGCGGTAGGTACTGGCTTTGAGACTTATTCCCTCGCGGTTTTTACATACGAGGCCGCATTGCGGGAGTGGCTGGCTGGCTGGCTGACTGCTGTGGTGGAATAGAGCCGACTCTCATCACCCTCTTCACGAACAACGAGGTTCAAGTGAACATGACGGACCCGGGCATATATGATGGGGCCTGCGCGAACGCACCGGCGGTGTCCTGGACGGATTTAGCGGCTCCAGCGCCTGGGCCTCCTGCGTGAGGTTCAATCGCCGCTGGTAGACTGATAGAGGGGAAGGTTAGGGCTAGGTCGCGAAGAAGGGCAGCTGTGCAGTGATCATACATCCCTGCAGGAAGGAAATGGTGGCAAATACTACTACTGAGAACTTTCACTGATTGGCATCGGGTGGAAGAGTGTTCTCGACAGCCAAGTACTTCCCGAGACCGCCGTCCTCTTCACTTCACAGATACAGTTCCCCGCCGTAATAACGTAGAAATGGAGTAGGTATGAGGTTGTCCACTCAAGTCCGATTCTTTGTGTCCAAGACTTGAGAAGTCTTTGGATGTGGGCTGATAAAATGCTTTGTCTCGTGAATGACACATGAGCAGGGCGGCGATACAATGGCGTGGAGGGGCGGCCACTCGCCCGATCTTGCCTAGTCACCTGCTCGACCTCCGACGATTCCTCACTATCTCGGCTCAATAATATAGATCTAAGCGCCCGGGAAATGTCGTTGGGTCAGGGACCAACCAAGCCGTGGTGGCGGTGGAGTCTCAAGTGGATCTCGATCTGGACTATTCCGGAAGAAGCAATCATGCACCAAACATCCCCCCTCCCACACGCCGTATCACTACGGCCGGACTGCCAACAAGATCCTGTCCAAAACAGGCTGGGGCTGGGGTTTCTTTGGCAAATAGGAGCGGATGTGGAGAAGGCACAGCGAGTGCCTTCTCGCAAGCCCAGCCCAGGGGGGAACATTCAAGAATGGCTTCTCTGCCGTGTGATCAAAATATCCAAAGGAGCTTGTCTTGCACATCATTCCATCCCAACCATCCCCCCGACAACGGCCACCCAGCAACATCAGTCCGGTGTATAGCTAACTCGACCACTGGGACCATTGGACTCCCTCACATCAGCCATGACGGCGTCTGCAAACTCGGTGGCGTGGGCAGTAAGATCTCACCAGCCTCATCTCGTCGCTTGATAGAGGTTAGACGCCGTTGACTTTGTTTCTTCTTCCCCAGACCACCCTCTTGTCTCAAGCCCGTCCGGAACAGGTATTCTTCCCAGGCACAGCGGCGTACGAGCTGGCCCGGAACGGCTTCTGGTCCAACATCCAGAAAGAACTGCAGCCAGCCTGCATCTACCAGCCGCGCAATGCAGCTGATGTCTCCTTAGCCGTGGTGATATTTAACATCACCAAATGTCCCTTCAATGTGAAGAGTGGAGGGCACGGCCGGTTTGCCGGGGAATCGAGCATCGGTAACGAGGGTGTGTTGATCGACCTCGCCCACATCAATCACATCAAGGTCTCAGACGACCGCAAGAGCGTGGCCGTCGGGCCTGGATTGCGGTGGGTGGACGTGTATGGGTGCCTGGAGCCCCTCCATCTCACCGTCGTCGGTGGGCGCGATGCCGACGTCGGCGTCGGCGGCTTTTTGCTTGCAGGTTTGATGAAGCATTTCTCCTTTCCCTTTTCTCCGCTCCAACTCCATACTTTGATGGGTTCTTCTGACTGGAGAATGCTTTAGGTGGCATCGCGTTCCATTCGAGTATGTACGGTTGGGCTACGGAGAATATCCGGTCCATGGAAGTCGTCCTGGCAAGCGGCCTTGTGGTGACGGCGAGCGAGTCTTCCCACCCGCACCTCTTTCGCGCTCTCCGCGGCGGCGGCGGCAACTTCGGGATCGTGGTTTCGTTCGTGCTGGACGCCTATCCATACGCAGGCATGTGGGGGGGCCGAAGGTTCACCAGTGACGAAGACACCGGTGCTTTGCTCGACGCGTTCATGAAATACGGCCACCAGTCGCCCGCCGACCCCAAGGTGTCGGTCATCTTGAACCACACGATTCTCAACGGGGAGTTCGTCTGGGTGAACGATTTGGAGTACTGTGAACCGGTAGTGCTGGCTCCAGACGGCCCCCTCATCCCAGACCTGCTGCAGGACTTCATGAAGCTCCCCACGTCGATGGACGAGACGACCAACACGCACAACTCGGCGCTCACCGTCGCGATGGCTTCGGGATCCCCTCGAGGCTACCGCAACTCGTACTGGGGACTTGCCGCCAAGCTGGATCGCCGGGTTCTCGATTTCTACGTCGAAATGTACAGGCGAGAAGGGGCCAAGCTGGCCCAATTGCCTGGCGTGGGCGCCGGTGGCGACATCCAGGTCATCACAGCGGGGATGAGAGCGGCCATGGGTCGTCGGGGAGGCAACGTCTTGGGCCTTTCAGACTCGACGGAGCCGTTGCTCCTGTTCAACCCGGCTCCTAGGTGGACGGACCCTCGTCACGACGAGATCGTCCTGTCGACTATCAACACCATCATCACGGCCACCGAGGCCAGAGCCCGTGAGCTGGGTCTCGCCCACTCCTTCCTCTATATGAACTATACGGCCGGCTGGCAGGATCCAATTGCCGGGTATGGCGCCGAGCAGAAGCGCTTCCTGCAGAGCGTGTCTCGCAAATACGACCCAGAGGGATTCTTCCAGACCATTCGCAAGGGAGGCTTCAAGTTGGGTGGAAGTCCCAAGTCTCTACAGCAGTGGGCAGGCTCAAGTTGTGAACGGCCACATAAAACGTAGGATGAACCCTGCACCAAGGTTGAGAGGTGGCGATCGCAAATGGGGGACCAGGAGAGCGACGACATGCTGGATGATTGTAGGTTCTTCATATGTCCCATCTTGTGAAAGCATGTTGTTTAGAACATGGGTCAATAGTGTGCCACGCAAAGTTCCCCGAGATTAGGATGGAAGTTCGACCCTGAAGCTAGTTAGAAAAGGCATACATCGCACCACACAGCACGGCAACAAGATATCTGGTCATACCATTGTATTTGCACTTCGGACCCTATGACGCTTTTAGCCAAAAGGAAAATCCACCTTGTGTTTTCGAACCATGTCCGCTAGACCTTGCAGTCCGTAGACCGAGTCAGGAGCGTCCCAGACCCATTGCAGCGTCTGCTTTATTCGCCGTGTGAGGGGAATTCCCTGGGTCATGAATGACAAGATTCGTTCCTGTTGACTGCGCGTTGTGGTGTACGTGGCGACCACCGACATGGGCCAGAAGAGCACATTGATCCAGGACGTCCCGAGGACGACAGTCATGAGCTCAATGGTCTCTTCGACGAGCGGCCCTAAACTGTCCCGCAGGAAATCTACGTCGTCGTAATAGGATGAGTGCAGGAACATGAGGAGAGTGTTCCTCACAACGTTTCCGGCCGCGATGAAGTCGCCAATGTTCTCTGATCGCATCCCATTTTCCAATCTAGTTCCGTCCTGATCCGTCAGTAGAGACCATGTTTGGATAGTGTACCGTAATTGCTCAAACGTCACCCAGCAGCCCATATCGCAGGCTTGTGACCACTCGAGTTTCCGAAGACTTGCTAGATGACATATGAACGGCACCATCTGGTACAGGGAGGCGAACCCCGCGAATACCGAGCCATAGGTTCGGAAGCCATGTAGCATGGTCAGATGTTGGCTGGATAATTGACAAGCTGCTTCAATGTCATCTTGCCCCGGCAGCATCCGTAGGCTGGTGCAGAACTCGTAGTACGCGTAATATTCTAGCACGACGCCCACCAAATCAGGAGGATAAGATTGCTCTGACGGTGCTGCCAGAACTGCCTGTGCGAAATGGCGGCTGCCGCGAACATGGTGTATGAGCGAGCCACCGGCGTTGCCGCGAATGCACTGGAGGATACGTTAGTGTCGCCTCCGGTCTCCTCAGCTAGATATATCGTGGTGCGAAGTGCACCGGGAAACCAAACACGGCGGCCAGACGAAGGCTATTTTCGGGTCGCTCACCTCGTGCAGACATAACAGATATGAGGTCAAGAGCAGGCGGACGGCATCACGGGTCCTACCAAAACTCCACTCTGCCGTTGCGGTCTTGAGTTCTTTTAATGCTTTGCCGTAACAACGAAGCCGTCGCGGCTCGACAGCGTCGGTCCCGGCCCCGGGATACCCGCCAACTGACAAGAGAGCATTCATGACCAGGCTGTCGGAGAATGCTATCGGAATGAGATCGTAGAGAAAGGGGTTGGGAATGGCGGGAGGCGCTCCGAAGAGTTGATGCACGGTTTTCTCCACGAACAACCCAAGAAGTCGTCGCGACGGACTGTCCATCATGTCCACTTCTGACGGCAGAGACAGGCAGAGCGGGGTAGACTCCAGCCCGATCGGATCGGGCGTATCCTCCGCTCCCAATACCCCTAGACTTTCAGGCGGGGTGGACGATGCAGCAGCTTTCGTCTTGCGCGGCGTACGCTTGCTGGAAGACAGACCTGTGGCGTCAATGTGAGCTTGGATCAGCCATGACAGCCCTGGAAAGGCCCCATCAACGACGAGCCAACCCTTCCAAGCAGAAGAAGGAATTACCGAGCCTTATTCTCCACGAAAACTCTTCAGAGTTGAGCCAAGAGCAGGGCAGGTCGAGCCTCTGACACGTCGAACACACTGGTCGCTGCTCGTCACATTTCTTCTTGCGGAGCCGACAACAAAGACAGCCTGTTTTACATCGAGACTTCTTGGGGCGCAGTTTGGGGCGCACGGCGGAGAGGGGATGGTTGCAGCGCGAGTCGATCTGTGCCTCCGCCATGTGGGCAAAGGAACGCTATGAGTTCCGCTGCGCAGACGGAACGAAATGACCAGGACAGTGCAGCCCGTGGATGGAGGAGGCGAGGGCCTTTCGTATGCTCTGTCACGATCAATCTGGGGTGATGGCACGGCGGGAAAGTAGTTCATATTCGAACTTGACGGAGGTGATGGTTACAAACATTGAAAGTGTAGCACACGATAGAGCAGAAGAAGTTGGGGCGACAAACAGGACCCTTATCTTTAGCCTGGTGCCCCGCGTTGCCCAGGCCTCGCAGGGCCAGCTAGCACCTAGATAGGCATGGTAGGCTGTCCCCCAGGCGCACTAGGCGCACTAGGCGCACAGACCACGCCCAAGAATGCCGAACATGCCTAAAGAAGCCCGAACTGCAGGCTTTTCGAGACTCCCGCTTCGCCCACCACCTCTTATCTTGCTTTTGCCTACGCCGTTCGCCGCATGAAGCGAAGCCCAATCTCCGCAAAGAGATTCCCTACAAGCAACCAGTTAGCCGTTGAGTTGATTGCACAATCTCACTACCTATCGAGATAAATAGAACCGGAATGCACGCCGGTAACATCATTCCTCAAACCTCGTGCTCTCACAGGAGATGTCGTGTCAACTCAACAAAGCTATCTTTCCCAGATACACCCAAGCGACAGCGATATAGGTTCCTTCTAAACGAATCGGACTTCCACGCCGTCTAGATCACCCTTGGCCTCCCACGCCGCAATGACCTCCATGAAATCGAGAATGCCCTTCCCCCAGCCGGCGGACCTGGCGGCGTTCTCCTTTTCTTTGGGCGTCTGTGCTACTCGACCCTCAGCCGAGATATAACTTGGCGTGCACGAAGGCAGACCCGCGTACGCATATGCGTTTGCGATGACTTGCTGACCCCAGTTTTCTTCACCCTCCGCCGTCGGTTGTAGGACCAGCTTTTTCCCCTCGTCTTCCCTTTTCCCTGCCGCCCTCGCCGTGCGAAAGATGTACGCAAGATGAGTGGCCAGTACATCCATGGAAAAGACGACATTGCTCGAGCTTCCAGCCTGTCTCGGTCCCGGGAGGATCAAATTGGGAAAATCTCGCGTGAGGATGCCATGTAAAGTGCCAGGATGATCATCCCATTTGTCCTCCATCGACTTTTGGTCGCGGCCAGTAATCGTGAGACCGGCTCGGAAAGCCGGGCTTCCAACCGTGAACGACTCGAAGCCGGTACTCAGGATCAGCAAGTCGATTTCGTGCTCTTGTCCATCGACGATGATGCCTCCTTCGGTCAAACCATCCACGCCACGGCCGTCCGTGTCCAGGAGTTGCACGTTCGGAAGATTAAAGGTCCCCAGATACTCATCGTGGAAGCAGGGTCGCTTGCACCATCCATAATACCATGGCTTCAGTGAGTCTGCCACTTTGGGGGCTTTGACGATCTCGTCCACTCTGGCTCGTATCCCCTCTTGTCGAGGAAAATCGACTTGCCGGAGGTAGTGGACGTATTCAGCGACGTTTTGTACATTCACACCCGTGGCCCTGGGCGACCCTAACAGGGCTGAGAAGGACGGAAAAGAAGTCCAGCCGTCCTTGACCAAATCCTCAGACGGCAGATTGGGGAGGTTGCTTGAGAATGCCGCCATATTCTCTCGGCGGGCTCGTTGCCAGCCTCTCTGACTCGAGATCGACGAGAACTCTTCGGGCGTGAGGGCTCGCTGCCCGCGCTGGTCGACAGCGGAAGGCGTTCTTTGAACAACATATAGATGTTGCGCCCACTTTGCCAGTTCCGGCACGACTTGGACGGCGGTCGCTCCTGTCCCAATGATGGCGACTCTCTTGTCCTTCAGGCCGTCAAGGACGGGGCTCTCTTGACTCCCACCAGTATAGTCATAGTCCCACCGCGCAGTATGGAACACATGACCCTTGAAGGAGTCGAGACCCTGCAGTCGAGGAAGCTTCGGTCGATTCAGGAGGCCTGAGGCGAGCAGGAAATAGTCCGATCGTAGAGTCAAGGTCTGCTCGGGCTGAGTCGGAGTTTGTCTTGTTACATCGTAGACCCATTCCGCGGCCGAGTCGTCCCAGCGGGCGCTTTTGACGGATGATCCAAACAGGGCTCGTTGCTCGAGTTTGTATTTTGCCGCGATCAATTCCGCATGCGCCCTTAATTCTTGCCCATACGAGTATCTGTGCTTGGGGACATATCCCGTTTCTTCGAGAAGAGGCATGTAGCAGGCACTTTCAACATCGCATATCAGGCCAGGGTAGCGGTTCCAGTACCAGGTTCCGCCGAACCCCCATGTTGTGTCCACGAAGAGGAAGTCTTCTGGCTGAAAGTCGGCCTCGGTCATCAACCTCACAGCAAACAGTAGTGCGCCATAGCCTGCACCAGTAACAATCACCTTGAAGTGCGAGTTATCCGGGACCGTGATAGATTGCCCGGCTTGGAGGTATTTATTGGTCTTGCTGTCGGCCCACGGGTCCGCGCCAAAATGCTGAAACTTCTGAGATTTCGCTATATCTTCAAACTGCGCCAGACCCTCTGGGCGCAAGCGTTTCTGACGTTCTTCGGCGTACTTGGCGTCTACTCGAGCCATGGCTTCTTCGATAACTCCCATCGAGCCCATTGTGGATGGAGCGACGGCGGAAGCAGGGCGTACGAGCCCATGATATCGAGGGCAGCTCTTATGATATACACCAGAAACGCATGGCGAGAGACCGGACCACAAGAGCCAACAAGGCAGTGGGGACGTAGGCAATGGTGGTACCCAGCCAACAGTCCACAGAAGGATGATTCAATGCGCGGTCAGCCATGTTTGTTCGCAGAGACTCTTGTGGGCGATAGAGGCAGGCAGTGGCAAGTTGGATCAAGAACATCTAGACGATGAATCCGATCGCCTTGGATGATCTAAGCGCCTGCGAAGTGTCAACGACGTCTCCATGGTCAACCGAGTGAAGCTTTTCGATGCGCAAGTGCGTGGTCTCGGACTAGAATTGCTATCTCTGATGTCTGGCTGCCTGTGCAGTTGCAGATCTAAGCGCCCGGCCGCAGTCAGTGTGGCGGCTTTTAGCGCCTGCGCCCTTCATTTGTCATTCCCTGCTCGCTGGGTTCACGCATCCTCATTGAGATCAACTAACATAATCCCATCTCCCACGGTCCATACACCGTTCTATACCGAGTACCTAGGTACAGATCCTCCTGTCAGGCCAGACATCGCTCTGCCAAACCTTACATCCCATCGAAGTCTCATGGCAGAATTGGTCCATGCAACCACCTTTCGTCACCGGGAGCTTCATGACATCCCCTGAAGAGATTGTCCAGGCGAATCTTGAACACCCTTCTCACCCATGTCGTCGCCTCAGAGAGCTAACGAAGCACAACAAGTCGTGACGGCCTGTGCTGGACCTTCCCAGAGAGCCGTTGCCGTGCAGATGACGCCGGTGAAAAGCGTCGCCGACGCGGTAACCACAATGACCTTGAAATCCAACCGTACCTGCTGACCTCCTACCCAGTGTCTGCTATTGTCTTTGATATGTCCTTCCCAGATGCATCAGCCCGGCACTCCAGGCTACGAACATGCCAGGGCATCCTTTTGGAACCAGACCCAAGCAGAGGCAGTCCCGGCCGGTATTTTCCAGCCTGAGACAGCTGCGCAGGTGTCTCTGGCCATCGTCGTCTGCCGTCACACCTCTTGCCCGTTTGCCGTCAAGAGTGGAGGCCATGGTAAGTGGTGCGGCGAGTCTTCCATCAATGGGGGTCTCTTGATCGACCTGGCGAGGATGAAGCAGATCCAATTGTCGAAACACCAGTCCACCGTCGCCGTCGGCCCGGGGAACCGATGGTCAGATGTCTATGCTGCTTTGGAACCTTTGGGCATCACAGTCGTCGGAGGACGAGCGTCCGGGGTTGGGGTTGGCGGCTTTCTCCTAGGCGGTACGTAAAGCTAACTTCTGACTCCCGAAATTACCTGTCTGAATCTCTCGATAGGTGGAATCTCGTGGTATTCCAACCTCTACGGTTGGGGCTGCGACAATGTCAGATCTTACGAGGTGGTTCTTAGAGACGGTACTATCGTCACAGCAAGCAAAGATTCCCATCGCGACTTATATAAATGTCTGCGAGGCGGCGCTGGGAATTTTGGCGTGGTCACAAGCTTCGAGTTAGAAACATATCCATACACGGGGATGTGGGGAGGTCGCAAAGCCTTTGAGTATCAACACGGGCAAGCGGCCATGCAGGCGTTCATCGACACCGGCCTGATTAGCGACGGCGAGGATCCGAAGTCCTTTTTCATTCTCGGCCTTGCAACCACGGACGAAAAGGCCTGGGTCTGGGGCGCGTCTTTGGCTTATTGTGACGCAGTCCACACCAGCCCTGTCTGCTTCAAGGCCATTGATGCGATTCCATCGGTGGCCGACGACTGCGCCTTGCGGGATCAGACCGAATGCGTGGCCCGAATGCAAGAATCGTATCCCCCGTGGCTGCAACATTGCCTCTGGGCCTTCGCCACGCAGGTCGATTTACCGACGCTCCAAATATGCTGTCGCATTTGGCAGGAAGAAATGCAATCTCTGGTAGACCAGCTCGACTGGTTCAAGCCGGTTCTTGCCATCCAATACACGACAGAGGCTGTCGTTGAGGGCGCGGCCCGCAATGGAGGGAACATCCTCGGCCTGTCCAGCACCCGCCCGTTCATCATGTACAATGCCGAGCCGCGATGGCGACATGCGCGTGACAACCTGCGAGTCTCCAAGGCGATCGACAAGGCGTTTGAGCGGATGCACGCCGAAGCCCAACGGAGGGGGACCAGCCACGAATACCGCTACAGCAACTACGCCAGTGAATATCAAGATCCTCTCCGCTCTTACGGCCCCGATGCGAACGAGATCTTGCGCGACGTATCCCGCAGGTATGATCCCGACAGTGTCTTTCAGACGCTCCGGACCAGCGGGTTCAACCTTTCGGGGGCTCCTCGGGGCGATTTACGACGCGAATGATGTGGCTGCAAGGTGGTGGTCTATTCTTGAGCAGATCCGTGGACCTCACTCTAGAGGCATATATTTCTGACACGCGCTTCATAGTGGTGATCAGTAGTTGCGAGACTGGGGTGATCTCAATGTCCAATGATGGATTCCAGTCCATGTCCGAGTTTACGGGCAGATGGCAGCAGCAGGAAGAGACGGCTTTAATTTGGTTTTACGATGTGCCTTGAGTAGCAAGAGCAAATCGACAGGATCTCAAAGACATGTATATACAGGGCGAAACCGTACATAGACATCCCACCCACACCGATTCGGGGTCAGTTGGATTTATATACACGAACAGTAGACTAAAGCCAGGTCAAGTTGCCCCCCCCTCTCCCCCAACAACACCACCCTAGGACCCCTTTGCTCCTCCTTCAATGAACCTTCCTCTTCGCGTAGACAAAGACCCAGTACAGCCCGGCAATCACGGTGAACCCCACGGACACGACCGAGGTGTAGTTCATCGACTCGGCCGTGACGGGGAGGTACAGCGGCATGGACAGCCAGACGACGATGAAGACGCACCAGACGATGGACAGGACGTTGATGGCGAACCCCCAGCGGCCGAGATTGAGGTATCGCTCCTCGGGCAGGGCGCGGTCGCGGCCCTTGACGAGCAGGAGGACCAGCGCGAGGATGAAGGACCAGGTGGAGAGCAGGGCGACGCAGCCCAGGATGGCGTTGGTGGCGACCGAGTTGCCGCAGTAGATGGCGGTGATGGCGTTGGCGAAGAGCGTGCCGACCAGCAGGGCGTGGACGGGGAGCCTCGCGCGGCCCGAGAGGCGCGCCGTCCAAGAGTGGAACGGGATCATCGCGTCCTGCGACACGGACCAGTACAGCCGCGACCAGCTGGTCAGGCAGTTGGCGGTGCAGATGGTCAGCACGACGATGGTGAGCACGGTGGCCACGACGACCAGCGCCGTGGAGCGGAACGCGTTGACGAAAAACTGCACGAAGCCCATCCCGCCGACGGGCGCCAGCAGGCTCGCCGGGTCCGTGTTGCAGAAGCTCAGCACCAGGATCATGACCAGCCCGCCGAGCGCGCTGAGCCCGAACGACCCCAGCATCACCTGCGGGATCTGCTTGGAGGGCGCGGGGACTTCGTCGGCCAGGTGCACCGCCGTGTCGAACGCGCCCAGCGACGCCAGCCCCGGCAGCAGCGCCAGGAAGAAGACGGTCCCCATCGAATCCCACCCGGAGTCGTTGACGAAGTCGACAAACACGACCGACGCCGACTGCTTGGGCGACGCGCGCGCCAGCGACGTGATCAGGATGAACAGCGCGGTGCCGTTGATCGAGAGCACCGCCGTGCCCATGATGTACGGCATCGCCTTGAACAGCCCCGGCAGGTTGACTGCCAGGGCGACGAGAGAGACGGCCACGTTGGCCAGGTATGTATGCCACGGGGCCACGACGTAGCTGGGGTTCAGCACCGCCGCGATCGCCACGATGTAGAAGGCGACGTACAGGTTGGACACGGCGCAGATGCACATCCACGCCACGTTGGTCCACCAGCTGACCAGGTACTCGCACAGCTTGGAGTACCGCGGAGGGGCCAGCACTTTGACCCAGTACGCCGGACCTACGCAGGAGGACCAGAGTTAGAGGCAGCTTCATTAAGGCGCAAGGATTCGCGCGGGGGGAAACCACTTTACCTGCGGGATGAGGCAGTCCGGAAGCTAGCTCGGCGATCGAGAGACAGACGACAAACTGGAACACGGCCGCCACGATGAAGCACCAGAAGTAGGCCGGGGCGCCACCCAGGCCGACGACCAGGTTGAGGTAGCCGCCGATGGCCAGCGGCACGGCCGTGATGGAGAAGGTGACGCCGAGCGTAGTGAACAGGTTGAAGTTCTGCTTCAGGCGCACCTCGCGTACATCCTTGCCGTCGCCGTCGCCGATAGACACGTTCGTTTGCACGGGCTCGATGCGCTTCGCCTCGACCATGCTGTCGTCCGGGTGTGCTGTCGACATGATATTTGGGGGATAGTGGCCGTGGTTGTTGGCGAGACCGAACCTGGAGGGCGTGGGACAGGCATCGAGGAAGCGGACATGGAGCTGATATACCTCGTCTGAACAGGGTCTGGACAGCCAGCAGAGCTCAGTGTATTGCAAAGCCTCGCATTATCGAGAGATTTGGATCAGAGATACGGAGAAGTAGCTACGAGTAGATACCCCGCCGTCCCACTAAATGCCATTGGTGGAATGGCAACTCTGGCTGGAAGGTCCGAGCGCCCACGGCGTATCTAAGCCCCCGAGCGCTTAGATTTATCTTATCAGTCTAGATCAAGGGCACAGGCACGTGTGGCCATGTCTAGCCACACGTCTGTCTATCTTCTGCCAATATGCAGTGTTCTGGCCGGTACTAGCAGGGACGCCATCGCCAAAGGCTCGCCGCCGTAGCACCGATCAGGTTCATGTGTTCGGTGTGCAGAGTACGCAAGGATTGGGAGAAAACGGACAAACCGGGAGATTGGTTTGGTATTAAGAGAAATTTAGACATTTCGCTGTTCCAGGACCCCCCTGGGCACTGCTTGCGGGAACCACTACAGAGCACCAAAAACCTCACGCTTGAAGTCTGCCGCCGCGTGTAGGACTTGCTGGACATGCTGCTCCTGATGCATGATATTGAGGGCAAAGAATCCCCGTGGGCCGGCGTGGATGCGCCTGGCCAACAAGAAGTAGTACCACGCTCGCCCCAGCACCTCACTCCTCGGCCCATTGAAATAGACTCCCACTGTGCTTCCAAACCCACGCACGATGGCCGTGTCCGGACCTTCCATGTCCAAGACGCGAGCGAGTTCGCTCCGCATCTTCTCGCCGAGGGCGTTGGTCCGCTCGATGTTCTCCGGTGTCAGGAGCCTGCACGCCGCCAGCCCGGCCGCCATGGTAAACGGATTGTTGTTGTTCGTGCCTGAGTGCGCGAGGGCGTTGGGCTGGCGACAGTCTAGAGTCTTCATGATGTCGGCGCGGCCGCCAAACGCACCAAACGCGAAGCTGTGCCCCGGTTGTTAGCCTCTGTTGGGGTATGTGGTGGTATTGACTCACGCGCCCCCGAAGAACTTGCCGATCGAAGTCATGTCAGGGATGATCCCGTGATAGGATTGAAGGCCTCCGTAGTGCGTCCGGGCGGTAATGACCTCGTCAAAGACCAAGACCGCGCCGATCCGCGTGGCCTCGTGTCGCAAAAACGCCAGGAAATCCCTGGTCGCCGGTATGAGCCCCCCAGCACCTTGCATTGGCTCGACTAATATCACCCCGACGTCCGCATTCAACACACTCTGGGTGCTCTCGACATCGTTGTACACCCCCATGACAAACTGGTGAGGTAATATCAGGGCATTTGAAGTTTTGAAGGATAGCGTCCCGCCATGATATCCGCCCTGGAACACCATGACCTATTGAGTGCTCATCAGCCAACCAAGCTCCGTGGAGGAGGCAAAGCCGTGACCGACCTTCTTCTTGTTGGTATAGTTTAGGCCCATCGCGATCACCACGGTGTTGGTTTCCGTGCCCGAGTTGGTGAACTGTACCATTTCCATGCTTGGGAAGCGGGCACACAGAGCCTCCGCGAGCTCCAGCTCCCGGGTACTCGGGGCTCCGATGGTAAAACCGGCGTCCAGCACCTCGGCAACGGCGGTCTTGATGTCCGGATGAGAATGCCCAAACATGGCGGCAAAGTACTGGGACACAAAGTCCACGTAGGTATGGCCGTCGATGGACATCAGATAGCAGTCGTGGCCGGCGTCGGCGTACAGGGGGAACGGTTTGTTGGTGTGGACGGCTCTGGTGATGCCGGCGGGCATGATCGTTGACGCCCGCTCGTTCTGAGTCTGGGACTTGGGATTGTCGTGCAGAAACTGCTGCAGGTACTTGTCCAGCACGTCACTCGCAGCTGCTGCGCCGTGCTCTTTCGTAATCATGGTGATTGTCGAGTCTCAGCCAGAGTTTGTCGTGATGTATGCCCCTGTATGTGCGATGATAGATGAAGCAGGCGTACGAAAACAACGAGATGAAAAGAGGTAGTCCCCTCCAAGGTCTCTTCCTCCCCAGCTACCTCGGCGTCCATTGAACCTCAGATCATCCGGCGCTGTTAAGCATCTCGAGACAGTCCCAAGCCTCTGAGGGCGTAGGGCGCTTAGATTGGCGAAGCTTTTGGCGGGTGTTGTTGTTTGCAGGGGGGACGCCTCATCAAAACCGTTGGTCCGCGGCTTGGCCTGGGCGATCGCCCGAGATCTAAGCGCCGGACCAGCTCGTAGGTGTAAGAAGGTCGTTGCTCTTCAAGTTGGACAAGCCTAAGGAGGAGTCGATTCTGTTCTTCTAGAACAGAAGACTGCGACCTTATACTGTCAATGAGCTTCTGTACGTGTTCTTCCATGCCGCGTGAAATCGCGGCGGCCCAGCACCCCTCGTCTACCTACCGAATGGAAACATTGACAGGGTAGGGAAGGGGAGATGAAGGAGGAAGAGTCAAGGTAGAAACCGGCGCCCTATTGAACTGGGGTGTGGCTTCTAGCCGTGGGCGTCAACTCGTACGGCGGCAGGCAACAGGAACGTTCACATATTGTAGACTAGTTGATTGATTGAATGCTATGATGGAAAGAAAATCCTATCTCTGAGGACTCTGCCTTTCACGACGCGAGCAACAAGAACAAGGATCCAACCTGGGGGTGGTGCCTCCACTGACCAATCAGGGAGCAGGATTGTCGGCCTGTACAATGTACCGGCAAATCAACCATCTTCGTCAATAAATTTGCCTGACGTCATTGTGGTTCAGTCGATAATCAAACCCCGCGCACCTCATGCTTGCTTGGAGGCGAGTGTGCAGACTACCTGTATCTCTCCCGTTGCGCTGCCTGGCTCAACGAACACTGAGATCCATGTTGACAGATGAAGAGTTGGAACTCAGACAGCTCCGCATGGAACGGTCGAGAGATGTTCATCATCGGCATTGCTGAGTTCGGCTTCAGGGATCGCCGCCGTGGAGTGTCCCCGGCCACGCCACACTGTGTGAGGTCTCCCCCGCTATTGTGGCGAGCGGGGTTGATGGGGGACAATTCCGTGGAAACCATCGACGACTGGGAGCGCCTCGATGAAATGCCGCCGACTTGCATTTTGATGGCGTGCCCTTGAACATGTAAGACATTGCCTGGCCGCCCCGACATACGAGCCACGGTTTGTCAATCCAGATTCAAGTCTCCCTGCCAAACGCCATACGACGCGGCTCACCACCATGACGGATCTCGCGGGCAAGGTCATTGTCGTCACGGGCGGCTGCTCCGGGATCGGCCTGGCTACGGTCAAGCGGTTATTGGAGCTTCACGCGGACGTCGCCGTGGGAGACGTCGCGGAGCAGCCTGCGCCGGACCTGCAAGGCCACGTCTTCTACCGGCCGCTGGACGTCAGCGACCGTGGAAGCGCCCGGGCCTTCATGTCAGCCGTGCTCGAGCGCTTCGGCCGGATCGACGGGTTGGTGAGCAACGCCGGCATCTGCCCGAACGAGGGCGAGATGGCCAGCGACGACATCTACGAACGCGTCATGGCCGTCAACCTCCGGGGCGTGTGGAACATGGGCACCGAGGCCATCAAGATCATGGTGGACCAGCCGACCAAGGGCGTCATCGTCAACACGGCGAGCGACGCAGCCCTCAAGGGCATCAAGGGCCTCGCGGCGTATACCGCCTCCAAGCACGGTGTCCTCGGCCTGACACGCGCGTGGTGCAAAGAGTGGACGCCCAAGGGGATCAGGATCAACGCGGTGGCTCCAGGTATGTTGGGGCAAAAAGTCTCACAGATTCGGGACTAACGGTGCTGAAGGAGTCACAAACACGCCCATGGTTGCCCGGATCGCCTCCGACCACACGGACGGCGAGGCCGCAACGAAGCAGTGGCTGCAAAACATCCCCATGGCGCGGTTTGGAGAGCCTGCCGAGATTGCCAGCGTCATATGCTTCCTGCTCAGCAAAGACGCCAGCTTCATGAGTGGGCAGGTTGTTCGGATAGGCGGTGGAGAAGGGGAATAGCTGCATAGCATGCTGTTGAGCCAGTTGCGCTTGAGTAACTTTACGGATTGACAGATCTCTCTGGAGCCTGTCTCAGGCCGTGAATGGTCGTCTATATAAAGAAATCGAAGCGGCATCAGAGGATGTGTCTTGATTCCCATGTAACACGTAGATTAGCCTTTCAGGCGCTGAATCCGCCATCCACCCCGATAATCTGGCCGCTGACGAAGCTGGCCTGTGGAGAAACCAAGTACGCCGCGACCTCAGCGACCTCGTCGGCCTCTCCCCGCCGACCCAGGGGCGTGGCGCCAACCTGGTTCTCGAGCACGGCCGCCCCGTACCCGTCGGCGGCAAAGCTGTCGAGCACGATGCCCACGTTGATCGTTCCCGGCGCCAACCCGTTGACTCTGATCCCGCGGGGGCCGAGCTCCCGGGCGGCTTGCTTGACGATGCCCGTGACGGCCATCTTGGGGATAAAACTCAGCCCATCCCAGTCCAGCGTCTTCAAGACCGCGCAGGTGACGAAGAGCAGGATTGACGGCTTCTCCGTGCTCGCTTCCAGGTGCGGGACGCCTTGCTGGATGATGTTGAAGGAGCCGATCACGTCCGTCTCAATTACCTGGCGAAATACCTCCGGGGAGGCGTCTGTCAGCGGGCCCAGCGTAATGGCCGGGCCCGTGGCAGAGATGATCGAGTCAAGCCTCCCCCAAAGCTGTTTTGCGGCGGCGAAGAACTGCTGCACGGACGCGGCGTCTTTCATGTCCACCTGCAGTGCCTCTGCCTGACCGCCTGATCGCGACGGTGATCAGTTGCGGACTCATATGAGGAAGAAGTGGAAAGAGATGCTCGGCTCACCTCGCTGCTTGATCTGGTCCACTATGGCGGCGGCCTTGTCTTTGCCGCGGAAGTACCCCAGCACGACGTGGGCGTCTTGCGAGATTCTGAAAGCGGTGGCTTCACCCAGACCACCGCTCGCCCCGACAATGGCGACGACCCTTCTCGGGCTTCCCATCCTGACGAGAGGGTCTGTATTCCACGATCAGTGAACAGCGAATCTGAACGAGAGAGAGCCGAGGGCGGTCCAAAATTCCAACACAAAGTTATCCGAGAATCAGACGCCGAGTCCCCCTCCTCTACTAAGAATTATACGGTTGAGCCGCAATGAGCGTGTCTTGGGCGTGTACCTAGGTACTGTAGTTCCACGGAAATCATCTGGGTAGACATCATGTGTACAACATAGCAGAGAAAACAAGATGCGGCTCACTGAATATCACAAAATTGATGCTATGAGGAGAAGAGGCGAGAGAGCATATGGCCTTTGATATCAATCAAAAGGGCTCTGTTATGCTGATATCCACCGGTGGTGTGAGGCTCAATCAATTAGATACTGGAGATTAATTGCATATGTAGATGGATCGGCACGTGTCGAGGGGTCTCGGCTGTCGACGTGTTTGGCGCGGGGAAAGAATTCCCGTGGAAAAGGGGTGGCATGTGGTGTCCACTGCAGAGAATGTCATAATGCAGCATTCCGTTATTGAGGAGACAGACAATGCAGAGCTCGAGCTGGATCAATTATGTAAAGGTAGCAGAGGGGAGTCTGTTCAGGAAACACCATCTTGGAGCTTTGGTTGGAATTCAAGGGCTGAGAGTGCCGACTGCGATTATCATACCAGCAATTGGGCCCCGGCGGGGCGAGACCGTGAACCTCGTGGCCCAGTGAGCCGATTTTGCTGTCCTGCGGAATCCCTGCCGCCACGAGGCAAAGGCGAGAAACAATACGCATGCTCGAGCAAGCTATACCTGGACTGAGCGTCGTGAGCCCGGTCTCTCTTGATCCTGGAAGTGGAAGAGCCCACCAGAATGGATCGCTTCGGGGCCCGCTGCTGCACATTTGACCGCAACTGATGTGTTCATTGTCTTGCGATCCATAGGAAGTCCGCTTGGTCCAACATCTGCGCAGGGGAATGGCCTGCTGTCTTACGCGGCCAACGGCTTTGTCAAATCTAGAAAGTACGAGTGAATCTGCGTCTTCTGGCATGATCTAGTGCTCGGGATACTCTGGCAAGATAGACCCGTCCGTCGCTGAGAAAACCCTAGAAAAAGTCACGATCGGTACAGGTAGAGATTAGACCGCGTTTTGTGATGCCCGTCGCGACACACCAATTGGGTATGTGGATGGTGTCAACGTCCTACTATATCTCGCTGGCTACAAAGATCCGTCTTCGCCATATTTTCTCCCTTATAGCTTGCTGACAGCCCTCTCTTTCTCCTTTCTCCGCGCCGACTCTTTCATCTCTAGCTTGAAACCTTGGCCTTCCAGGATTTCGGCAGATCCTCCTCCCACAACCTGCAAGTTCGTCAACGTCAGTCCTTCTAGCCAGTAGGGAAGGAAAAAGGCAAGATGAATGCTTACATAAACTCGCAGATCCCTCGCAATCTGCTCGACGACTCCTCCACGCCCGCCTTTGCTGAATGCCAGACCGCCGAATACCTGTTGGGCTTCCCGGCAGGCTCTCTCCAGGATGAGTGATGACTGGACTTTGGCAAGTCCAATCCGCCCACTGATTCCTTTGTAGCCGTTTGTTTTGACCTCAAAACAGAGCTGTTCGTGCCAGGCATGTTGCGCCTCGATTAGACGCGCGAGCTCTGCGAATTTCGCCCGGATAATATCATGCTCAATCAAAAACTTGCCGAAAGTCCGCCGAGAAGTTGCATGCGTGTATGCTTCTGAGAGACAGGTGCGAGCAACCCGCAGTCCCGAGATGGCCAAGCCCAGGCGTTCGGCGTCGAAGTCTGTGGTGGAGAGCTGAGCGTCTGCCGAATAGAGGAGAGGTGACTTGAGGTCAACTTACTGGACATCAACACCTTGAAACCCTCATTCTCACTACCCAGCAGATTGGCCACTGGAACAACCACGTCCTCGAAGTCGATAAACGTACTACCTGGAACTAAATGTCAATTTCTATGCTGTTGGATATATCGCCGCATTGCCGTCCTACCGCTTGCCTCGACTCCCGAATTCCTCATTTTCTTCAGCAGCACACCCTCAGCCTTGAGAGGCACAAGTAACACAGAGATGCCTTTCACCCCAGGCCCGCCGGTTCTCACAGCGGTGACTGCGTAGTCTGCAAATATGCCTGTTTGAGGACGTGTGAGGTTGGGAAAATCTCGTCAAAGGAACATGCTAAGCAACATACCGTTTGTGATCCACTTTTTCTGACCGTTGACCTTGAACAGATCTGGGGAAGTCCGTTCGGCGGTCGTGGTCAGATTTGCCACGTCGGAGCCACCTGTTATCGCAAGGTTTCAGAGAGGGGCCGCAAGATTATACGCTGCGCATACCATCCGGTTCAGTCACGGCCAAGCAGAAGCGAGATCTCCCTGTACATGCTGCTGGTAGCCATGTTGACCTCTGCTCCTCTGATCCAAATGCTGCAATGAGGGGCAAGGCGATACGATTTCCCGAGCTGACAGCCCACAAGGGGCCCAATCTGGGTGTCCTCGCGAGCTCGTCGCTCATCTGTCGCCCATTCAGCTTCAGCTCGAGATTAATTGGGGGTGGCACCCACAATCAACTCATGGAATATATCCCATGCTAGAAACGTCATGTTATTATTGTATATATGACAATGGGGAGAGCAGGCAGGTCGCAATGCTTACCTTCGATGTCCGCCGGCATTCTGGCTCCTCCTCGATATTTGCAGGGTATCCCTGGGCCTACAAACCCGCCCGCGACGAACTTTGCAAACAGCTTCAGATGCCAGGATGTCAATACTTGGGTTCACTCTTGCACCTGAGGCTGTACTGACGTCGGCCGGCACCTTGCCTGCTTCCTCCCACTCCTCTGCATGGGGGGCCAATTCGTTTTCCACAAAGTTGCGTACATACTGTCGAAGCTTGCGGTGGCTGTCTGAATAGTAAGGCGACGCAATGCCCTGGCAATAAGACGGCTCGCAGAAGGGATCCTGGTTGCCGAACAGCTCGGAGGACATGTTGAACTGATGCTGCAATGGGTTCCACGAGCAACCGGATATTTTACTGGTGTTTTGCAGAGAGGGCGGCTAGCGCGACAGGTGACTGGTGTGCGGGCTCGGTGACTAAAAGGAGAGATGGGCGGCAGAAACAAGGGGGGAAGTGCCCTGAATTGCGCTTTACACCGTACTGGTATAAGTGCTGATGCTCGACTTCCTCCCTTGCCGCTAAGCCCGGCGCGTCGGCGTCTTTGGCAGTGTCGGCAGAGTCGGCAGCTTCCCCGTTACCAAAGAAGTTTCACGTGCAAGGCTGGCCCACGTGAAGCTGACATTACCTGCACACACGGTCAAGCCAACATTCACGACCTAGTCGCTCATTGCTTGTGTTTATGCTCTGTTAGTAGCTTCAAAAGCCCGGTCCACTGGCGCTTCCTGGGAGCAACGGGCTGTAAGCAGCGCGTCTGAGCCCGGCCAAGCATATTCCACAAAGACTTCGAGACTTCAGACTTCGAGACTTCAGACTTTGAGACTTCAGATTCAATGGCAGGAGCAGGCCAGAAGCGGCCGGTCCGAATTGCGAACTGCGCCGGAGCAAAAGGCTCGTCACGACTACCTGGTATACAGATATCCACTCGCTGACGCTCGAGAGGAAATAGGGGATCCAGGCTACCAGATGTATCGACAAGCCACGGCGGGCGAGGTGGACGCCATTACAGGTGATTTCCTGGCCGAATTCAACATTGCCATGAATGCACAAGCCATGCAGCGGGGAGAGCACCCCGGATATGAACCTTCTGCGTGGGATGGCATCGAGATGTGCTTGGAAGTTCTGGCGCAGAAACGTATCAAACTTGTCATCAACGGCGGAGCACTCAATCCAAGAGGCATGGCCGAGAGGGCGCAGACATTGGTGAGAGAAGCTGTCAATCACACGACGTGCAATACAAACCTGCTGATCCTCCCCACCAGGCTACTTCGAAAGGATTGAGCTTGAAAATAGCCTACGTCTCCGGCGACGACCTGCTCCCCCGAGCGCGTGAACTCCTGCACGCCGAAAAGGGGCTAGTGCATCTCGATGACATCAATCCTAACGTCAACCTGGCTAAGGACACCCTGAACTTTTTAGATGACGAGACCAAAACTCTACTAAGCGCCAATGCTTACCTGGGAGCACGGGCTATTGTCCGCGGCCTACGTGAGGGAGCCGATATCATCATATGTGAGTAATTGGACTGTTTGCTGGACAGAGGATGACCCAACCGGCTTTAGGTGGTCGAGTTGCTGATGCCAGTCCGTGAGTTGCCCTACTGGGTGCTGGACCGTCCTAAATTTCAAGTGCTGAAGAGTATAAACAGGGTGATTGGAGTCGCACAGTGGTGGCATGGATGGCATGAAGACGATCACAAAGAACTTGCTGGGGCTCTGGTGGCGGGACGCAAGTGACCCTTCCGTGACGAGGCCGTACGAGTACACTCTCTTGTTACTAACTTCGCCTTTAGACTTGATCGAGTGCTCCGCTTATGTGACAGGCTCCAACTTCTGCGGCTTCGACAAGTATCCTCTGGACGACTTTGTCGATCTCGGCTTCGGCATTGCCGAAGTAGATGTTGACGGTTCTTGTGTTATCACCAAACACGAGACCCTCAAGGGCATGGTGACCGTCGACACTGTCACCTGCCAACTCCTCTATGAGATCCAGGGGAATCTGTACCTCAACTCGGACGTGACGGCAGACCTCGAGGACATAGAAATCCAACAAGTTGGACTGGACAGGTACCTGGATTGCGAAGCTGGCTGGGTAGTGCGCGGGCTGATGGGAGCGGCAGAGTCCGAGTTTCTAACGTCAAAGGCTTGCCACCTCCTCCAACGACCAAGTTCGCCGTGTTTTACAATGCAGGTCTGTTGCGTTCTCTGGGAAACTTGAGGTGGAAAACAGCTGATGCCCGTCGCCAGGTTGGACCTCGGAAATGTACTTTGGGGCCTGCGGTCTGGAGGTGGAGAGGAAGATGGAGCTCATGAAGCGACAAACCATCCTCAAGCTCAAAGAATGGGGTTACTACGATAAGATGGACATTCTCAGCTTTGAGCTTTATGGACGGCCAGAGCCTAATGCTCGGTCGCAGGCTGCAGCCACGAGTTTGTACGACGGCACGGGATGTCGTTTCGACCGGATGGACCACGCTGACATTGAGAACCTCCAGGATCCGGATCGTCGGCCAATCCACCGACAGACGAGCAATCGAGCTTCTATCCAAGTCTCAAGACGAGATGGGGATGCAGCACTACCACGGCAAATCCTTCAGCATGGACTTCCGGAGCCGGGCCCCGCGGTCTTTCATCGGCTACTTCCCCGCTGTCATCGCCCAGACGCAGATCCAGGAAGAGGTGTGCTTTGTGGACTCCGGCCTGGTCTTCAACGTCGGCCATGTCGGCCACACGCGCCCGATAGGCCAGCGGCGATCCTACGAGACAGCCTCTCCCGTGGATCTGGGCCGGTTCGGTCCCACGGAGGAAGACATCCTCGGCCGTGTTGTGTATGCCAGAAGCGGCGACAAGGGCGGCAACATCAACATCGGATTCTTCGTCCACGCCGACGACGAGTTCGATTGGCTGCGGTCATTCCTGACGTGCGACAGGATGATCGACCTGATCGCCGACGACTGGCGACCCCAATACCATCTCGAACGGGTCGAGTTCAAAAACATCCGGGCAGTTCATGTAAGTTGGGACAAGAGATTGCGCTGGACATGGTCTACGAGACTGATCCCTTGTCTTGTCGTACAGTTTGTCGTCTATGGTATCCTTGGGAGAGGAGTCACGAGTACCCCTGTTCTGGATACCTTGGGCAAGAGCTTTGCGGATTTTATTCGAGCTAGGTCTGTCCTGTCTCCATCCTTGAACCCAATCGGTAATACCTAACTGTGTACAGGTTCGTTCCGATTCCCGTGGAGTTCATAAAAAGAGTCCCCCAACCGGTACCCTTCAAAAGCGAATAGCCGGAGCGCAGTCCAATATGGAAGTTCGAATGGTTTTTCGAGCACTTTCATTCTTGATATAGAGGGGCGTAAGACAACACAAGAAATCTAGGGGCGGTTGAGGAATTGACCGTGCATGATTGCACTGTACCAAGTTTTTCGCCATCTCACAGCCCCTTTTCCGGGCTCATAACCTCTTCTCCAGTGTTGCCAGGACTATAGTCAGACTAGTCATCCGCAAATCGAGAGCTCTGATTGGTGGAACTATGCTGAATCTCTGACCTGATATAGACCTTGATCAATCCAGTGGTTTAGGCACTGCGATACCTCAAAAGACTTCGCTGAAAGGCGAACCTACTACTATCGTCCTATTTGATTGGCTAAAGGTCCTCTCAAGTTTCGTGAATATATGTATTAATAGAGTGTTAAAGGGCCGCTGGCGAAGAAGGGTAAGGAAGTCGTAAGTAGACCACAATTGGAATGGCTTTATGAGTAAAATAGTGGGCTCAGGCACGAATTGCTACGTTTGTGGCCCTACTAAAGATGCTAGGCCCTTGGCTAGTCAGACTATAGTTGACGGCGAGGTCGTGACTATAGTCAAATTTGACTATATAGTCATTACTATAGTCCTGGCAACACCATTCGCCTCTTTTCGATTCGCTTGTATTCTTGAGCAATCTAACATCGTAGCGAGACACGTGCACCCGCCCATGCCCAGTGCCCACATCCCCCTACGGAGATTTATGAGAATGAAATTCCTAGTAGAGACAGCATTAGCTCTCAACAAGACCTGGGAGATGAAAAAAGGAGTGGGTGCATAGGAACATCTCATCTCACCTCCATCACACAAAATGCTCTGGCCCGTGATGTTCCTGGCCTTGGAACTCGCCAGGAAACTGACCAAGTTCGCGATATCTTCCGGGTCCTACCACCGTTGAGACAGTTGAGCACCTCAGTTGAAGCACAAATACAGGCAAGCAGACTGACCTGAGCGCGCTTGAGTGCCGCACGCGATTCGACCGATCTCTTGAAAGCGACGCCTTTCTCAAGGCCTTCACGCGCCGCGATGTCGGCATCGATTTGCTTCCACATCTGCCCAGCGCGTCAGTAACTTCTACAGTATCCAAAAATGGATCATCGGAGGTGGGAGTCACATCTGTGTCAACAGGGCCGGGACAGTATGCTTTTCGGTCGAGTGGTTAGCAGACGAATAGGTAGAGCTTGTATGACAAACCGTTGACCTATGTGCGCGTCAGCTCGACAGTCTTCCTTGGCTCAAGGGAGTGCTCACATTGATATCATATTTGGCAAACTCCATTGCGGCAGACTGTGTCAGGCCCCGGACCGCCCACTTGCTTGTTGAGTACGCCACACTGTGACTTGCGGACTAGAGCCCAGAATATCGAGTCAACAGCGAAGCCCTCTTGAGTTGAGACCGACAGTCGCATAACTTCGGGCTTACCGGTCGATACCCCGCCGTGGAGCAAGCCGCCACCATCTTCCCGCCTTTTCCTTGCTTGATCATCTGCTTGGCTGGCCAGACTCAGATTCTGGCCAATTCCCAAACGGGCCAGGCCGGGAGAGCATCTTACCTGCTTCTCGATAGCACAGGAACACTCCTCTCACGTTGATCTGCCGCGCTGTTAGACGGCGGGAGACACGACGCGGGAATTCCGCTGACCGATTGGACCCTATCCCATTCTGCGACGCTGACCTCCAAGATGGACTTTGGCACGAGGATCCCGGCATTTGCGACCATGACCTGGGTTGTGGTGTCAACAAAATGCGACCGGCGTCAAGGCGGAAAACGAGATACATTCAGTTCACCAAACTCGGTCACCACGTCGGCAACCATCTTCTCGACCTGTTCCTCGACACTGACGTCGGCGACAAACGTGGAAGTTTTGCGTCCTGTGGCACAAATCCGGTGTTAGAATTGGGGGGGGGGGGGGGGAAGGGCGGCTCCCAGCGGCGAGGTTGCAGATCCTCTCACCCTTTTTCTCAATCTCGGCTTTGACGGCTTGGAGCTGCGGGAGCTGAGCCTGGATATCATTCAACTGGAGACGTATATCAGAACCGCGACCGAATGCAGCGACATGAACCTGCCCCGGTCCGGCCTCACCGCAATATCCATGCCATCCTCGGCAAGTTGCAGCGCTATTGCGCGCCCTATTCCCCTCGATGACCCGGTAACAATTGCGACCACCATTCTTGCTTATTTCCTCTCGTTCTTCAAAAACGTGCGGCAGCAAGGAGAATTCCTGAGCGACACAGACACTCATGCGGTCAAAACAGACGGGCTTGATTTCTGTGAAGTCACTGGTGAGCGGCTGGGCGCCTATACCTGTCCGCTGGATTCGGGTATTCGGTAAACAAGCAAAGCGGGGGAACCACAGCCTTTCGAGGCGGCCATTCTATGGCAGAAGATCTGAGGGAATTGTTCTCCAACTCGGACTTCTCCAAACAACAGTTGCTGCGTGAAACCTCATACTGTCTTCCGAGGATGCTGTGGTGAAGCTGTTCGGAACAGAAAGAGTAGAAGCAAATCTTCGTCGCGTCTCTAGCCTTGGGTCAACGGCTCGTAACGTAGACCGAGTCGTTGGGAGAGGGTTTTACTGCCCGTTTGTATGCCAGAGAGTATTGGTGTTCGCGATAGAGACGCCCTTTTGGCCTCTTTCTCGGAGAACATCGTTATCCCTACCCAAGTTCGAAACATCAGAAATGTTTGCAGAGTAGAGAGGTAGGAGCGGTTTATTGTTGAAATGGGCCGTTGCGGTGTCTGGGGTTCTGAATGGCCAGCAGAATTCAGCGAATGTGGCTTTTAGAACACCTGGGAATATGCATTATGCAAGTGGGACAATTCAAAGCCCGGGAATGGCGCATGCCCATGCAGCTTCGAGGTCAAACTGTGCCTTAACGGCAAGGCTGTGCTGCTGGTATTCATCTTGCCTACTTTGTCTCGTTCATCGCGATCCCTCTTCATGTTCTCGACATTCTGACAAGTCCAGATGGATACAGCCATCGTGACTGCTATCACACTGAAGGCAAGATTCAGAGAGTGACCGATGGTGTACTTCGGCGCTTGATTCGGTGTATACATCCAGCTGGCGATGAAGGCACTCAAAGTGCCTACAGAAACGATCATGACCGTAGCAACAACTTGGACGGTGCGGTGTGGGTTGTTATTCGTGGGAGCCGGAAGCGTGCCTCAAATCGCTGCAGTCCCATGTTACTCGGCACCTGAACGAGTAGGTGAAGTACCAGAAAGCGGTGTCAGTGATTATTCCCCTATATTAAGGTCCGAAACCCGCGTTGCACAACAATCCACCGGCTTTCACGACGTACAAATGTAGTAGATTCCCAGTTGAAGTCACCGCCTTTCGTCCCCAGGTCTTCCTCCAAGCCTCCTAGATGTGCATGCCACGGTCGATGAAACAGAACAGACAGGGGAGTGTCAACATCAGCATGATCCAGTGATCGAGTTACGAGTAACGCGTCGCTCAAGCGCAGGGTCTATGGTGTCTGCAACACTGTTTGGTACAGCTCTAACCAGGTCCTGCAGCTGCGGGTTTTCTTCCATTTCTGCCATGAGAAAGCCCCTTGAAGCGGTGGAGTATTCGAACGTCAGACTTCAGATTCAGATTGGGCTTGGGTGTGCTGCTGCATTAAATCGATAGCTGCAATTTGTACCTAGCGCCAACCTTCTTCACCCGGGGCTGTTCCCCTATCACTGTCATGCCCCAAGTTGGGGGCCCAGCCCGCCTCCCAGGTACCTCGGAAACCCCAGAAATTTGACGGTTCTCACCAATTGGAACCTTGCATAATGTCGGGATCGTTTCCCTTTACAAAGCCATCAGTAGCGAAATGGCGGGAACGTTGCCGACAAGCCTGGAACGGAATGGGCCAGTTTTGGAGTTGAGCGTTTGACTGTCTCCTGACTTTCGCAACTGGGCATTTGGCCTGGCGGTTGGTAATATCTGGAATAATAAGGGGGCTTATAATAAATGTCTAATTTTCACGACCAATATTGAATAGTCCCCCTTGATCCTGCCAAATCTCTAAAACCCGTCCATCCCAGCCACGCCGTGGACGACGACTATTGCCACAATGGGCTCGATTGACCGCTACAAGTTCGCGCAGGAACCGATCCACCAGCCTCAAAGGAAACGGCTGATTTGTATTGGCGCCGGGCTTGCCGGCATCGGTGCGGCGTATCAGTACCAGCAACAGCTCGAGAACGTCGACTTCGTGATCTACGAGAAGAACCACGACGTTGGAGGAACCTGGCTGGAAAACAGATATCCCGGCTGCGCCTGCGACATTCCAGCCCATGGCTATACTTATTCTTGGGAGGGAAATCCGAATTGGTCGAGGTTGTAAGTGCCATTCAAAACCCCTTTAGTATTGCTAGGACTAAGGCGCGTTGATTTGACAGCTATGTGTCTGCGGAAGAGATCTTTGACTATTTCAAAGGATGCGCGGTCAAGTGGAACTGTATGCAGTACATCAAACTGTCTCACAGGGTGATCGAGGCACGGTGGTCCGAGCCGAACAACCAATGGTTCCTCAAGATCGAGAATTCAGCCGACGGGACAATCTTTGAAGACCAATGTGATGTCTTATTGAGTGCTACGGGCATCTTGAAGTAAGTTCAGAGCATCTAAAGTGACAGAAAGTGCCTGATTCTGACAACCCTAGCAAGTGGAAGTGGCCGGACATCCCAGGGCTCTCTAGCTTCAAAGGTAAACTGTTACATTCGGCCCGCTGGGACCAGGAATACAACTTTGAAGGGAAAACGGTTGCGGTCGTTGGAGCCGGTTCCTCGGCTATACAGATCGTCCCCAGTTTGCAGCCAGGTACGACGAATTGGGTTGGCCCTTCTTTCCGGATGTGGTGGTGCTGACCATACGTCGAAGTGGTGAAGAAACTGGTCAACTTCATCCGTTCCCCGACGTGGATCACTCCAGAATTCAGCCAAAGTCTTGCCAAAGACGGCCGCGACACCAGGTTCACTCCGGAGGAGATTGAACGGTTCAACAAGGACAAAAGTCACTTCCTCCAGTATCGGAAACTGGTCCAAAACACGGGAAGCTCGAGTTTCTCGTTATACTATAAAGGCTCGGACCTTCAAGAACAGTCAATGACCAAATTCGCCAATCTAATGAGGGAAAGACTAGATTACAATGAAGAACTGTGCGAAAAATTGATCCCTAAGTTCGCTGTGGGATGTCGGAGGTGAGGAGTTGGGTCTGTTGTTGCTACTTCGAGGAAGTCAAGTTAATCAAGTATAGGTTCACTCCTGGAAACGGGTACCTCGAATCACTGATCAAACCGAACGTTCAGGTCGTCCTTACAGGGATCGAAGAAATCACGACAAACGGCATTCGCGCTGCAGACCGTACAGAACATGCTGTCGATGCCATCGTCTGTGCGACCGGATTTGACTGTTCACACCGACCAGCATTCCCCGTGGTCGGCCGCAACGGACTCGATCTGGCCGAGTACTGGAAGGAGCAGCCCCGACACTACATGTCGGTTGCGGCTCCTGGCTTCCCGAACTACTTCAGTAAGCAGGAGTCTCTTGCGATCGACTTTCTCGGTGCTGACAAACGGATTCATAGTCCTCGGTGGACCGAATAGCCCCATCGCCAACGGCTCGCTCATCTCCGGACTCGAAACGGAGATCAGTTATGCCTTTGCGTGCCTCCGCAAAATGCAGACGGAAAACATTGCCTCGATGGACGTCAAGGAAGAGGCCGTTGATGACTTTTTGGAGCACCGAGATTCGTTGATGGACGCCATGGTGTGGAGCGGCGGATGCAGGAGCTGGTATATCCCCTCTTTTGAGATCTCGAGCGGCGAGCGAGAAGCTTACAGTTCTCAAGGTACAAGAACGGCACGGTCAACGGGCCTGTAATTGGTCCCTGGATAGGGTCGACGTGGCACTTCAACGAAGCCCTCCAGACGCCGCGCTTCGAGGACTACAACATGGTTTACTCGGCACGGAACCGCTTTGCCTACCTGGGCAACGGAAGAACCATCGGCGAACTCACCGGAGCCGATATGACAGCATATATGAGGGAACCGGGGGCGTGAGCACCAGTGCGGGTGTTCTCTGTGTCTGAGAATGTGGGAATTCGACGTCGATAGCGATCTAGATCTCTCAGAATTCGAAGGTCAAAATGCTGCTTCATGCGATGATCCAGTTTCTCACTGCTGATGACTACTAGTTGCACGCTATGCCAAGTACATTCACTGACTGAGGGGACTCTTGGAGGCTCGCATTGATGATGTCTACGTATATCAAGTTTGAAGGAATTGTGACATTCATATACACATTTACGGAGACTGGATTCTCTGGAATGTTCAAGATATCTCTCCTGACCTGTCTCTTTAGACTCTTAAACTACGTCAATTCGACAGTTGAAGCTGCCGACGGTGGTTCCAGTCCAAGAAATATGGGCCGTGGGAGCTGGGCTGGGGCTCTACAAAGTTTGAACTTTGTATAGATAAGGCGATGGAGAGCGCCGGTACAGTAACAAAATGTATAAGCTGTCAGGGCAGTTACGCATCTGTTAACTATATAGAGGCGTTTGGAAAGCCTGGAGTCAGAAGTCTATCCAGCCACATCGGATAGCCAGATTCTGAAGCGGCAGACATCTCACACTGCTGAGAGGTCTACAGCCGCTTGCTCCTCTTCATCACCACTCTCGAATCCCGAGCAACGATGGTGAAGACACAGCAAATGAGCCCTCAGACAACCGAGTGGTGGCGCGGATAAGCCTACTCCTCGGATTTTGGTATATCCTCCCTCACCTGCACTGGAACGGAGTGGTGCACCAAGCCCGACTGCGGGGCGCCCAGTCGTTTTCTGATCGCTCCTCCTCTAAGCATCAGCAAAATAACAGGCAGGAAGAGCACCACGGCCAAAATGGCGTATATCCCGTACGCCCAACCATATCCTACCTTCCCAGTATAGTGCGGCAGGTAGAAGGACACGTAGAAGGAGAAAATCTGGCGGCAGAAGTTCAGCACCAGGGCAACTTCGCCAGCCACATGTTCGTAGCAGTCCACGGCGTAGGTGAATCTATTCGGGGTCGTTAGTGAAGCGATACGAGGGGGGCGATCCATACTACGGACGTGACAGTGGACACGATCTGTATCGCAAAGGAGTAGATTGCGATGGCAATACAAGGCGCGATCCAATGCACCTCGTACTGAAGAGTGAGGCCGAACATCATCAACCCCAACTTGCTTCTCGTTAGCTCCAGCACCCACCGACACAGCAAACAGTTGTATCTCTTACAGGCACAAGTATCGCCCCTAGCCAGTAGGCTTGAAGGCGTTGTTCCGGATGTCGCACGCCGCCATTCTTGCGCGCCAGAAACCGGACAACCCAGTCGGAAAACGGGCCTGCGAGCGGCTCCCCCAGAATTGTGCCGATGGCTAGTGGTATTGCCACCAGCCCTTGAGCAACAGCATGGAAACCATAGAGCTCCGCAAAGGCCTAGTAGATAGCCGTGTCAATAAGTACTGATGATAAGCGCAGCGAGCACACTTACTATGGGAATCATCCCCAGTGCTCCAAATACGCAAAAGCCATAGATGTTTCCGTAGTAGAACCCGGGAAGGATAACGGAAGGGTAGAAGAACATCGTACAGGGGTGCCAGAAACTTCGGAAGGTCAGTCGCCTCATCGGGAACCGCTTCCATTTTAGCCGTTGGACATAGGTCTTCTTTGGTGGTACGTCAACCAGCTGGTGATGGCGGTCGTAAAGCGTCTCCGGAAGCGCGACCAGGCACAAGACCAACAAGCCACACCAGATGAAGAAGGTGAGCCACTGCATCCATCTCCAGCCAGCGTAGGTCGTCACGAAACCGTCCAGGAGCGTGGAGATATAGGGCGATAGGCCGATGGAGATTGTCCATATACCCATTTTCTGACCGCGTTCTTTCAGGCAGAAAATCAGCGGCCAAATAAAAAACTTTTCAATCTCACCATAACGTACCGTGGACGAAGAAGAGATCTTTGACGGTTAAAGCTCCAACACTCATAGATGCAGAGCACCCTAAGCCGTTGACCACCTATATTATTAGGGCCGTACAGTGTAAATTAGGATAAGGGAGGTCTCACCCGAGCACCACAGTACGCACCAAGGCTGTTTGCGAGAGAACACCCTAGGCAGCCTAGAGTGGCGACGACGGCGCCGGCAAGGTAAATCGGGCTCCGTCCGTAATGGTTTGAGAGAGGCACCCAGAGTACTCCTCCGACGCCGAGCATAATAGCCTGCGCGCCGACAGAGTCCAGCATATCAGGAATCTCGACGTGATAAGCTGGGGCTTGCTCCAGAAACCCGGCGGCTGGGGAAGCCGAGTCAAAGGGCCCTTGGAACGCCATGGCTGCAACCATGAACAGGACCAGGTGCTTCTCCGTCCAGGACCAGTTCAAGGGATCATTGGGGTCGGTGGAGGGCCTAGGGAGGACGTCGCGGTAGTCCGTGCCGTCCATTTCAATACTCTCCTCGCTCGGGATTCGCTTCAAATGGGTGATGGATTTCACTGCTGCCCCGAGAGGCGCCTCGAAATGTGCCGCGCTGGGCTCGGGATTGGCTGCTATATTGTCAGACATGGTGGTATGAGAACGATGTAACATGATAAACGACGACCGGAACAGCCAGGTCTCAACATATATACGCGAGTCCACAAGCCTTTTCCCTTCCCAGCCAATGCATTATGGGATGGGATCTGGCATCGCTTCCGATAAAGTTGGAAATCCTGGGGATTGTATTCGTCTCTGGGGAACGCTGCCGGTAACTCACCCTACTGGAGCATATATGCTCCGGTACCTCGTACGCCCCCGCAGGCTCCATCTCTCTCCGCGCCTCGCGAAAGGGGCCACAAGAGGCACAGGTCCGTCGGGCGCCCATTCACAGCTGAGAAAACAATGACAAGTATACAGGCATCAGACGGACTTTCTGATCAGAATGACCAAGGTGGTACTGGTGGAGTAGGGCGTAAGAGGTATGTAGAAGGTAAGGTTCGTAGGTGTGAATTGTAGTTGCCCGGTCTAACCACGCCTCTTGTGGTGAGCCGAGGCCGTCAATGTGCCGATGCTCTCTCCCGCCTGCACGAATCATCCCGGCAGCACAGCCGCAGTTGACCACCAGTTGACTACTGGTTGACCACCACAGTCCATTGGTCCCTGTCTGTACAATCTCGGGCTCGCTGTTCTGGAATCAGGAGGTCACTGGCGTGCGGCTCTTTGATGTGTGAGAAGGCTGACTTGGCGCATCTTAGGTCGCCGTCCCCGCAGAAAGACGGCCTGTGCATGCCCACGCCCGACACCAACGTCCAACTACCTACTGCACCCCGCGCATCCTTCAATCGCACCATCGTCCCCGCTGACGGGTTGCCAATTGTTTGGCCAAACCCCTTTCCCAACCTTGTACGAGATACAAGACGCTCCTATCCGGCTGTCGGCAGCGTCACAGCCTACTAGTCAACATCCCCAAGCCGCCGGCAAGGGCCCTTATTGTCCCCCCCTTTTCGTCAACGCGCAGGGGCACTAGAAAAGCAGCCAGGATTTCTCCCTCCATTTGGATTGTACGCCACCCCACTGTCAAACATGAGTGCCAAAGAAGATGTCGCTATCAACTGCAATTCGAAACCTCCACCGGCGGGAAAGGAACAACGGAAAAGAAGGAGGATTCTGCTGGCCTGTAGGACCTGTCGGGCCCGAAAACAGCGTTGTGACGGATCCCAACCCACATGTCAGCATTGTGCCGTCCAAAATCTGGATTGTCACTATGAATCGGCCAGCCAAAAGGCCGACGTGACCCGGCTGTGAGTGTCTCCTTGGACTCATACAGAGCCTCGGGCGGCTGATGTCCTATCCAGCTACGTGCACAATCTCCTGAAGCGCATCGACCATCTCGAGGAGGAGCTCTCTGGTGCGAGACCGGCAAAACGTCGCGGCGACGTCGCAAGTCTCGGTGAGCAATGGAGAGTCTTCTACTGTTCTGTCTTGACATATCTTTAATGAGGCCTAGCTTCTGAAGAGCCCGACTCCACCTTGCCGACATCAAAACTACATGGCACCAGACCAGCACAACACGGACAATCACCACAACACACCCCACTCCTTGGGTTGAGGCAGCCTCATGACGCCGTGGCTAGAGGCACTCTCACTGAGTTAGAACTCGAGCAGGCTGTGCCCAAGCCAGCGTATCCTACCCCAGAAACTGTAGAACCACCGACACAGGGCTACTTGGGTGCTGCAAATACCTTGACTTTCTGTCAGGCCGTTCTCGAACAGGATGACCTCCTTGAGCAACATCAGGACTTGAGCTCCTCGCCCACCCCGAGACGACCAGCAACCGCTTCGCAGAGCACGCCGAGAATTCACTCCATCTCTTTAGGCGACCTTGCCGATTCCTGGCCGCAACGGTATCTGGGAGATCACCTGGTCGACTGTTATATGGAGCTTTGTTACCCACAATACCCTTTTATGCACGGTCCGACCTTCAAACGACGCTATGAATCCATGTGGACCTCGAGAGAACGCCAGACTGACGCGTGGATCGCAACGGTGAACACCATCTTTGCACTGGGTTGTCAGTTCTCGCCCAACATATCGCCAGAATTGGGAGAGGAGTTCTTCAAAAAGGCGACATCCCTCATCAAATTCGAAATCCTCGGCGTGTGTACTTTGGAGTCGCTGCAAGCTTTGGTCCTGATGAGTCTCTACCTGCAGAGTTCTGCCAACCTGAACCATTCTTGGAACGTCATCGGACTGGCTATTCGGCAAGCTCAGAGCCTCGGACTGCATCTGCAGAAAACATATCAACGCTCGCGGACGCCGCTGGTACGAGAGGTCCAAAAGCGCATATGGACGGCGTGTTACGTGCTGGACAGTGTCTCAGCTATGATGCTCGGCCGGCCACCCATGATTTCACCCGACGCATTTGCCCTGATAGAAGGCATCACATTACTGGATGACGACCAGATTCCCAATGGAAGAGCATTGCCGCCTTCGTCACCAACGTCTCCGACCGCCGGTGCGGAGGCCGCTGAACGACTCGATAACACTGGTGAGGAACCGCGCGTGATGGCCTTCTTCGCCGCGACGATTCGTCAGTGTGGCTTCATGCGCGAAGTGGTCAAGGTGTATGACTTGCGGACGGAGCATTCCCGGGTCCTGGATATCGACGACCGATTTTGCCAATGGATGGCCAACTTCCCGCCCCATCTGCATCCTTCAAACACGTCTGACACGGACAAAAGATTTTGGCAACAAAGGGTTGTTTTGACGTCTCGGTAAGCACCCGTGGTTGTCTGCGCCGGTTGACTCCATGACATCTTTCTAATAATGTAGTTTCCTCAATTTGCGTATCCTCTTCCATCGTCCCTGCGTTATGCAGATCTCTTCTGTTGGGAAGACAGTCACACCATTCGAGCCCATTCGCGGAGCAGCCAACGAAAAGCTAGCCACCTTGCGAGCCGAAGTATGCATCAATGCAGCAATCGAACAAATCCAGCACATTTCACGCTCTTACAAGCGAGGTCTTCAGAGCGCCTGGTGGTATGATCTGAACTGTACGTTCTGCCACCTTCCACCCTTTTGGTTGCATGACGCCTTATTGAGAACAACTCTTCCCGCTTCAACACTGACCGGAATCCATAGATATATTTTCTGCCACTTCTATCCTCCTTGCTACACAGATCGCGCAACAGCACTGCAACAGGTCTTACTCTCATTATGTCAAGCTGGCTGAGGACGTTATCCGTGGGATGCAACAGACCGGCAAAAGCATGGCAGGACGATACCTTGAAATGTTGGAGCAGTTGCAGCGGCATCTGGCATATAAGACTTCGCCAGCTGTGCTCCAGAGGGGTGCACATTCTCAGCCCTCTCGCACCGCCTCCCCTAGCCGTCGCAATCCGCTGCATGGAAGCCGCGGCGTGACCGAGAACGGCAACTCAGGCTGTGATCCCATCCGGGACCTGGTGGACGAGGACCTCGAAGGCAATCTGGCCATCTGTGATCCGGATCTCCCTGAGCCGATACGCGATGAGGATGTGAGTTCGCTGTTCGCATCTTCATCCTTTCCGTGGAACATTGACCTGGATTCGTTTTTGTTGGACGACAACACTCTGGATAACATTCTGGATCCGACCGATTTCGATGCCATTGTCTGAGAACATATCATTTGGCGCGATCAGCTCCGGATTCTTGGTCCTTGTAGCTGTAGAGATGCTTGACCTGGAGCCTTTTCTCCTGCTGGTTTTGTGGACGGTAGCCAAGGCGTTGGACAACGGCCGGTGTGCCCACCTGCAAATCGGATTCAGCACTGATGCCATGGCTGTAAGTTCAAGTTGCGGGATCGATGCCGACCACCAGGCTAAGCCGCCGATTTTGGTAGGCTTGGAAAGGCTTGATCCGGTAAACGACCTCTCTTGCCCCATGTTCGTTTGGAAACTGCAATCATCCTCATACCATTCCGCTTCTCTTCCAACTCGCACGTCGTGCTCCAGCACTCTAATCAGACGGTTCGGCTATGTTCTCGGAGGATGCGAACAGCTCAATGAGTACGCAAGCTGTCGCGGCGCGCCTCCAGGCGACACATCAGTCCAAAGTGTACAAACGGACTCAGCGTCTAGATGGAAACCAACTGAGCCTCCTCTTTTATACCCTTAACCGGCCGAATCTAGGTGACAATGTCAGGGACGGGACCGTACTGCCGCCGGGAGCTCATTTGATTTACTTCACCCCAAGAACCACGACGAACAGGCTGAACGAGGACGGCACCGACTCAACTTTCACCGCCGAACCGCCCTTTCAACGGCGGATATGGGGCGGTGGTGAGATGGTGTGGGAGCGTGCCAACCCGCTCCTGGTCGGCGACACAGTCCTTGAGACGACGCAGCTTGAGACCTGCGAGGTAAAACGGGATGCCCAAGGCGACGAAATGCTGCTCCTGACGGTTGCACGACGTCTGGAGAATGGAAAGGGGTTGGCTGTGACTGACAGACGACACGTGCTGCTCAGGCAAAACGCGACCAGCAATTCAAGGACGACGGAAAAGGGGCCATCCCAATCGCAAAGGCATCCAGGTCCATCAACTGCCCAGGCCCTCCAACAGGGAGCAAATCCCAAAGCACTCAGCCGTACAGTCAGACTTGACGAGGTCACTGTATTTCGGTACTCTGCACTCACCTTTAATTCCCACAGGATCCACTATTCGCTTCCCTGGGCCCGGGACGTCGAAAAGTACCCGCAGCTCCTTGCTCAGGGGCCGTTGGGCATCACTCTTCTCCTCGACCTCTGGGGAGACAGCCGTGCGACGCAACAGAGCGACTCCGATCTTGAAGACAGGCCCCAGATGCCGACCTCGGCCAGGAAGCTAACTTATCAATCAATGAAGCCGCTGTTTGTCAACGAAACGTGCAATCTCAACATGCTCGAGCGCGGCGCCGGGATGGCGTTGTTGTGGATCCAGAAGGAGGACGGCACGGTTGGAATGAAGGCCGAGATTGAATGCTTCCAACTGCAGGAGAAGTTGTAATATGTCATAGTATTGCCATCGAGAGGTGTGTGCGAGCTGTATCCAGATCAATGTCACGGAATGAGTTTAACACAAGCGGAAGAATAATACATAATGGGCTTTGCGGATCTCCGAGGACCAATAGCAAATCGGGACTTCGCTTGGGAAACATAGGTCTTGGCTTTCGTGCCCAGCAATACCCCAGACGAGACCGCAGTCTACTTTTTTGGTGTGAACCGCTGCATTGTAGCGAGAACCGAAGTGCACATGCACAGATGACCCTAAACGCCTCCCAAGTTCCAACGCAGAAGCGTCGGCTCGTCACAGACGGGATGGTTTCCAGACCGGTTCCCTCTTCTCCTGAAACGCTGCGAGTCCTGTGCAGCGCGCGTGTCAGATTCTACTACCTCCCTCGGGCGGACTAGATAATCGCATGGCTTACCTTCCCGCATATTCTCCCCACTGAACAGTCTGTATCTGTACCTCTCCGCCGTCGCCGCCGTGGCGCGGTTGAGACTCCCCACCTCCCACCCCTCCCTGATGCCCGCGCGGGTCACGACGACGCTGTCGGGGCTCAGCGCCGTGATCTCGCGCGCGACCGCGACCGCGCGCTCGACGAGCTGCTCCGCCGGCACCACGTCCTTGACCAGGCCCCACTGCTGGGCTTCCCGCACGGGCAGGATGCGCGCGGTCAAGCCCAGGTCCATGGCGCGCTGGAGCCCGAAGTTGCGGATGACGCGGGGAAGAGCGCCCGCAAGGGCGGCCAGGCCGCGTTTGCCCTCCAACAGACCGAAACTCGCGGATTCGGAGGCGATGACGATGTCGCTGTCCACAAAGGCTTTAGAGCTGGAGCTGGAAGGAAACGGTGCCACGGGGTAAAGAGGTAAAGAGGTAAAGGAGTGAGAACTTACGCGTTGAGGATGATTTCGAACCCGCCGCCTGATGTCGCGTTAATCAGCCTCTGGAAAAAAAAATATATGCATGTATAGGTGTAAGGGTGTTTAGAAAGAGAAGAGATGTCCAACCGAAAGCGTAGCCGTTACACGCCGCCAGGATGGGCTTCACGCCGACTCGGTTGGTCATGCCCGCGAACCCGCTGGGGGGGAACTGCTGCCTCGCTGCCTGCGCCGGCTCCATGTCCTGCGTCTTCAGTCGTTCTGTTCCCAGTCAGTCAGAAGCTGTAGGCCAGGGCAAAGCGGCGCCACCCGGGTGCCCTGCCTTTGAGATCCATGCCCGTGCAAAACGCCTTCGTCCCCGCGCCTGTGATGATGGCCACCCGTCTGCAATGCAACGAGACGCAAGTCAGAAGTCAGAAGTCAGAACTCATTCCAATGGTGGTGGTAGTCGTTATAGTGGTGCATGGTACGTGCAATGTGTCTTATTAACTAGAAGAGAGAGCAAAACTGGAACTGACAAGCTGTCCTCGGCATCGTACCACTGCCAGAGCGCCTCCAGCTCGTACGACGCCTCCAAGGGTAACGAGTTGTGGCTCTTCGCCCGGTCGATGGTGACCAGCAGCGTGTACGGCGCGGGATATGATAGTGTCACGCTGTGCTGCGTCGGCGGCGGGCGCGAGAATGGAGGTGTAGTGCACATTTCTGGGCCTGGCCACCAAAGCAAGTCCCCGCTTCTTCCGAATTACTCAAGGTGCGTGTGTGTGTATATTTGTGTACATGAAACGATTATTGCCGTGATTTGAACAGAGGAAAATAAGCTGTTTAAACCAGTCTATACGAGGTGGCTTCATTGCTTCATTACTTTAACAAGTTAGCCCCGATAGAGTGGAGCTGGTCGCTTGCGTTGCCGCCTCGTCGTAGCGAAGATGTCCAAGGTTCACAGGCCACTCGGCAACGATGCCGAGCCGATCACAGGAAATTGCTGGGAAAACGTGGTTTCCAGCAGACCATGGTTTAGAGACAGACACCTAGCGAGAAACAAGGTATGAACCGGCAGATCCAATCTCTCAGCTAGGAAGGGGTTTACCAGGTCTGGGTGCTTTTGCCTATCTATCTCTCCAGGGAGCCACTTATCCACTCACAGCTTGTTCTCCTTGGTGAAAGAGAACAAATTCTTCCCGCGCACCCCTGGATGCTGCCTCACGGTCCCCGACTTGCCGATCTGCTCCTCGCTTGCGCTAGCGAGCTGTTGCAGGGTCGCCACGTCGGCGTGGTTTGCGAGGAATCGCCTCCCGCCGCTCTTCGTGCGCCCGACAATATGTCCCACCACTGGAGCGCCATCCCGGCCAAATTCTACCGTATAAGTCTGTTGTTTTTCCGGTCCAGCAATTAGATGAGGATTTAGTCTCGATGTGATGATACGACTTACTTCGATGGTCGCCTCGCCTTGTGGTTCCGGATCGAGTGGAACCGCTGTGTCTTCTGGCCAGACCTCCGGAAGCGGGTTTTGCTTGGGATACTGTCTGCTCCCTGGCTCGTTCGACAGACACAGCGCGTATTGGTACGTCATGAACCCTCCATTCGCCAGGATCAGCCCTTTGCGAGAGGGACCGTGTAGGTGGCGAAGTTGTCGCACCATTTCCGTAAGAGCCTATCATTAGTCAACGGGGAGGCTCGCTCCTGAAGCTCCATTCCGCCGATTCTGCCTACGTGCATCGAGTAATTGTTGCCCGCGCCGCCGAAGAAGGTCAAGCCGCCCAGCAGCGTGATCGGCTTCGCAGGCTCGAGTATCGACAAGCCGAGATGGTGGCACGCCAGCTTTGGGACAATGGGGAAGCAACTGCGTTTCACACGTCAGTTATCGTGTGAAACTTGCACTTTTGACCAGGCGTACGTACGAGTAGATGTCATAGAGATCGATTTCGTCCTTCGTCAATCCGGACACTCTTAGAACCGCGTCGAGCGTGTGTGAGATGGATGGGCTGGAGTGGAAATTTGGCCGCTCCCAAACTATGTAGGTGTCAAGGTCAGTCCGAACCAGAACAAGATGGGGATTTTCGCGTGTTTACAATCAAGGCTGTCTCTCGTGCCGGCGCCCCCTAAAGGGAAGATCCACTTCGAACTGGGTATACCAAGCTCTTGAGCGTAATCGGTCGAGGTGAGGAGGCAAGCTGCCGCGCAGTTGACGGTATTATAGGCGTTCATGAGAAGCGGATCTAGACGGAGGCACGGGTTAGAAGAGGAGCGCAACGCGATAACTTCAGGGCGAGTTTACAGGGCATGCATATCATCCTGTTCTTCCTGGTCACCTTGCCAATGGTGTCCGCGCTTTCTGCCGGTCGGCCGTAGGTCCACGCGCGTGGATTCTGCGCCGCAACTCTGGCAAAACTTGCGTACAGCTGCGCCGACTCGCGGTTGTTGTCAGGCAGGGATTGGCCGCGGTGGGCTCTGAAGCCGTTTTCATACAGCGGGTAGATTTGAATCGGTCTGCCGATGGAATGGATAGATCCCAGACCTGTGATGGAGCTGAGCAGTCTGTCACCATTACTAGTCCTCGCACTGCGTCCATACCTTCTTCGAGATCCCTTGTGGTTGGTGAAAATACGGCGCCTACTTCCTGCTCGACAGGGGTCCAAGGCGGCGGTGACCCCTTGTTGACTTTGGTCCAAGCCTGCACTACCAGCCCGTCAACGACGCAGGCGAATGCTGGTTGGGAGAAGCCTTACACGAAGCCAAGGCTTCTCCGCCGGCAAGCACGGCCACTTTGCTTTCCCCCCGCGATATCGCACGGGCGGCTTCATCGAACAACATGGCTGGATTGTGGCCCCCTTGCGTGCTGGCTCTCTTGTGTAATGGGGTGACGCCCAGCCGCTGGGCCAGGAGCTCAGGTAGGTCTGCGTAGGGCCACGTCCAACAGCGAACGGTGTACACGCTGGTAATGCTGGACTGAAGCTTTTGCGCGGATGACGGAGAGAGCCCGGTGTCGCTCATGGCGTTTTGGACGGCTTCGACCATCAATTGCAACGGCTCACGTGCGTCTCGAGGTGCCAGAGATCGATTGACCACGTCAGCCACGCCGACGACAACGGGGGTTGCCATTTCAGAAAAACGATTGAAAGGTGGGCAGGCAGGCAGCTGAGGACAGTCGCCAGACGGGGGTGAAATACTGAGGTGATGGGAAGGGTCGGTCCTCTACAGGCCGGCGGCTCGCTCACAGGGATATCCAGTTCTAATACAGATGAAGAGCCACCGAAACCGACTGTGTAAGATCCAGTAACCAGAAGCTACAGCACGACGCAAAGCCGACACTCCCGCGCTGGCGTGCTTCCCGGGAGGGCGAATTGCTGGCTCCGGCTTCCCCAATTTTGTAAGCTCGTTTCTGGGAACACTCCCGAATCACGGGATATGACCAGCGACCTTGTCAGAGATGACAATATAAGCCACTTTCATTCGATCTTGCTCTTGCGCGCTCAAACCCAACAAAGTCACAATCACGTCCCAATGGCTTCATCACGGGCTGAAGCCAAACCGAAGGCGGCCATCTACCGCTCAAATTGCCCACCGACCAATTATCCCACAAACGTCTCTCTGTCACAATTTCTCGTCGAAACCAATCCAGAACAAATTCAAGACAACAAGGTCACTTTGGAGGACAACTGGACCCGGAAACGCGTTACTTACGGCGGTATACGTGAGGCCGCCTCGAAAGGCGCATGGGGCCTCCGTCGAACACTCGACTTCCAACGTGGCGACGTCGCGGCGATCCTCTGCCCCAATGCCGTAAGCAGCTCCCGCGCAAACCAGATGCTCGAGATGGTCACTCAGAGGACAACAGGTTGACTGGATGGTGTTTGCGCACTCTGCTTTGTGGGCAGGAGGGATTGTTGGGTAAGGCGTGCACTGTCTCCGAATGGTGTCAGGTTCCGCTGACATGGGCAGTGCAATCAACCATCTGGCCTCCGCTCCCGAGCTCGTGCATTACCTCCAAGTGTGTTCACCAAAAGTGGTGGCTGTCTACAGGGACCTGCTCCCAGTGCTTCTGGAGGCGCTGTCCTTGATGAAGCTTCGGCGAGACAAGTATCCAAAGATCGTATCATTGTGTGGTCGTGCAGCTGATCTGCCACTGGTGAGGATTTTCATGGCCACGGATGCATCATCTGGAACTCCCTTTCTGCTAACGCATTCAAGTTTCCGGATGATATCAGCGGAAGTGCAGCACACGAGGCAGTTCCACCCCTAGATTTGACCAACGAAGACAGCCGCAAAGTGCCTGCGGTGATACTTTTCAGCTCGGGTGAGGATCATGCCGCCAGGCCACTGTTACAAGGCTGACGGGGATGGTAGGAACCACGGGCAATCCAAAAGGCGCTTATCTTTCCCACCATGGCATCATTTCCCACCTTTTGGCGACGCGCATCGCAGACCCGGACGTATACAACGGAGAGCAGAGAGAGGTCTTCTTTCCACCGCGTGAATATCCCGCCCGATGCCCGCAGAGCCGCCCGCCCTAACTATTCCAGTTTGTCATTTGTATGGCTTCAACGTCGTTGCCATAGCGTCTGTCTGGTTGGGCAACTACACGCTCCTGATGAAAACCTACACCTTTGAGGAATTCATCCAACGATCCTCGGAGATCCGTTGCACTTGGATGCACGTGCTTCCACCGGTGGCGGTGCGCCTGGCTAAAAGCCCCTTGACCCAAAGCCTGGATTTGCAAAGTCTCAGAACGATCATTTGCTCGGGTTCGCCGCTCGGCGAAGACCTCGTGGCAGTCTTACGGAGACGGGCTCCGGAAGTGGTCATCACTCAGAAATACGGGTTCGTCTTCTCCCAGTAATCTCCCTTGCCTGTAGCGTAGCTTAGTTGGACTGTAGCTCGACGGAAGCCACGGTGACCTTTTTGAAGAGGAGCGTCGCAAACAGCCGCGGGGCGAGCATCGGAAAGCTGTACCCAGACATGTGAGTCTTCGCCCAAGCAGTGGGTCGAGTGCTGAGAATAGACAGGGAAGCACGTGTCGTTGACGATGACATGCTTGATGTTGAGCCTGGCAAGGTTGGGGAACTGTTAGTGAGGGGTTCATCTGTCTTTATGTGAGTTCAGTCCCTGCATGCATCCTCAGTCATGAGTCCAGACACGGCCTCACACGGTCATCTCAGGGGCTACAAAGACAATCCGACAGCTACACGCGAAGCTTTCCACGACGGCTGGGTAAGAACAGGAGACCTCGTCCGCTGCGATGAAGAAGGGTACTTTTACATCACTGGCAGAAAGAAGGAACTCATCAAGTACAAAGGGTACATGGCCTCTGATGGGATCTCGAGAGCGTCTCGACTAATTGTGAACAGGTTTCAAGTGGCACCCACCGAGCTCGAGGAGATTTTGACTTCCCATCCCTTGGTTCAGGAGGCCGGGGTAACAGCACATTATGACGAGGCACAGGCGACCGAAGTTCCCAATGCGTATATCACGTTGGCGGATGGGACTCGAGGACGTCAGGACGCCAAGGTGCTGGCGGCAGAGATCCGCGCCTACGTGGACGGCAAGGTCGCTCCCTATAAGCGGCTTCGCGGGGGCGTTGTCTTCCTCGACACTATGCCGAAAACCAACAGTGGGAAGATCCTACGGCGACTGTTGTCCAAGGCGAAACGCATCTCGACTTCAGAATCAAAGCTCTGATTTGGGCTCGACTTTGACGCCTATGATGCCTTGCAACAGATACTTAGGTACACATCGCCATGCAAACCGCGCCTCCTACGTAAGGATGTTGATCTTGCCCGATGATGCAATCTTTGTTCATGCTTGTCTGTTCCTCCACACTGGCAGCTGGTAGCTACTCTTGCACCCTCATTCCAAGATTCATTTAGCCCATGCGGCCTTGCGCGACGCCTGCCGCATCTCGGCGAGTTCGATGAGATCGTATAGCTTGTCGGTGCACAGAGTCATAGTGACTGATTTGAGAGGTGTAACATCAGTGACTTCTCCAATACCGCAAAAGTCTTCCAGTGATAACACGAGGCCGGCTTTGCCCTCTGGATTCTTCAGGCCATCCTTGCTGCGGATCTCCTAATGGACAGTTAGGAATAGCCCATAAAACATATGATGGAAAGGAATTGTCTTACCACAGTATCATCACACTCGGCACCTTGAAACCCTCCGTCGTCGTCAAATTTCGCCCGCCAGACCGAGAAGCGTGCGCCCTTCTTCCCCGAATAATCAACATCGATGCAGAGGACAGTTCGTATGCCACCCCGAGAACCTTGGATATACCCTTTGGCCTTGGATTGCAGCTGGTTGGTTGTCTGCGAGTTTGCGACTTCACCAACCATAGTTGGGTATTTCGCGTTGAATGCGCTTCCAAACGAGAGGTCAGGAGTATGTTCGGTCATGTGAGTACTAATCATGGCAGGATAGTGGAGGTCAGAGGTGTAGAGAGACATCACGGATGAGGCAAATGCGGCAATGGCGGGGTTGGTGTGTTTTCGTGACTCTTTGATGAAGTCTCTCAGTAGATCTTCCGCCTCGCCGGCAATGATATCGTGTCTGAGGTCGGGCATTCTGATGGTGAGGATTTCGTCGTCGCCGTCGTAGTCGAATCTGAATCTGTCGCGCACAAGTCAGTCAAAGCTTCAAGATCACGTTGTTCATGCCCTGAGAGATGCAATCCCGTACCTTCTTCCAGCTAATTTACCGTCCTCCACCATCCCCAATTCCTTGAATTGTTCGTATTGTTCGAAAGGGAGGGGGAAGTTAATCCTGTCGACTGAGTTGTCGGATTTGCCCTCTTCGAGCCAGTCGAGTAAAGCTTGCAATTCGGGCTTGATTTGGCGACCAGCTGCGGATGGAGATTCACAGCCTGAGTCAGAAGTTGAGGTGTCCTGGAGGCGAGCATGATCCGCAGCGCCAGGGTTGATCTCATTATTGTGAAGCGTAGAGACGCTACCGCGTTCCTGGTTGGTAGCCATCGCGGGTCACTTGTTTTGTCTGTTACCAAAGCTGTGCGACTGATGGGTGAAATGATGTTTTCATAGACAATCACTGCCGCGGTGTTATGGATTCTAAAATGTACGGCGGAGTAAGCACTGCAATGAGCAGTCTTCCATACGGCGGCGCATAGAACTATTCTACGAAATATTACGAAAGATGTGCGTCTCTTGTGTAGGGTGTAGCATGTGTCGATATGTCTTTTGACAAGGAACGGCACCGGCACCGACACACCACAGCCGGGTCGCTGTGGCGACTTTAGAGACAAAGCGCCTCGCCCTTTGACATAGACTGCCGGAAGACATTTGGGGAATACACTGTTGTGAGGAGATGTGCCTATGCCGCCGCATGCGCCACCGAAGACGTCTGGACGGCTGCATGTTGCACCGTAGATAATGGTTTCTACCTATATAACTTGTTACTTTCGCGTTGAATATTTGTTCACCGTTGTCTGTCCAAAACAACCACAATAACGACAACGTCGCGATACGTTGTCGACCGCACTTCCACAGAAGGGCCGCACTACCGTCTCTACGCTCCGCCAAAACCACCCCGAGAGATAAATTTTAAACAACTCCAATATGAGTAGCAATTCCACCTCACCTCGCTCAGACGGTGACTTGTCTACTTCTGACAAACCATGTCCTCCTGATTCCTCCCCGATCTCACTCACCAGCCTCTACCATCCTGACCTTCAACGTATCATCGACTGGGCGACATCGCCATCTTTCGCAACACCGGACTGGGCCGAGTTTCGCCTGGCACCCCTGCAATTCGAAGAGCTGCAAGGGCTGAAAGGCAATCGGTCTTCTATTTGGCGCGACCTGAAGTAAGCGTATTCGCGTGCCACAAATATTCTGTGTACACACTTTGACTGATCACCTGGCCCGTAGGTACGACTACTCTCGTGCGGATCAAGTACTCTCCCTCCGAACACCGACCAGCAGAGGACACGAAAGCCTTGTCTTGCAACTCGCGGTTAAAATTCGAGACCTTCTAGCACAAAACTCCAGTGATGCCGCTCCTTACAAACCTGGGGTTAATCGGAGATTGGCTGATGACTCCCGGCCATTTTCAGACCACAGTCAGGATTTTTCTCGGCTGGGTCAGGAGGTTTTCCAGACCGGTCAGAGCGTCGTTGACTGTGGTGAGGATCTTGTTAAGACTGGCGAGGTCATTGTTAGTTTGGGGGAGATTAGTCCTTGCTTTCGTCAGACCATCGCAGATTACGGAGAGTGGATCGCCGACTACGGCCGACGAGTTGCTGCTGACGGTCAAAGAATGCAGGGCGACGGTCGAAGAGTCGAAGAAGGTGCTTACAGAATGGCAGATGCTTCGCGCAGAATGGGTGAAACCGCACAGAGCATAGATGAGTATTGCCAGAGGGTTGTCGACTTGGAATCAGCGACAATCTCCTATCGGACGGAGAACGGAGAGAGAGTCCAGCGCGACCCCGACGCCCAATTCGGTCTCGAAGGTCGATCCAAGCCAACCCTGATCATCGAAGTAGCTTGGTCACAATCCAAGAAGGACCTCGAGAGGATGGCACTGGAATACATCAAATGCACTCAAGGTGAAATCCGGGCTGTCGTTGGCCTTGATGTCGATTATGCACAATGGAAGAGCGCAAGACTCACGGTCTGGAGAGCGGTGGTGAACGATAAAGAGCTCGTTGGTGTTTCTTCTGAGTCTATGGTACGGTGCCAAATATCTCGCGCTTCGGAATGACTGCCATACTGACCCTCTCTCTCTGTTCTAGGTCATCCGGAGTGAGCGAGGGGTGGAGAACCCGGACCCAAAGGCTGGACTACGGCTCTCGCTGGCAGATTTCGCAACCCACGAAGACCTGAAACAATGTCCTTTTCTCGAGATGATTCCGATCTTCATTGGCGCCAAAGAGATCTGTGCGATGATAGACCAAGCAGAGCAAGATAACCGAGCCTGGAAAGCCACCGCGGAGTAATCTCGCCAGCAAGCAGCACATCCCCCATCGTTCCCGCCTCGCAAGGCACGACAAAAAAGGAAGGAAAAAAAAAAAAGATCTTGAATCTCAACTCTCAAAAACAACAACAACAACCAAAGTGACCATAAAAAAGGAAGGGGGAAAAGCGCCGGCGTTTCCGGTGCGAGATGCGCATGGCACAGACAGCCCATATCGGGGTTGCTCAATGCCACCCATTAGTTTAGATTCCACAAACATTAGCTAGTCAATTACAAAAAAAATGTCAGAGTCGAGTATGCAGGAAGTTCAGGCGCGTTCTGCGGCTATGAGTGCCCTGGCATCGACATGGACCACCACTGGGATGGGAGGGCCTGTATTGTTGTAAAACTATGGAAGAATGCCAGAGCCGCGGCGTGCCGACCGGGCGCAAGCTACCTCAGCGCTGATTCACAGCCTCCTGCAGTAGCCTTACTTGCTCTTTCAGCATCTCCACCTGTTTCTGCATGCCATCTAGTTCTCCTTTCTGTCTCTTGCGGGTTGAAGGCTTGGGGGTATTGGAGTCTGTAGCAGTCTCTGCAGATGATTCCATCGTAGAGTTCAACCCCTTTGACTGAATGTCGTCAAGACTCATTCCAGATGCAATTGATCGCACTTGAGGATAGTCCATCTGTGCCAGGGCATCTCGGATCCTCTTCAGATGCTCAGGATAGAAATCGTCGTACACCTTTCGCACAAAATCATACGTCCGCTTTCTGCTCTCAATCGCTGTTTCACAGTCCAGCATGAATGCCATGATGCGGTACCGATAGAACGAAATCTTGCCGTCTTTAACAACGGCATAGTGTCCAAATATTTTGACGTGTTCATATGTGTGAGACACCGAGATGACTAGAATCTGGCCGTTCAAGTCTGATGTTTGATCGTTTCCTCCCGCCCTACATAGCTCAACAATGGCATTAACCGCCATACAGCTACTTCTTGCACACTGTCGATCGGCCCGAGCGATGGTTTGGTCGCCTCCTTTGGCTTCGCAAACGAGAAATGGAAAGTACATGTGGTCCGTGAACAGCGTCGGTCTTTCCCAGGAGGAATAATTCTCCAGCTTCACAATTTCTTCCTCTGTGAACGCGGATTGAGCTATGCCGACAGCGAAATCCGGTTTGGGTTTGGGACCGGCTATTGGAGTGCTTTTCGCCCAGTCAACAGATAATTCTTCGGCAACATGTTCCAGCTCACTCTCGCCGCAGAAAAAGAGGAGCTCTGCCGAAGGTATGAGGAACGGCGTGATATCCCGAAATATGCGAGCCTCGTTGCGATCGCGTAGCCGATCCCATACGGACGGGAACTCGTCCACCGGGCACGGGGTACACTCTGGGTCTCCATATAGAGCCTTCGACATCACCTTGCACAGTTCCTTGCTGGCTTCGGACACGAACTTTTTACCTTGAAATTCGCTCATGACAACGCGTTTCTGTCTGAGAAGTCTTTCAAACCCAGGTGTGTCCGTCCTTGGAACTTCGCTATCTTTGGTCATCTGGGTGTAGCTTCGCTTCATCGACACATCAGTTGGAGGAGGAGCCATGATTTGGAAATTCCTCGGCCACAACCCAGTGCTTGCCCAATGTGCAATCGGATCACGCTCGTCTTGTTCTTCGCCGCTGGGGACCGCTGATGCTGGATGCACTCCGTCCGAATGGGCAGTCTGCGACGGGCCAGCCACGTACTCGGACCGTTCTTGCTCGATCGAATCCTCGGTGGGTGTTGTCACTGCTTCCGTTGCAGATTTATTTCCTTGTTGTTTTCGGGGCTTCTGTCTTGATCTGCGAGCTGGCCGAAGCGTGTTTTTCTTCGTTTTCGTCTGCCTCTGTTTCCTACTTTCCGGAGAGACCTGTGCTTGCTTTGGAGTGGGATCGGAATCGAGCGTTACAGGATCTTGGTCTTGTTGGCGCAGCTATCTCCGTGTCAGTTGAGAACTTCTACGCTTTGTACCCTTGACGTACCTGTTTTCTGGAAGAGCCGCCAGTTGAGAGGGAGGATGAATGCGGTTTCTTTGTTGTATCGACATTCCCGCTCTGAGCCTTGCGGTTATGACCCTGCTGCTTCAGCCGTGCGCTTCTGCGAAGAGCGGGAGGAGGAGCCATCAGTGCTGTGTATGTATGTGCAGTTTCTTCACAGATGAGAACTGGCGGTCAATGTTGAGGCGAGGGCGTGGTAAAATGCAGGTAGCCGTTCCCGACACAGCAAACTTCCTCGCTTCTTTGACCGGCCTGTCTCTTTAGGTGCGGCCCACGATGATTCATAACAAAATTTTCTTTGTTGATGATTTGGAGGCCAACGATCTCTCCGGATGAGAGATTTTGAGTATTGAGACCTGAAATTCCAAACTCGCCCATGTTGCTGCGACGACCAGTTGAAATTCGCACATTCGCGGCTGTCTCATGGCTTGTGTCCATTTGTGGCACCGCTTTCAAGCGGGCATGATCGGTAGCTAGCCTGCCAGCTATGCGCCTGGCAGCCCAAATGAAGACTTATCCTCTCTGGTCATTGAGGAGGATGTCTGGTGTTTTCCATAGGAGGAAGAGCAAAATTACGGTCAAGCATTAAGTTATCTGGGCTGCTGCCATTAGCGTAACCTACTTGGCCGTAGTGTTGTCCACGGTGCCACTGGTGCCACCAGGTTTTGGCCTCTGATTTGCCTGGTTTGGGCGGGGCAAATAGAGTGTTCCTAGCCGTAGGGATGATTGGGAACTTTTTGTGGAGTAATAGTATACCGAGCACGATACCAAGTAGCTCGCTAGGTATCTATAGTATCTTCCTAGTGCCTTGGCAGCTCCAAGCCGATTGTCGTTTACACAGGTGCACAGTTCATACGGACACGCTAACGCCCTTGGACCATCCACATCCTCCATGCCCCGTCAACCTCGCCTCAGTGGTGTTGAGATCGCGCCTCTTGTGCCTCATACACACTGCCCGACTTCTACCTACCGGCCGTCTTCGAGAAAGGGAAAGTCGTACAGGTCGTCCAGCCGAAGGGCGGGATCAAACACTCCGGCAAACTCGTCGCGGATCTGCGAGTCGAAGAGCATGTAGTCCTCTGTTCCGCTCCCGGAGCCGCCAACCCCAACATTCCAGCTATCGCTCAGACCACAGATTCCTTCTGCCGGAGTCAGTCTCATGCTAGCAAGACAACTCACGTCTTTCTGGTTCGGTTCTTGCTGTCCTTGCTGTCCTTGCTGATTTGGTTGTTGCTGTGGTGCTAGTTGTTGTTGTTGTTGCTGCTGCTCCTGCTGCTGTGCCCCAGGCTTCGCGCGGCGGGCCGCCAAAATCTTGGCCTGCACGTCTTCGAGGCCCTTGAGACGATCCCAGGCCCGCGACACGGGGCCGGACCTGTGGCTCAGCTTCCGCAACAGCATCGAGGCCGCGCGGAGTGTGTCGCGGATTTCGGCCCAGTACTCAGCGGCCGGGGCATGCACGACGATCAGCAGCAGATTGCCCAGGCTCGAGACGATGAAGTGCTTGAAGAAGGTGGCGTGCGTGTACAACAGGCTGGTGGTGGCGTCCAGGTCGGATAGTGTCTGGAGCGAGTCCTTTGCGATCTTGAGTGCGGTCCGCGTGTGCTCCAGGTCGCTGTCGATGCGCGAGGCCGACTGCAGGAGCGGGCGGTAGATGACGTTGCGCAGCTGGTTGGAGCGGACGCAGAGCGCGACGCCCAGGTAGAAGCGCTGCAACTCGTCCGCGTCGCTGCTTGCCCCCGCGTCTGGGATGGCCGACTGGCCGTGCACGTACCGGATGGACGCCGGGATCTGCTTCTGCCACTGTCGGACCTGGTAGTCGAGATAGTCAATGTCTTCGTGCACCACGTGCGGCTCTTTACCCGGGAATTCGTTGTTCATGTGCCACGCCTTGGCCGAGAGCTTCGCGAACGGGATCATGGCGCGCAGGTAGTCATGCTCGAAGTCGATGGACACCAAGGCTGAATCGACGAGGCTGTCCTGAATGACAAAGGGCACACCCAGGCCGAGGCTGGTTCGACGGTCGAGCGTGTAGACCGACCAAAAGATCCTCAGAACCTCCTTGCGCGCGTCTTCCCCGGGGAAGTGCTTCAGTAGGGTCTCGCGGCGATGAAGGCCCATCTCGAGACAGCGTCGCGATGCGAGGCAGGAATACCTGCTGGCGCGAAGTTCGTCGTCGAGGTTGTAGTAGAAGAGTGCCTGTTGTTTCACGAGAACGCCCGCCCCCTCTCGGTCAGTCCTTCGGCATCCAACACAGACACACAGCATCGAAAATCCTTACCGTCAAGACCAAAATTTGGACGCCGCCCAGCCCTTCCACATTCATCAACGAGTCATCCGACGCGTCGAGCACGGTTTGCATCAGCTCTGTCGCTCGGTGTGTCCCACCGGCGCCCAGTTCGGTCATCATGCCGATCGCTAGCTGGATCTTCAGGATCTGAGTGTCGACGCTGAGCATGAGCTCGATGAGACGACCAGAGGAGCCACTCAGATGCAGGCGTCCGCGCGCCACGTCTAAGCTGTCCAGCAAGACTTGTGCTTTTGATGCGAGGCGCAGCCTGCTGGTCACCGGATACATGGCCCCTATCGTGCGGTGGTAGGTGTCGAAGTATTTCAGCGCGTCCGACCGCTCCATCGTCCACAGAGGATCCCGCCCCAATAGTCGTGGGAAGAGCATCTTCTCGCCTGGGACGCTATAAGGGGGGTGTGGCGACGACGGAGCCTTGGTGAGGCGATGTGAGTTGCTGAATGCGCATCCCACACCCAGCTTGGTCAGGCTCTCATCCGCCACCTCGAAGGTGAACTCGGAGCTGGTCGGTCCGTGATACTCTGGGTAGATTGTGGCAGAGTCGCCCGCGGCGTCGAGGAGCGGCATCGAGGTCTCTCTTTCATCCGGTTCAGCTGATTGCGCCGTATTTACAGGCCGGGCATCCACGCCTCTAGGCGTCAAGATCCCTGGATCGCTCTCTACCATGTGCTGGACCGCGTGCGTCGAACTGGGAGAAGAAATCGCATTGATCTTCTCATTCAGAAGATCGACCTTCTCCATCACCGCCTGGATCTGGGTGGTCATTTGGCGCCATTCTCCACCTCGCACGTCTACTGCGTCTCCAATCCCCGGGAGAAGCTCTCTGTTTGAAGGCGCTGCAGGCCCTGCGCCACCCTGATTTCGCGCTGGTCGATAATAGTCGCACTGCACCATGCTGCCGACACATCTCTGACAAGGGTCCTGTCCGTCGCAGCGGACCTTGCGCCGTTTGCATTCATTGCTGCAGCCACGGGGCTTCAATATCACTTCCGAGACAGGGGGCAGGAATGATGGTGCTCACCAGGCACTCGTGACATAACGAGGTCGTTTGGGTCTAGGGGGATGGTCTGCACTGTCGTTCAGGGCGTGCTTGGACGCAGATATATTGCCCTGGGGCGTCATTATCGCAAGGGCTGCGGTGTGCTAATGGAGAGTATGATGGATGGGAAAACAGGCAGAAGATTCGTCATAAGGATCCTGATGCTCCTCCCCCTCCTCACCCCGCCAGATCTTCATGCTTACCCCAGGCCAAGGCTGTGGAGTTGTTGACCCGAGACCATCCGCTACGACCAACGAGAACTGGGGGATTACACTCGCGACCCACGCGGAGTATGGCGTTGTGGAAGAGAGCCTCGGCCCCATGATGCTGATTACACTAAGCATGTCGAGGATAGTCCGCCGGCTATTAATAGGCCAGGGCTCAGCACTACACACTATGGCTGAATTATCGCCAAACACCATCCATACAGGAGTCATTCCTCGCAATACCCATTGTTTCTCCTCTCCCTTTCAACTTGGTTCATGCAGAACTGTGGCAGTGGCTCACGACTCTAATTCCTTTTCCAGGGCCGACAGGTTATGAGGGACGAAACGGACCTTGTACGCCTTGGGCTGCGTGGTCAGCGACGCCGGGTTGGCCACACCCTTGATCGGCGACGTCTCGAGGACCCCGTCCGGCACCACCTTGAAACTGTTCAGCACCCGCAGGAAGAGGACGTAGAGCTCGCGGTACGCCAACTGCGTGCCCAGGCACATTCGCGACCCAGTGCCGAAGGTGAAGGTCGGAGCCTCGGGCCTCTCGAGCCACCGCTCCGGCCGAAAGGCCTCTGGGTCTTCCCACAGGTCGGGATCTAATTCGCAGCATTTCAGCACTTGTCAGACAGGGCAGCGCGCGTGGGGGAGGTGAGTAAACGAGGGTCCTTACCCATGTTGCAGGCCCAGACGTTCAGGAACATGACCGTCCCCTTGGGGATCACCTTGTTCTCGTAGACAAAGTCCTGAATCGTACAGCGCGGCAGGGACAGTCGAGTCACGGAATAGAACCTGATTCCAATCCTGAGCATGGAGTCAATCCCTCCGACGGGGTCACGCGGTGGCCTACCTCAAGATCTCCTTGATGACTGCCACCAGATACGCACAGCTTTGGTCGTCTGCGGCGTCACATAGCGGGTTGTCGGATGAATAAGTCTCGCGGATCGCGGCGAGTGCCTTGGCCTGCACGTCCTGTCGGTCCGCCAGGATAGCCAGACCCCACGACACAGCCGAGTTCATGGTGTCGAGCCCGGCGGCCAGCAGCGTCAGATTGAGCGAGCTGAGTTCCAGCTTGTTGAGCTTAGCCTCCTCGTCGAGAAGCACGTTGGCCCTCATGCACGGCCTATACGCCCCCGTGGCAATCCGGTCGTCCAGGTCCTTGTCCAGGACCTGCATGTATCTGTCGCGGCGGACTTTCATCTCCGTCGCGACGGCAGACTGCTTATTGAACGGATTCAGGCGGAGGAGCGGGATGTAGTCCTGCAGGTTGCCCGTCGTGCTCCGGAAGTTGCTGATGGTGTCTTCGACGTGCACGATCTCGTGGAACAGGTTGTTCTGCGACTCCATCCGCGTGCCCCAGTGCAGCGTCAGGCCGATGCTCATGTTCATGCGCAGAAAGAGCGGCATCGGGTTGACCCCCTTCTTGCCACGGCCACCGTCTCGCAGCGCCTCAGAGAGGAACGTGCGGGTTTCGCGGTCGAGGTGAGGGACATAGCTGGCGACGGCGGGTCGATTCACCGCTGTGGCGATGGCCTTTCTTCTTCTCTTGGTCGACTCGGACCATGGACTGGTCCCCAACGTTGTTCCCGCCGTGTCCGAGATGATCTGAGCGCCTCACCTTAGGACGACTGTAGAGAAGACTTCCTCGCGGAACAACTTACTTTGTGGAAAGTATAGAATTCGGGCCTCGAGCTCGTCGCATGTGAGTTCTGGTTCAGGATCGCCTTTGCTGCCGCGGCAGAGTTGATCACCAGGACGGGTATATTGCCCAGCTGTATTTGGTAGACAGGGCCGTATTTTCGAGACCACTGGCGATACTGTTCGGGCGCATCCTTATGGCGAATCTGCAGCAAGTTGCCCACGATCGGTGCGCCAGGCGGCCCTTTGAAGCCAGGCACTCGCGCGGACCAGCGGACGAGTTCGTAGACGACGAAAGCAATCAGGCTAAGAACAGCGGGGGCGAGGACACCGAGAGGGATGTTTTGGGTGACTTTGGCAAATTCCGCAGCCATCGAGACAGTCTAGCATTCGTACAATCTTGGATTGACTCTGGCAAGGGATGTTATGCAGCCGTACTCGATGTGAGCTTTGCAGGGCCAACCTGCTGGTCATGAGTCTTTTCAAGCCTCACGTCTCGTGCAAAGTGAGCCCCAACACGGTGTGCTCAATCAGCCGTCTCACAGGTAGTGCTGATGCTTTGCAGCGGAATGCCTTTCCGAGCCTCCGAACAGTTGCGAGCCTCGTCAGCGAGAACAGGCTGGCTGCGTGGATGGTGTCGATCCTGCTCCGAGATCCCTGCCACTGTCTCCGCAGTGTCAAACCGACAACTGGCAGTGGAATGCTTGGAGGTTGTCTTGCATCCGGACTTCCACCGTCCGTGCCAAACACGTCAGGCCTTATACTACTATGGAAATCGCCTTCGTCGTCAGCGTCGTGCGCCCAAGGTAATGCTGATGGATTGCTAACCCGGATCCTCACCGCGCAGGAACTTCGACATGTCGCAAAGGGGAGTCTTCAAGGAGACCGAATCGACACGTCCGGCCTTTGACCGCTCGAGCAGCTTTGCCCTGTCAGCGACCATTTCCCCCGACTGGAAATGGGGCGACGGCGCCAACGACCCCGGCTGCGGACTCGACAAGAAGCACATCGAAATCGACCCGAACGCGCCAGGGCGGTCGGCCGCGAGCAATTACAAGCTGCTGATCTCGGGCATCGTGCCCCGCCCGATCGGATTCCTGAGCACGCAGAGCGAGGACGGCACCGCGCAGAACCTGGCCCCGTTCAGCTACACGCAGGTTGTGAATCACGATCCCCCGGTGTTTGTGGTGGGGATGGTCGGGTCGAACGACAAGGACACGCTGAAGAACCTGCGGGCGACCGGCGAGTGCGTCATCAACACCATCAGCGAACACTTCGTCGAGGCCGCCAACGCGGCGGCCGTTGACGCCCCCTACGGCATGAGCGAGTGGCAATTGACGGGGCTGACGCCGGCGCCGTGTCGAGAAGTGCGCGCGGCGCGGGTCAAAGAGAGCGTCTTCAGCATAGAAGGGAAGCTGCTCGAGATCAAGGACTTTGAGAGCAAGAGCACCAGGGGGACCAAGTCTGGATCCATGGCCATCATCGAGGGAGTGCGGTTCTGGATCCGCGAAGATGCCCTCAGCGACGACCATGCCACTATTGATCCGGCTGTGTTGCGGCCTGTGTCTCGACTGGGGGGGATCACGTATGGACGGACTACGGAGGCCTTTGAGATAGCCAGACCCAGATACGCAGAGCACCGCGACGCCCTTGCCAGTCGACTGCACAGCAATTGAAATGGTTCCCTAATATGTACCTCCGGCCCATCAATAGCATTCTTTAGAGAGATCCTACCGCTGAGAGTCCAAGCAAGAATGCCTACCAGGAGGACTGCGACTGTCTCACCCGTCGGCGACTGCATGATTATTGAACATCCCTCCAACGACAGACCATGTTTAGAGCCATTGCTCGCCGCCTCCGAAGCCACGGAAACTATCACGGCCTGCGCCCCTGACGGTGATGGGGCTACCCCGCATAAGGCTGGGTAATCCCACACGAGGCTGAGCGCACACTTATCTTTCATGCCGTCGCAGTTACACTCGTTAGACTCCTTCGTCTCAGAATTCATATCATAATTGCACCCTTAACAGCGATCTCTCTATTCTAGGTTGCGCCGTGATAGAAACTCGGTTCGGATTAGCGTTTCTTTGCCCTGATTCTTGAAGCGGCACCCCGACTGACCTTTCCTCCTGGTAATGCGCCTGTTCAAGCCCCAGCCTCCCCCAAACCGCAAAATGGCACATGGACATGCAAACGTCTTGGTTGCCTACCTCAAGAACAACTTCTTGTCGTTGCTTTAATATTACCCCCGGTGACGTGGCCGAGAATGACACGATTGCAATCTTGCACGGCGTTCGAGGGCCGGGAGGATGGGAAATCCAGCGCTCGGCCACGTTGATAACACATTTTATTCATTGCGGTGAACAACTAACTATCCCTTCAATATTGAGGAGAGAGAACAGGTGGCGAAGCGATGTATCATCATAAAAGAACACTAGGAAGAGAAACCGTATGCTGTGAGCACACTGAGACAGTATCATTTCATTCGGACACTCTAGCAGGTACCATAGAAGATGGCATTGTTAGATGTTACAAACAAGCGTCCCTTGCATGGGTGGCGTCGTCCAGCCAAATTCATCGACTCGAAGGAAGCTCGGCGCATTGTTGCGCCTTGGTAAAATGAGATGTGGAACGGGGTACCTGAAACGTCTCGAACTCTCAATGACCGTTGAGACTTGCCTTGCCTCCATTTTCATGCGACACCGGTCCCGGCTCGAGGAAGGGCGAGTTCTCCTTGACGCCCTTGGGCTTCTGGAACCGCTTCCGGAGCCCGAGCCACGTGCGGGCGTTGTAGTCGAGTTGCCTCTTGCTCGACTTGGACCAGGCCCAGTCACTCATGCCCAAGATCATGTTCGACTCCAGCACGAAGGCCATGCTCCCCTCGCCAACCTTCTGCGGGACCAGGTCCATCTCCGAGGCGCGCGCGTGCGTCTCGCTGTCGGGCCCGTGGCCGACCATCACGTTGTGCAGGCTGGCGCCCCCGGGGCGGAACCCGCCGTCGGTGCGAGCGTCGTACTCGCCCTGGATGAGGCCCATGAACTCGGCCATCGTGTTACGGTGGTACCACGGGGGCCGGAACGTGTTCTCCATGACGAGCCAGCGCGGCGGGAAGATAGCCAGTTCCACCACGCCCTCGGACGAGGCGAGCAGGGTGAAGATCGACGGGTCCGGGTGGTCATACGAGATGCTCCCCACGGTCATGAAGCGGCCCAGGTCGTACTTGTAGGGGAAATACGTCCCGTGCCAGGCCACCACGTCGAAGGGCGAATGGTCCTGCTTGGCCTCGAAGAGTTGGCCGTTGAATTTGGCCACCACGCGGTAGTCAGTGTCGGCGTCGTCCTCGTACGCCGCGATGGGGATCTGGAAGTCCCGGGCATTCGCGCAGCCAAATGATCCCAGCGGCCCGAGGTTGGGCAGCGTGAACACCCCCTGGTGCAGTTCGAGCGCGTAGCCCCGGACAGGCCCTTCGGGCAGGGAAACGTGGTACTTGATCCCGCGCGGAATGACACAGATCTCCAGCGGCCGCACAAGGAGACGGCCCAGCTCGGTCTTGATGTCGAGGACGCCGGTCTGCAGGATGATCAACAGCTCGCCGTCCGCTGAGGAGAAGGCAGTCTTGGGATCCATCGACTGGCCCGCTGTGAAGATGAAGTAGCCCATGCCCGACTTGGCCGACACGTCGCCGGCGGCACAGAGCAGGCGCATGGAATGCACCCAGTCTGCTTTCTCGTCCATGTCGAACGGATCCCAGCGCACCTGGGTCGGCACGTGCACTAGATTCTGATACGCATTGTAGTTGGTGGCCACCTCGCTGTCCGGCAGGGGCTCGGGTTCGAATGGCTCATGAGCCGCAGAGGGGACAATGCGATACAGCCAGGTCTGTTGGTTCTCCGGCCGCGCCGCCTGGAAAGCACTGCCCGAGATCTTTTCGGTGTACAGGCCAAAGGCTGGACGTTGGGGTGTGTTCTGGCCAATGGGCAGAGCACCCTCGATGGCTTCAGATCTATCAAGGTTGGTTATATGGATGGGCACCGACGTCTTTACGAACACTCACTCCTGATACGATCCAAACCCCGTGTTGTACCTGTACTTCTCAGAAGTCTTGAATTTCGAGAATGGCATGCTGTTTGTTCAACGGTGGTTGATGTCCTGTTTGTTGTGAACCCACTTCTACTCGCCCTGAGCCCTTGGTTGAGAGGGGCGTCTATAATACGTGAACGAGGGGCCGATACTGAATCTTCGGCACTTCGGCTCTAGAGACACGAGCATCTGGCCAAAGCATCTCCTTCGCCTCATGCCCATGACCGCCTCCGAGACATCAACCAGTCCAGCTCGGAAATTTCCGAGCACCGCCGAGCACCTCCGCGCAGCCTCCGAGCACCTCATTCAGCCTTTGTCCTGTTTTACTTGACACCTACTGAATCCCTCGATCCAGATGACGGGTCAAGCTTATGCGTCTTTGGGCAATGAACGAAAGCAGGCAAAGGGCCTGAGTAGTAAGTTGGATTACCAACACCATTCTGCTCTCCGTCTCAACTCTTGAACAACAAGAGAACCATTCACTAAGATATCACAGTAAAAAGCAGCCAGCGCGATGGCGCCAATGTCATGGCTAGACGTTGCGTCGGACTCTCTGTTCTCCCTGGCCAATATTCCATTCGGCGTGGGCGTCTTTCCTGGGCATGACAAGCCGTCCGTAGCGATCGCTGTTGGCGAATATGCGATGAACCTGGCTGTATTTGCCTCCAGTGGCGGATTCTCTCAGCTTGCAGATGTTCAAGGCCATGCTGAGGTCTTTGATCAACCAACCCTCAATGCTCTTGCAACCTTGGGGCGACGCTTTGCGGGGGCTGTGCGCCGCTTTTTGCAAGATATCCTGAAAGAGCCGACGTCATATCCTGACGTACTCAAGGACGACAAAGATTTGCAGTCTCGATGCCTTGCGCGGTTGACGGAGGTGGAAATGCGTCTCCCTTTCAACATTGGCGATTTCAGCGACTTTTACGGGGGCATGAACCACGCGTATAATGCCGGGGCACTGTTTCGGGGTCAGAATGGAGCACTGCTACCCAACTACCTGCATCTTCCCATGGCCTACCACGGAAGATCGTCTTCGATATACGTGTCCGGGACACCCGTGCGAAGGCCATGGGGACAGATTGTGGAAGATCTGAGCGCAACCGAGAAGCATCCAATCTTCGTTCCCTGCCGGACCATGGACTTCGAACTTGAGCTAGGGTGTTTTGTCTGTGGGGGCAACGAGCCATTCGACAACATCTCCATCGAGAACGCCGAAGACAACATATTTGGATTCGTTCTCCTGAACGACTGGTCCGCGCGCGACGTGCAACGATGGGAATATGTGCCCCTGGGGCCCTTCAACGGCAAGAACTTCGCGACCACCATCAGCGCCTGGGTCGTGCTGGCAGACGCGTTGGAACCATTCCGGAGTCCTGGGATGGTTCATCCCGGCCCGCTTCTTCCGTATCTCCAGGAGCGCCGCAAGGACTTCACATACGACCTCAAGCTGGAGATCCAGCTGCGCAGCGGCCGCACCAAGCACCTCTCGACCATCTGCTCCACCAACGCCAGGGACGGGCTGGTCTGGTCCTTTCCGCAGATGCTGGCACACCATACCATCACGGGCTGCAACATCAGGGCGGGCGACCTGCTCGGGTCCGGGACGATTAGCGGAGAGAGCATATCTTCTCTGGGCTGCTTGTTGGAACAGACTCTCAACGGAAAGCGGCCGATCCAGTTGGAAGGGGGGGAGCAGCGAACATGGCTGGAAGACGGAGACGAGGTGATTTTGAAGGCTCGGGCTGGCGATGAACAACGCGGGTTCGTGGGATTTGGGGATGCCGCAGGGGTGTTACTCCCAGCACATGAGCAGACAGCCAAAGCTGGACTCAGTGAACTGTAGCAAACATGAATTGAGAGATAGAGTGATAGTAGCGAAAAAGCGTCGACCTTGGAGAGTTTAACCAGCCCTCCATCCCCATGCACCAGTTCCAAGATGGCTTCCAAGATGGCCGTAGCAACGCATTGAGTCGCCGCGTTCTTTCAGCCACAGCTTCGGTCGACACCACTCTGTCTGCACCTGTGTCTTAGATCCTGTATCGCATAGGTTACACACCGGAGCATGACAGGCGGCGAATCCTGGAGACTTCGGTTCTCTTTTTTTGCTACCTTCATAATAGGCTGTCAACATATTCTCCAGTGCTCCCGATATGTATGTCTGGGAAGCGGCCTTGTTGACATCGTCTCGGAGCCCGTCGAAGTCGATCTTCATATTATTTATTGGACGAGATGGTAGTGTGGAAGTTGATTGACCGGGCGGCATCACCCTGTCACGTGCCTGTCCCCAAACGGGAATGAGCTGCCCGTGAATTCAACTTTGTCTTGGCTAAACTCTGCGACCGACTGGAATGCCTTGTTCAGAGAAGCGAGAACTTTATGCCAACTTTGGGCCTTCGCGAACGGACACCTCGCGTTTACCTTATCCATCGACAATCTGATCTCTTCAGGTGATTCAGTGGCCCAGGCTTGTCGTCGGCAAACGCTGTACTAAAAAGGTTAACCGAATGCACGGCGCTAGAACAGCAAAGCCTCCCACGGGCCTCGCTGGAGACGCCTTGTTCTCGCGCTAAGCTACCAGATGCCGTCAAACTGGTTTACAGCGTGGAAACATGTGGACATGCACAACAATTGCAGGCGGGAATTGGCCCCGCTGGACTAACAGGCCTGATAGCCGTGTCTGTCACTCCACGATGCCGCCGTGTCGCTCTTTGGCCGAGTATGACCTCGGGTAGGCCAAGGGTAAAGGAATACAGGATAAAATGAGAAAGCTGCGGCTCTTTCTTTTTCCATCCGTGCAGCTCTTGTGATCGTCAAACGCATTCCAGGTGATCATCTTGTGGCCCTTTTCCATTTTCAGCCATTTGACGCTACAGCGACGAAGAAACAGGTCTACGGGAAAAAAGGAGATTCTGTTACCATCATGGAGACGTGGAGTTGGTACAATATGTACCTGGTGTGGTTGGCTGGGTTCGGTATCTTTGCGAGCGCATACAATATGGGTACGGCGTGCTATCCTTGCCACCGAGTCTGCGCCTCCTGCTCACACACATTCTTGCCCAGCCGTCATATCGAGCACGTTGGGGCAGCCGACGTTCTATTCCTACCTGGGCTTGACCATGGGGACGTCCCACACCACCTCCGTCACCTCGACCGCCAACGCGTTGTATTTCCTCGGTTCTTTCGTCAGTTGCTGCGTCATCACCGCCATTGGAGACCGGGTCGGGCGGAAGAAGACAATCTGGATCTCCCTGTCCTTCATCATCCTCGGCAGCGCGTTGCAGACGGGGACTCGCACCGTGGCAATGTACCAGGTCTCCCGCGTCATCACGGGCATGGGCACCGGCTCGCTTTTCTCGACTGTGCCCGTGTACCAGTCGGAGATCTCGCCGCCGCACTTTCGCGGCTTCCTGGTCGGCCAGGCCGGAGTATTCTCCGCCGGCGGCTATTCCCTGGCGTCTTGGGTTGGTTATGGCTGCTACTTTGCCAGCGACAAGGGCACCTTTGGCTTTCGCTTTCCGATATCCGTCGGCTGCATGCTCGCTGTGGTGATGCTCGGGCTGTCATTCATCCTCCCTGAATCGCCTCGCTGGCGTAAGGAACCCATTTTTTTTGTTCTTGGTGCACTCTGTCCAGAAGACTAACCGTATCCGTCGGTAGTAATTGAACACGGCCACGAAGATGAAGGGATCCGGCTTCTTTCTCGGCTCCATCCAGATCGCGACTCGGCCAACAGTGACCACTTTGCCAGACTGGAATCGATTGAAATCAAGAAACAGTATGAGCTCGACCAGTCAATCCGGCAGCGGGAAGGGAAATTCGGGATCATCACCCGCAAGTCGAACCTGAAACGCCTGTTCTTCTCATGCTTCATTCTCTGGAGCTCGCAGGCGATGGGCATCCTGGTCATCAACAACTACAGTGTGCAGCTGTACAATGCCCTTGGGTACACAGGCAGCCGCGCTCTTCTGTTGGGAGCTGGGTGGATCTCGGTCACGATCCCGTTCAATGCCGTCGCGCCGTTCTTGATCGATCGTCTGGGAAGAAAGACCATGTTCCGTAAGTTCTTCCCCAGTTCCTCCCTAGTTCCGCTCGAAGGAGGACAAGAGACTCTAATGTGCGGTAGTGATCGGCTCGTTTCTGCTGTGTGTCTGCGTCGCGGGAGAAGGGGCATTGCTGAAGAAGTTCACCGACACGGGCAACGATGCCTATGCTCGTGGGGCCATTTTCTTCCTCTACTTCTTTGCCTTTGTAAGACATCTTGGCTCTCCCTCGTTGTCGCCCAACACCTGCTCACTTACCATCGCAGAGCTACGGAACCTTCATCGACGCCGCGTCTTGGGTATACGCGGCGGAGATCTGGCCCAACCACAACCGCGGCATGGGCAACGGCATCGCCTTCGCCGCGGCGTACGCGTCGACTATCTGCTGGACGCAGTCGGCCCCGATCGGCTTCGAGAACATCGGCTGGAAGTTCTACATGGTCTTCGTGGCCAACGCGATCCTGTGCTTCCTGGTCGTCCTCTTCCTCTATCCCGAGGTATGGAATTGCCCCTCCCGTCCGTTTCGGAGTGTTTGTGTGTGGGAAAGGAGCTGACAAGAGGTTCTCACCTAGACACGCAATCTGCCACTGGAAGAGATCCCGAAACTCTTCGGCGACGAGATCGCGTACGAGGACATTCATCTCGCGGACACGGCGGGCGACAAGGTCGAAGAGCCCGAGGTGCTGACGGAGCAGCCAAAGGCGCTCGACGCATAGCGCGGAAAGGTGAATTGTCAGTCAGCCTACGGCACCGCGTCGGCCGGCTTCAATATGCGCATCTTCTGCAAGCAAGCCGTCAGGAGCATGCTGTGTGCCTCGAGAGATCGGACGCATAGTTTGATCGTGCTTGTCCGGCGCGGATGGGACTCATCAAGGAGAAACTGACACACAGCCTCCGAGCCATTATGGTAAGCATGGTAGATGATAGGTGATAGATGATAGATATTAGATACTAGATGATAGATATCGCTCGTGGATATAGAAAACCCGCCAGATAGATTCTCAACGCAACTTCAAGGACTGTTCGTTTGGTATGAATAGCAGGAGGATGTCTGATGGAGGCTCGGATCAGATTAGATTGGTCGTTGACCCGACACAGACCCGACCGGCTATTCCATCCCAAACCCGATGGCCAGGTTGCCGAGGCCGGCAAACGGAGCAGCAACACGGATTTTCAGAACCCAAGAGCAAAGTACGCCCAGCCATTCACCTCGGCGAAAGCGTGAGGTGTCCGAGCTACGCTGCTGAATCGGTCTTGTGGACTCAGAAGGCACTTGGCCTGCCTTGTCGATTGCCGATGGAATATGCTGAAAGCTTGCTGGGAAGTATACTCGAACGACCCTCCAGGAGACCTCTCTCAGGGTATCGTTCCATCTGCAGAATTCATTGCGCTTCGGCTTCGACATTTTTCACGGTATGGCAATACACCATCTGAGATGCTCTCGAATAGTATGAGTGTTGGTATGGGACATCCATGTAGCTACGAGCAGAACGGCCTCGATCCGGTCAAATTGATAGCCACCAACGCCTCATCTGAATCCGGACTTTTTTGTATCAGCTAGGGACATCAGCGAGTGATAGTCTATGCACGTCATTATTCCCTTTGGAGGAGGGTGAAGGGCCATAGTGCATAAGACTCGGCCCATCGATTGCGAGTGTCGAGGTTCCATGCCCAAGCCGGAATGGCATGACTTTGTTCCGCACGGCGGGGAAGGCGGGGGCACTAATAGACCTTAGCTAAACTCGACCAAGTTCGGCCAAAGCTCCAAACGTCTTTCCACATACTGTGTCGTCGAAGCCCTGGGTGCCTCTTCCTCTATATCCACCACTCCTACAACCCAACCCCCAATACTCGCGCGTCCCCAGCATATCGCTCGCCATGTCGACAAATCGACGGGTTGATCTAGTACAGGTAGATCCAGCTCTCCGTCGGCGAGCTCGAGACCGCAACCGCGCACGGCGCGTGAACGGTCCACGGCCAGGTCCCAGTGCCGTCCGGCCACGTGCCCGCGACCGTCTCGACACGCGGGTCCACCGAGACAGGCTCCTGCTTTACCACTACTGCCAATTCGACCTCGACGCGATGAAGCGGACGAGGGAGCTGGCCGCGCTGGAGGGCCACCTGGAGAGCGAAGACATCTACGCCGCCGCGTCGTTGCTGCCCCCGATAGAGGCGACCCGGCAGAGCATCCAGCGGCTGCAGCGGTACAACCAGTCGGTGTCCCAATGCTGCAAACGCTTCCACCTGGCCTTCAACGAGATGCGGTCCCGGACCATGAACGTCGAGCTTGTCAAGCCGTCTGATCGGATCGAACCGCTTCTCAACCTCGACGACAACCTCGAGTTCATCTCCCCCGATGAGCGATACTTTCCGAAGAACGTCGGGCGCTTCTGGAGCTTGCTGGAGCCAAGGCATCGTGAGTTTGCCCCCGCCACCATCGCCAACCGTACCACTGCCGTTCTCTCTGTCTCTCTCTCTCTCCCCTCCCATACATGTCGGCCCTTCGGTCAGAGGCGTGCTAGTAAACTGACGGCGAGGTCTAGGATTCCGTCTCAGGTACCTCTTCAGGTTTTACAAGCTCCGGGGCTACAAAAACTGGGCGATCCAAGCGGCCAGAGCACGGGGCGAGAATACCGCTGACGTGGAGCCCCTGTCGCTTGAACAGGCCCTGCGGCGCTGGACGAAACGTTGCCTGAGGCTGCTGGGCTTCCACCTCGGGCTCGAATGGCACGCTATCTCGGCGGAAATGACGCGGCTCAAACAGGTGCAGGAGGAGCGGGAGCGGGAAATGTACCAGATGGAGCGGCGGCTCGCCGAGGACCTGGACCGGCGGAAGGGCCCGTCGACGACGAGGTACTTCTCGCTGCTCAACCCGCGATACCAGGGATCCAGCACCACCCCGCCCCCAGCGTACCGCGAAGCTGCAGACCAGTTCAGACAGGCGCTGGTGACCTCAAGATCCCGGATCCGACAACATCGCGAAGCCAACAGACCACCCACCAGGACGAATGGAACACGCAGGCCGGTCGCAGCTGCTCGCGCCGCTCACCCCGGATTCGGACGGGGGTGACAACCAATACCACCAGTCTGGATTGGGTCGGGCTGCCGCAAATTTTTACATTGGAATGTTTTCGCGATGGTTGAAGATCTCGAGTTGATAAATGGATGTATATGTGGGAGATAACTGCTCTGCATGCTTTGCCTCCACGGTACTTCGCACTCGTTGGATTTTGCAGGGAGTGCACCATTTAAACGTACTACTCAGGAGACGCGGCAAGATTGGCCCCAGGCTGTAAACCTCGTGTTTACCCCGCGAGACTGCCAACGACAACATGCCTCGCCATGATGTCGATCAACTGTGATTCAATTGCCGATGGATCCGAATTCGAGATTGTGCGAGCTTTGTCAAAGAGTTTCCTTCGATAGCTTGCGGTCGGAACATAGCTTCCAGCATCATGAGAAAGCCACCTTCCTGCGTCGCGAGGCCACCAGGGAGAATGGATGCCAACTCTGCTCCATGATCTGGCGCGCCCTATCATTCCTGGGCAGAAACCCGTTGAGCGAAGACCCCGCCAGGCTCCTGCTGAATCCTTCGGGCAGCCCGGTGGAGAGCTGCTCCGTCTATTCCAACGAACCCAGTCCCATGTACGGGGTGAAGATCCTGTGCGGTCAAGTGGAGGTCCTGGATTCCCTGCAATGGCGGGGAGACGCCCCTCAACGATGGCACGTTTGGCCCGACGGCGACGCGAGCCAGCCCAAGCCACACACTTTTGGCGAATACGATTCGAGATTGTTCGGCATCAATGATGAGTGTGAAAACCCCCCTCCCGGGCTCACGCCGCAAGACAGTCGCCCTGACCAACGCCCAGGCGATCCCGCTGGAAGCCTCGTCCGCCACAGGGAGATTAGCTCACGACCAGATTCGGATGAGGCGTACAGCCTCATCAACCAGTTGATCAACCTTTGTCGCTCGACGCATCGAACATGCCCCAATACAGGTGAAAACGTCTTGCCGTCCCGAATCATCGATGTCGAGCCGGCGGATGGCTCTCAGGAACCTCACTCATTGACCTAGAGACAAGAAGAGGACAGGCCTCCTTCTGGAAACCCTGAGCCTTCTGCCCTGCGTCGAGGAACGTACCTTGCTCTAAGCTACTGTTGGGGAGAGGTGCCCGCCATCGTCACGACCCGTGACAATCTGGAGGAAAGAAAAAGGGGCATTCCGTTTGCCGATTTTCCCCCTACAATGCAAGACGCCATTGCCATCGCAAGAAGGCTGGGAGTGAGATATCTGTGGGTGGATGCACTGTGTATCTTGCAGGGGACCGACGAAGCAAAGTTGGATTGGCAAAGGGAGTCACCAAGGATGAGAGACGTCTACGGCAATGCCTTTCTAACAATCGTCGCCGCACCAGCGAGAACAATCCACGGTGGGATATTCGCCGCCGGGAATCCCCCGAAAATACCCCACTGCCGCATCCCGTACAAGTCGAAATGTACGCCGGGAATCGAGGGCCACGTCTTCCTGGGCTTCGCCGAGAGACCTCGCGACAGATCAGAGGAGCCACTGTACCATCGAGCATGGACGCTTCAGGAGCGCATCCTCTCCTCGCGCGCCCTGATCTGCACGCGAGATCAACTTTGCTGGGAATGCGCCGGGGCCAAGTGGACCGAAAGCGGCGAGTTCAACCCGCCGATCAGTTCCGCGAGACTGGAAGCGCAGCCGAACCAAGGCAACACCTGGAACGTGATTGTTCGAGACTACAGCTCCAGAGACCTGACGTACAGCATGGACAAGCTCCCCCGCACTGTCCGGGCTCGTGAATGAGATCTCCCAGCGGACCGGAGACGAGTACCTTGCGGGGCTCTAGAAAACCCACATATGCGACCATCTGGTCTGGTGCCATCGGCACATGGTGGTCGGGAAGAGGACGAGGCGGGCGTGGCCTCGGTGGTACAGAGCACCCTCATGGTCGTGGGCTTCAGTGGACGGCAATATCTTCTTCCCCAGCCATACCGAAAGACAGCGACGTGTATTACTTGAAGCTCCTCGACCACCAGATCATCCCCGCCGGAATTGACCAGTTCGGCGCCATCGCGTCAGGCTATATATCCGTGCGAGCTCCTCTGAAGCGCTTCTCTCGGATCTATTTCCGGAGCTCCCAAGTATTGGAGACGATGGAAGACGGAGGCCACACGCGGGACGTTGTTGTCGGCAGCGTCTGGCTGGACATGTTGGACGGCGATGTCGAGGGCAAGTACACCGATGATTTATTGGCGAACGCGCTGCTCGCAGATCCGTGGGCGTTGCGGTTGAAGGAAAGGGTGGGATTGGTACTGACTCCTACCAACGTGGCGAAGGAAGGAGTATAGACGGCTCGGCATGTTCATCACCGGTGGTGACGCAACTGCACAGAAATGGCTGGATGGTAGTGAATAAGAGACGATAACCATCGTATGAGAATTGTGTGATCTCAAAAATTCTTCAATCCAAGTCCTTCCTACCTTTGTCGGCATTCACTTTCGATCCATTGACCACAAAGCCATCCGGGAGTGTACGGTGGTTGCCATCGTGTAGCAGTTTGGTAAGAAGCATGGCATGGGCTTCCTGATCGATTCTCCCAATGGCCAAGGAGATGGTGGCAGACTGGGTGCACAGTCAGGCTGAGTGCGAAGGGGAGGGTGTTGTTTATAAAAGTCGGCACGCTCGGGCGAGTCGCACGTGATCTCCGAGCAGTTCTTACTCATCTTTAGGCGCCAAGCCCGAAATGCGGGCCATTGCCAAAAACCTTGGGACGGCGTCGGAGGAGGCAGATGGTGGGTAGCCCTCTGGGAGGCATGATATGTAATACCAATCACGACGAGATCACGCGAGTCAAGAGACGAAACACACCGTCGCAAAGAAACCTGAACAGAAATTCGTCGAGGGCATAGAACGTGCTCGGTGTATTCAGGCCGTATCCCACGGGCCATCACCTGTCTGTCCTGCGCCGAACGACTCGACTCATCGCACCGCACCGTACCGCACCCAGCACAGCGCAGCGCAGCGCAGAGCCTCTCAAGATGAAGCTCATCCTCTCTACCTCGTACGCAATTATCTCCTTTGACGGAAAATGTATGAGCGTGGCAAAGAAGGCATCGCTGACACACTCTGGCCATAATGCAGCAATATCATGTCCTCGGGCCACCCCGTCGTGCGGCGGCCACTGTTCTCGCGGTCCAACATTGAACTCATCAATTCCCTGCGCGCCAATTTCGCCTCGTTTAAACACTACGCTCCCGCTCCTCCTGCCTCGGAGGGCGGCGCCGCCGAGAAGTTTACGCCTCCCGTATGGACGACGCAGGAGGATGACACACTCTACGTTCCCTCGTGGCGGACGACCCCGCTAGTCGAGCCCCGCGACTCCTACGACGTGACCTGCAAACTATTCTTCCTCCCCGGCATCCCCAGTACGCGGCGGTGCCGGCACACGCGAGAAGCCATCGATCTGGTACTGAAAGAGCTGGGCGTCGACACCATTGACCTGTTGATCGTCTCATTCCCTCATGTGACCTTTGACGCCGACGATGAAGAGGAGGACGAGGATGAGGAGGAGCGGGCTTCCGCGGACGAGAATCCCAGCGAGGCCAGCGACGAGTTGGAAGGCTTGGAGGCCCAGGTCAAGACCTGGCAGGTGCTGGAGTCGCTCTATGACAAGGGCGTCATCTCCCAGCTGGGCGTGTCCGAGTTTAGTTCGGAGCGACTCGCGAAATTCCTGCCAGAGGTCCGAGTCCGGCCCAAGGTCGACCAGATCAACGTCAAGGACTGCTGCGTCGTGCCCAAGACACTCATCATGTACGCAAAGGAGAACAAGATTGAGCTTTTGACACACGCGGATTGCATGGACATTCTCCCACCCGGAACGACGAGGGAGTTGCTGGGACCCGATAAAGATGGAGCTGGCATTCTGGCTGCGCACCCAGATGGCGGACCCGAAGAGCCCGGGCTGAAGGGCGATATCGAGCCGCAATGGGTCATCAAGTATACCGCGGTGGTGAAAAACCGCGGCGTCATCGAGAACAAAGGGTACTTCGCCGTCGCGCAGCTGGGAAGCTGTATCGAGGAGAAGCCAGTCGAGGCCCCAGCATCATGAGGCCGTCCAGCAACCCCTCGGAGTTATAGTAAAACTTGAGCTTTAGCATGGCGCTGGGTAGACCGACTTCTTTCAAAGATCTTCCGTGATCTCCTTTCGCCTCCATTCATCCAATCATGCTCCTCTTCCGACCTCGCAGCCTCACTTCCTCCAATCTCTTCAACACGACGTTGGAGCCCTTGAAACTGCCCCTGTACCCCTCCTGGCTCTGTAAGACTTCGGCATCGAACCACCCCTCCTGTTTCGGGTGCGTCGATCCAAACGCCCGCTCGAGCACGTAGAGATCCACGGCCCTGTCTTCGTCCTGGACAGATTGCGTCGCAAGGCCAAAGTCGATGAGCACGATCTCGCCAGTCAGATCTGGTGGTTGGACCGGCGCAGACCTTTCTTCCTGCGATTGTAGACCCGCCTCTTCATTCCCACGCTCGCCATTGACGACCCCGTTCAGCTCCCCATTCGTGTCCCTTGTGGTGTTAGGCCGGATCATGATGTTGCTGCTCGTCAAGTCCCCGTGGACCACGCCTCCTTTGGCATGCATCGATCCCACAGCCCGCCCGATGCGGCGCAGCAGTTTCTTCACCGCCTCTTCCTGCGCAGCAACCTCGTCCTGACGTGACTTGTCATCATTGTCTTGTGTATTCGTGTCGGCGCTGACGCCGAAGGCCTTGTACCAAGCATCCCAGTCGCGCAACAAATCCTTGACGCTGCGCCCTTCGATCCACTCCATGAGGAGCCACGCGCCCTGTCCCACGAAGGAGGCGCCCCCCGTCGTCGTCGTCTCCCTCACGCCCCTCTGCGCGTCGCTCACCCCACGAACTTTCCGCGCGATGTCCCACTCCAGGCTCAGCACCGCGGGGACTTTGACCGCGTCCCCGTCCCCACCGGTGCTGGCGCTGTTCAGCGCCGACAGCTTGACCAGGATGCGTGCTTCGGCCAGCACCCTCTGCTTCGTCAGCCGCGCGTCAAGTGTGGGGTGTCTGTAGGCTTTGCTCGGCCGGAATTTCAGGGCGGCAGGCTGCGCCGGGTGCAGGAAGTGCGTGCGGTAGAGGAGGGCCTCGGCGCCCTGGGTGATCAGCGTTGGCGAGGGTTCGGTGACGTGGAAGGGGGAAGGGAGAGGCTGTGTATCGTGACCCTGCGCTGTGGTAGGGTCGGGAGGAGGAAGGGGGTTGTTCGGCGCATCTGCACCTGTACTTGTGCTTGTCATGGTGAGTGTGAGTTGGATGCGCTGGGACTGGTGCGGGAAGATCAACGTTTCAGTAGTTGGATGACTTTGACGTGGACATCACTTGATATAAAGGGAAGCGCAAATTCTCATTAATGTTTCCCAACAGGACGGGCGGAATTGAATCAGATGCAGCACTATGCGTAGCGGGAACCGGTTCAAATCCCTTGAGTGAGGCGTCGAAAAAACCGCGAGTTGCGGGGTGTTCAGCCTTGCCACCACCCACCAAAACCATTCTCCTCATGCAATTGGTCATGTCCCTACAGCCTTGAGGCCTAATAACAAAAAGGTACACATAACTCTTGGAATGGGGGTCCTCAACGTTCATATTCTGTCATGTCCTTTGAGAGGGCACTTCTCCTCTTTTATACCGTGACCAGAAGGCATTGTGTTCACAGAATCTTGCGATTCAGCTGGTACAGCTACGGCATCTCACCCTTTCGTATGAGCCGTCAAGGACACAACGTAGAACCACTTGCTAGGCCAGAGGCAATAGACATTAATCCTTCAAAAGACAACAATACTTTGCAGACAACATTGGGCCAACCAGATACCCCTCGAAAGATGTCAAATTCCCAACCGATTCCCTTTGCGAGGCTGCCCGTACTGATTTCATGACCCATCAGCTTCGGGACTCAAGGCCCTCACCAGTCGCTGCAGTTCATCAACCTGCTCCTTCAGCTGTCTTATCTCGACGACATCGGCGTCGACCTCGACCACAGGCCGTGAGGACTGGACCTTTTTGTCCCACCCCTCGGACTCGAAATTCAATTCGCCGGCCATTTCCTCCCATTCCTCGATTGTGTCATCATCTTCTTCTCCCCGACTCCTGTTACTTCGTACCGTGCGCGCATCCATAGACTCCAAACCAGCTGTGATCAGCAAGAGAGGCGAGTAGATGACGCCCATGACATAGTTATTCAATCGTTCATAGCGATAAGGGTCCATCCACCATTCGAATGGGATGATCAAGAAGATCAACTCAATCAAATTGAAAGGCGCGATGAAGACGTTTTCGTCGGGGGCACGCACGAACTGTAATGTCTTTTGCGCAAACATAGCCATGTACTCATCGATCGCGTTCTCCGTGATATCTTCGTATGCACTGTTGTATAATGCGATCAGGATGTTGAGCAGGATCACCATCACGACGAACGTGAATATGTAATATAGTATCAGGCCAAAGGGGTGAGCATAGTTATCAAAGCCTTCGAAGTCGGGTGACTGCATGACGGAATTGGCCATGGCGGTGATGATGAAGCTGGTGATACTGCTATTTCCCTCGACTTGGTTAAGGCCGATGAAAGCTTGCAGAAACCCCACGCAGACAACCAAGAGAAGGGCAAAGAAGATGAGGGATTCGCGCATCATGACTTTCAACACAACCAGCATTGCGCCAAAGAAGCGGAATGTGTCCAGATACAGGAGGAGACGGCCCCAGAACATTGGAGCGGCAACACAGAATATGTGATAACCCAGTCTGTTGAGTTGGCGGCGCTTGTCGTCATTCTCGTCGGGGGAGTGGCCGAGAGCGGTCATGCGGATAATGAAGGAAGCCGTAAGCAGGGCGTAGAGGCAGTTGTTGAAGGCGTTCCAGAAGCCAAAGTACCAAATGCCGACTTTCCAAAATTTACCGATTTCGTCACAGATGAAGCCTAGAGTCATCACATAGAGAATGCCCTCGACGACATCGAGGTCACCGTCTTCGTTCACAGTATTGACCGCTCCGGTGTACAGAGCTAGATAGAGAACAGATATCGTGATTTGGAGGGCGTTCTGATACAAGGGAGTGCGCATGCGGTCGGGGTTGAGATGGACCCAGTAATTTGTGTTGTCGCGGTCTTTGTAGAAAACAAACCTGCCGGGGTCTTTGTCATCCTGGTGAATCCAGCCTCTCCAAAGGTACTTGATGCATTTCTGGTAGCCAGACGAGCCAATGACGATCAGGCAGTGCAGGTCGACCGCTCTCTCAATGACATTTGCTGGGGCTGTCTCCTCTTCTTTGCGGATGACCGAGTAGCGCTTGAGAAGAATCTCTTGCATCAAGTACTCCTGGTCATCCTCAGCCTCGATGATGCGTTTGGCGATCATCTCGCAGGCCACTGCACGGACATGGTGTAAGTCTGCATCCCAGAGCTCCAGGTTGGCTTGTCTGGTGAACCATCTCTTGCACACAAGCAAGCAATACACCACGCATGCCGCATTGTCACTCCCGCCGGCCTCTTTGGCAGTCTGCACCACCTTCTGAGTGATGACAGGGCTGTTGGCAGCGACGATTTTCTCTTCAGGGAGCTCGATAGGAATGACTTCCTCGATCTGATACTTCAACCGGAGGGCGACTTTGGTGACTTCTTTCGGCGGCAGGGCAGATGGCGGGAGGTCGCTGCTGTGAGTGGGAAGCACTGCTCAGAATTAATATGCATTTATGCCACAGGGTAGAAGTCTAGCTTACATCTCCGTGTCTCACCGTGGTGATGTGGTGAATCCCTTTCACGAGCTCCGAAGAGAAGCGTCCCCCATTTGACCATGGTCTTTTTGGGTGCTATGACGTAGCTTGCGCGCTTCGAGTTGGAGAGCTTTCTTGGGGAGAGAGGGCAGGATGCCTGTTGATCAATGCCGACTTATCGAGACTCCTTCGCTCTCAAACACACTGAAGAAGGATGCAGAGGCAGATAGAGAGAGAGATCGACAGTTTCACCACGGACGAGGATTGAGCTGCATCTTGGACATCAAGCTTTTGAGTTCTGTTCAGCCACTCGATGTGACCTCTTGCCCAGAAGCTCCCCGCACCGCAGCCAAGCAGTGCCAAGGTGAGCGAAAACTTGCTTGCGCCTCATAGATCGGGCCTAGGATAGTGCCGCCCTAGTGGAGGGAAAGATAACCGAAGAAGCTCCCGAAATTGGCTGTTCATCCTCATCACTCAATCAATGTCAGAGCTCTCTATGTAAGGGTAAATACCTCGTACCATCCCCAGTCAGCGCCGGTCTCTTCAATCCGCGCTGTCCATTCCAGTCCAGTCGATGTATATCAACTTTACCATTCCCGCAGCTCCCCGCCAGGCCCTTTGAATGTGGGGAATCTCCATGATTTGGTACCGACCGCGGACTGCCTTACACGCTCCTCATCGACCTCGATGCCCAGTCCCGGCCCGTCCATCATGTCAATCATGCCGTCCTTGACCGTCCACACCTCGGCATTCTTGGTGTAGCCCTTCAAGTCGCCCTGTCCCACCGACAAGGTCTGGTTCGGATCTAGAATCATCTCCTGAATGGAAAAGTTGGCGCTGACGGCATTGACTTGGAAGTTTGCCGCCAGGGCGATCGGTCCGAGCGGGCAGTGCGGCGCCAGAGAGATGTCGTAGGCCTCGGCCATGGTGGCGATGCGACGAAGCTCCGAGATCCCCCCAGCGTGGCTGATGTCCGGCTGCAAGATGTCCACTTTGCCCAGCTCCAAGAACGGCTTGAACGCCCAGCGGCTGTGTAGTCGTTCGCCCAGCGCGACGGGGATCGTGGTGTCCAGCCACCGAAATCCTTCTGGGTGATCCGACAACAGCGGCTCTTCGATGAACAGGGGTTCGTGAGGCTCCAGCTTGCGTGCCAACAACCTCACCATGGGTTTGTGGACGCGGCCGTGGAAATCCAGTCCGCAGTCGACACCCGTCGCCTTGACCGCTTTCAATCGCTCCACCGCATCGTCCAAAGCCGCGGGAGAATCCACCCAGCCGAGACCTTCGGTTGCCGTCATTTTGACCGCTGTGAATCCTTGCTCCTTTCTGACCAGGCTGCACGACAAGACGTCAGCGATGGTCTAATCTTGGGGGTTGGGTACACATACGCATGTTTGGCGCAAGCAGCAGCATTCTCGCCTCGGACCCAGGTGTAGACCTTGATTTTCGAGCGGACTTTGCCCCCCAGGAGCTCATAGATGGGCACATTCAATCTCCGTGCTACACCAAAAGAATCAATACCCGACGTGCTGCCTCCGCTCTGCTTGAGGATTGGTATGCATTACTCACCCTTTAAATCCCACAACGCGATATCAATGCCCGCCAGAGCGCTCATAATGACCGGTCCACCTCGATAGAAACTTCCCCGGTATGCATGTTGCCATATATTTTCAATCTCACTGCGTATGTAACGTCAGCCCTTATAAGAACAACAGTAAAGGGGACACACGCACTTGGCTTCCATCCCCACGAATCGTTCCCTGAATCCTTCCAAACAGCCCTCTACGGCTTCTGAATTACCCTCCAAGGACGCTTCACCCCAGCCTGTCTTCCCATCTGAATCGGTGATCTTGACGAATATCCATCGTGGAGGAACGCGAAAGTATTCAATCTCCTTGATTGGTGCCATTCTTGTTCCCAGGGACGAGCTTGACGGGTTGCACTCCTAATACGAAAGTTCTCTTTATAGAATATTTGGGGACCCCATGTTACTAGTATTAAGGGTCAACCTCTTGACCGGGGAATTAGCGGAATCCCCGCACGACCGGCCCAGGATGCGAAGCAAGCCGCGAGGGCAAAGGCGACGTCGACGTCAAGCCGGCAGTTGTACATTCAGAAGAAGTGCCGTCTGTACCGAGTACGTACCCGATACTGAGGACGCGCCTCAGAAACCCCTGAACCGAGGGTCATAACTGCACAGTCTCACCTCAAAGGAGGACTTCACGATTTGCACGCAGTAGAGCAGGTTAAGGATGACAGGGTGAGTACAAAGTCGAGAGGGAGGCAAGTCGGTATAAAAGCGGCACGCCCGCGGTGAGTTGCACTGCCACCCAAGCGTGGCTAAGGCTACGACACGGTGCACATGATCCGGCCGACTTGCCCGAAGTTGTCGACACCTTGAACATCTCATTCTGACTTAGCCACAGACTAAGCCCAAAGAGCTCAAGTAAACGAGCTCGCCAATCACCGAAGGGTATACGGCAAGGCTGTGGATCCAATCCAGATACATGCCTCCGGCAATTTCGCTGTCCTGCTTTCACCAATGTTCTCATCCAATTCTCCATCTGAGATCAAGTACTGTCCTGCTCAATGTCGACGCTGGTCTGCATGCCTCCAGGCGATTAGGGAATACTCAGTACTATGATCCCCGTCTTCTCCAAATCGAGCTTATACAGGACCCCTAGCAAAGCCAATAACTGCTCCACATTCGCAGCGATATGCAACCAAGACGTGCTGGTCACGAGAAGTCCAAAAATGGTTGCTTGACGTGCAGAATTCGCCGGGTGAAGTGTGACGAGTCGATCCCCTATTGCCAGAGGTGCACCCAAACAGGCCGCAAGTGCGAAGGTCCGGTTGTTCGCGAAATCCGGTTCGTTCAGAACAAGCCGGCCAGCCAGTCGAGCACTCCGAGTCCGCCGCGGGCGGTTTCTCTCCTCGCTCCGCAACACACTGTGGACGAACGTCGTGCATGGCACTACTTCCTGTACGGCGCGGCGCCGGCATTTGCGGGGACCGTCGAAGCGACCTTTTGGCAAGACCAAGTCCCTCGACTCGCTCACATGTTTGACTTTGTCTGGGATACGGTTGTATGCCTCAGCTCCCTGTCCGAGCACGTTCCATATGTGCCACCTACCGCCGCGTCTGACCCAAGGGGTCTGACAAAACCCGCCAACCGAAAGCATCGACAGGCACTGAGATACTACCACAAAGCGATTGTGAGCGTCCGACGGCTGGCCGAGCGAGGGCAAATAGATGACTCTATCGTCGCCTTGAGCTACATCCTATTTGCCTCGGTGGAATACCACCATCGGAACGTCACCGTCGCGAAAGATTTGATGAAAAGGTGTTCCCGAATTCTCACCGACAATCTCAGGTCTCTTGACAGCCGACCGAGCTCGACCGCAGGCCAGGCCGTTCATCAGATGGTCGCATCATTCGTGTTGAAAAAGGTCATCGTGGGCGCCACTATAGGAAGCGGTCTTTCGTCCCGCCTGTCTGTCGATGACGAGACTGGCGATGTCTTCGGGACAGCACAGTCCAGGTCCCCTCTGCTCGAGGCTAGAGTCCAGTTTGATCGTCTGATGAACCAGTCTTACGAGGTGATCAGACACGCGGATTTTCTTCCTCACGTTGACGACGAGGAGCCGCTCAAGATACAGTTCTTGTCGCGGCGACTGTCGTTGTTGGACGACTTGCTGCGATGGAAAACCGCTTTCACGGCTAATACAGGAAGCCAGACGCCGGATCTGGAGAACGATATGATGACATCGTATCTCTTAATGTATTGGGCAGTCTGCTACGTCTCTGTGGGAGCATGCCTCAGCCCTCATCAGACCGTATACGACACCTGCATGGACCACTTTGCGGACATCGTCGAGCAAGCCACGTTCTGCCTCCGGCAGGCCGCCCAGTACCCAAAGGCTCAACGACTCCTATCGACCTTTGACCCCGGCCTCATCCCACCATTGTACTTCTGCGCAACGAAATGCCGGGACCCGACACTGAGACGAGCGGCGCTATGTCTAATGCGTCAGGCTCCAGAGGAAGACAACTCCTGGGTATTTGTCGAGCCCGATCGCGTGGTGGCCAAAGTCATCTCGATCGAGGAGGGCGAATGTCAGCTCTCCTGCTCGACGGACTTGCCACAGTCTCACTATGCTAGCCTCTTGCCGCCCGAAGAGCGTCGCTTTGCCTATGTCAGCGTTGTGGGCCGCGAAACGCCGACCGGGAAACGGCGCCAGGCTCTCGAGCTGAGCAGGTTTGAATACGCGGTTGATGGCTCGAGAAGGCTGGTCCACGAATACGCCTGGCTGGACGATGTGCAGGAGGGTTGATTCGATGCGGAGCGTGAGGGACCACCCCCACACTGGCACATGAGGTCTGAAGGCCTTCGTCAGGCGCCCTCGATGGGATTACGATATGTTGTCCCTTGACCCAATATCAGCGAGGGCCTGAGATTTATCTCAGCCACATTTGACACAACTGAACAAGCCACCACATCAGCTCCGTCGAGTCTATAAGCAACCAAAGTGTAGCTTGAGGACAGCGATATACAAAGATGACAAGGCTCCTGTGGCGTTCGGCGCCTGACACGAGACAAAAAGGATTATTGTTGGGGGAGAGAATCAGATCAGTAAACATAGATTCCAGAGTCCGTTTTCCATGGCAAGAGATGGATCGGGAGTTGTGAACATGTATGTGGAACGAATCCAGGCCGAAGGCAAGGAGACACACCGGGGAACCTTGTTGGACCATGTCAGGGTAGTGCCTCGATTCCCTGCCTCACGGCAAAAAGACGGAGTATCTCGCCAGTAGTGGCGGATTTTTAGGCACCAAACTCGCAAAGTAGATAAAGGTTCTGTCAGACGGCAGTTCCTGACAGACCATCAGTTGTTCCACAGTTGGCACGCAGGGCGAGTGTCGGTCTCTAAATGGGGGTATGGTCGGGACGGCTTCTCATCAGTCGACAGGGACTCCGCATCAGCAGCATCCCTTCCTTTTCTTGTAGGTTCGGTCATCTAGGTACGTAGTCAGTGCACGGCCGATGTTCTGAAGCGCTGAAGTGCGAAGACATGATCCCTGACGGTCTTTCTCAAGTAGTTAGGAGGTAGAAGGGGCACCCCTTCTCGAGATATCAGCGCAAGAACATGTCGGGATGACAATCTCAACTCAAATTTTGCGCTACTCGCTAGACAACATCTTCTATCGAGACCTTCCTATTTGAAATGGAGGACAAACACAGATCGTGCTGAATCCCCTATTGCGCCTCCGAGCAGCAAACTTTTGCGATCATAGCAGAGAGGGTTTGCCATGGTGCGCTGCAATATCAGCTTCGCGGGCGCCACGTCCCTCCCCAGAGACAGAGGTATCTCGGCAGTGTCTGGCTTTGGATCATAATGCCGTCGCAGGACAATACCGCGACGGACTCGTAGGCCTCCAAAACTGGATCAACTCCGATTGCAGCGCTGATAGCGGAGCCACGAGCGATTGTAGCAAGGGTGGGTGGTTTGGTGCTCTTCGTTCCGCCCGGTATTCGTCTGCGCAGCAGCGGCGTACTGAAGCCATTCAGGATCCAGTGGGTCCCCGGAAATCAAGGCACGCCCTTTTCAACTCTGTAAACAAACTGTGGTGTTTATGCGACCTCAGGCCCTTCATCACTCTCGCTCACATCTTCATCACCGCTAACCTCCTCGTTCTCCCGCGCTCTCTTATCCATCAGTGCCTGCAACTCGGCATCATCATGCTCTGTCACGGCTTTAGGGGCCATCTTGACCACACAAGCACCCCCTGCTTCCTTGATGTTGTCATCGATATCCTTAATTGCTTGTTCCAGTAGTTGAATGCCCATTCCTTTGTCCAAACATTGGCTGGTGAGGACGTAGTGTGGAGGAGACACCAGCTTCACCTTGACTTGTGTTTCCGCAGAGTTTCTTGACTCAGCTTGCCTCAGTGCTGCCTTGACAGCATCGATGCCGTCGTACTTGAAACAGGTCACCTCCACGTCAGCTCGTACTTTTGTCGGATGCGGCGTCAGTTTCTTGCTGATGTACGTGAGCAACTCCTCCTTGACGACCTCGTTGGGGAACGTCACGTCATTCCACACATCAGGGTTGGTGATGGAGAGCTTGAAAGCATCGTTGGCGTGACCATATTTTCGGTTGAGCGGCCAGCCAATATCCTCGTATAGTTTCAGGATGGGTGTCTTCGTCTTTTCGGCAACGTGCCGCATGATGGAATGGACCGACTTGCTCTTGTTGTACCGTTCCTCACATCGCACAATATCTTCGGCAGAGACTCTTCGTTTGGACAGGTCGATATAACCCTTCTCTTTGTCTACTCTAAGGACCACCACAACTTCATTGCGACCGATGCGGATGAGTTTTTGTATGGATCTGATACGTCTCCGCGAGAGTTCGGAGAGAAGGATCATGCCATCGATGTTGTCGTACTCTAGGAGCTTGACGTAGGCACCCATTTCTGCAATCTGTTGTGAGGTTTGTCAGGGCTACTGCCAACATGACACAGGCACCAAATTGCCACCTACCTGTTTGACATTCACCATCACAAAACTGTCGATCTCCGGGTATTTCTCCTCGTAGAACCGACAATTCGTCAACGAATTCGGGTCCGACATTTTGACGGTGTCAATTCAGAGAAAGGCGTGCTTCGCGAGGCCGATGGTATCTTCCCAATCGCTGAAAATGGGTTTAGGATCCCTGCGTGAGTAAAGATGAAGGAAATAATAGTTGTGACTCGATGGCGTGTCGGATCGCATGTGCGGGCAACTTCTGGGCTGAATTCACTTCTGCGGGCGGGCGCCCAAACTTTTGCGCCAAGCCGGTGGCCTCTTCCCTTTCTGGTCTAGGGTCTCGCTGCCTAACTGCACTGTAGGGATGAGGCTCTTACAGACGGCTCTACAACTGCCCCCCTCATCATCACTGCGCCCTACGTATCCTTTAGACCACACCTATTCGAGGTCGAACAACCCAGTCGCTCCGCCGAAGACTGAGGTTTCATTTGCCGCGCTACTCCCGTGTATCAAAGAGCGCCTGCTAGCCTCGCCGCGCAAGTTCGCCAGCTCCAGTCTGCAAGAAAGATGCAGCCGTCGACGAAGCGGATACTCGTGTACCAGCTGCTTCCCGTGCGGCCGCCCACAGCTCTGCCATTGCTCAGCTCGATTCTCTCCCAGCTGCGTCCGGTGCTCTGCATACTTGGTCGTTGACCGCGCACGAACCCTTACAGCGTTGTCTTCTTCGAAGCCCGTTGCAGTCGCACCAACTCGCAAGGCTGCCATATCCCTCCCAGCTTTGAATCCCCTTTGCCCCTCTGATGAATGCACGTTACTGAGTTGACGGCGTCGTACCTCGCAGGTCGTTTGCAGCCCCCGCCGCTTCGAACCAGCCCATCGCTCGAGGCGTACGTGCCCAGGCCTTTCCTGTACACGTACAAAATTCCCTTCCTCGGCGTTCCCTCTTCCTGTACTCGTGCTTGATTATGCCATGGGGAGTGCTGTTAAGAATAAGCTGGATACCCCCCGTGGCGAAGAGGTAGTCACATTGGAGCCAGGAGCTGAGAAAACCGGCCTGGATGTGCAACGAATGTACTGTTTGGACCAGGGCTATGCGTATATTTCAAGGAACAGTGGACTGCTCCTACTGAAAGACAAGGCTTCGCCTTGAATGAGACTATTCTCGCTTGTGGTCGCGGAGGCTATCTTGCTTTGATCCCGCCGCTTTATTTCGCTTTGGTTGTGCAGTGTCGCCCAGTGAGGTCATTGTACTTAGCCTCGGATCAAATATTATCCAGCTCTGCGGCTCACGTGCCCCCTCTCCAGCCAGTCAAGCCTTCGCTAATGCAAGCGCAAACCCCACGTCATTTGAAATTCAACCCGCATCACTTCCTTCCGTGCCAGTTTGGTCCCAGCTGATTGGATTTGCGAGGCAAGAATGGCCTCCGGGATCAGCTTTCCACAGTCCTTTGTCGCCAACGCCAACGCGTTCACACGCTCTAGACCAAACATTCCATTCGCTTTCAGATCCCATTCCTGATCTTCGTTCGAGCCCCTCACCCAGCTGCGAACCCTTCTCACCCGCAAGAGACTCCTGCCCTCAATTCCAGGGTGCCTCTCAGACCTTTTTGTCCGAAATATGACATGAGATCGCCTCCCGCCTCTGGCTACCCTGCGCCTCGTTGACTCCGCTCGCAATGGCAGACTCCAGGTCACCTTGCATTCGTTCTTCAGACCCTTCCACTTCTGCTCGGCGGGTGTCTCAGCAAAGTGTCCGATTTGCAGACGCAGACCAATATGCACCTCTCATTCCTAGCCGGCTGCGGGAGACCACGATTCTCTCCCCCGAAGACAAGATGACAAGATCCAGGTCCCGTGAAGATACAAGTGACGAGGAAAATCAGCGTCTCCCCCCGCCGACCTTGAACTTGGCGGCCGACGAAAATACACCTCTCATTGCTGAACCGGAACCTTTGGTGAACGAGGAAGGGGACAGCGTTCAAGGAGAACTCGTCGAACCTTCGACGCAGTCGCTACATGCTCGGAATAATGCCCTGGGGAACTATCACCACAGCCGTCTTTGTGGCCTCATGAACTGCGATCACGGAACGTTTTCTCCCAGAGCTCCTTCGGTCGAAAGTGAGGGGAGCACCAATCTCTCCTTCGGTGGTCGATACGCCGATGACATGGCCGCCGATGGCAGTCCACGGGACCCGGTCCGCGGCATCCTGGGCGAGGCTGTCACCGACACTCTTGCACCGAGTAAGAGCCTGAGCACGACCAGATGGCTGGCCGAAAGACACGGGATTAAGAGCCACCGATACATGTACTTCTCCTACTATTTCCCTTTCGTCAAGTGGGTCGGTCAATACCGCTGGAGCTGGTTCCAGGGTGATCTGGTCGCTGCTCTCACCATGGCATCCTTTTACATCCCGATGTCCCTCTCATACGCTGCAAACCTTGCACACATACCCCCAATCAATGGGCTTTATTCGTTTGTCTTCAACCCGTTAATCTATGCATTCTTGGGTACTTGCCCGCAGATGGTCGTTGGGCCTGAAGCAGCAGGGTCTTTGCTGGTTGGCCAGGTGGTCAAGACATGCATTGACAGAGGCGAATCCCAGGATGACGATTCTAAGCTCAATGCTGAAATCGCCGGCGTGGTGACTGCAATGGCAGGAGGCATCATCTTCGTCGCTGGCCTGGCAAGGCTTGGGTTTCTCGACAGCGTCCTCAGTCGACCTTTTCTTCGAGGCTTTATTAGCGCCATCGGGTTCGTCATCATTGTTGATCAGTTGATTCCCGAGTTGGGCCTCGCCGAAGCCGCGAAAGAAGCGGAGGGCGTGTCACACGGGAGCAGTGCTCAAAAGCTGGCATTCCTGGGTAGGAACATCGGAGATGCTCACGCTTTGACTGCCGCAGTCTCTTTTGGAGCCTTTACCGTCATCATGGTTTTCCGGTAAGTTGTGACCAGATAAAGCCTTGTCTAAGCTCTGACATCACAGGTATCTCAAACAACAACTACAGCCCAGATATCACTGGGTAGCATACTTTCCTGATCGCTTCCTTGTAGTCGCTCTCTCGGCAGTTCTGGCCTGGGCATATTCTTGGGACAAGCATGGCCTCGATGTCCTTGGTGAAGTCAAATCATCTGGTGGAACGGCCATCCCATTCCATTGGCCCTTCCAGTTCCGGCATATGAAACATATCGACACGGCCTTGAGCACGTCCTTCTTGATTGCATTACTGGGATTCTTCGAATCGTCGGTCGCGGCCAAGGGCCTCGGAGAAGGGGGCCAAGTCAAGCACATGACGCTCAGCGCGAATCGAGAGTTGATTGCTTTGGGCACTGCGAACATTGCAGGTGGCTTCTTCATGGCTCTGCCTGCGTTCGGTGGTTATGGACGGAGCAAAGTGAATGCGGCGACCGGAGGCACCACCCCGATGAGCAGCATTCTCCTCAGTCTCATCACCTTCATCTGTGTGTTGTTCGTCGTTCCTTATTTCTACTACCTCCCCAAGGGCGTTCTTTCGGCCATGGTTTCGGTTGTCGCATACTCTCTGATCGAAGAATGCCCTCACGACATCAAGTTCTTTGTCAAGATTAGAGGCTGGACAGAGTTATCGCTGATGACGATCATCTTTGTGGCCACGGTTTTCTATTCTCTGTCGGTCGGAATGGCCCTCGGCATTGGCCTGTCCCTGTTGGCCTTGATCCGTCACGCCACGAAGCCTAGGATCCAAATCCTCGGCAAAGTGCCCGGGACGGCAAATCAGTTCGAGAATGCGGAACTTACACCCGAGAATATAGAGTATATCGAAGGTTGCTTGATCGTCAAGATCCCTGAGCCGCTCACTTTCGCAAATACGGGAGAACTGAAAAACCGACTCAGACGGTTGGAGCAGTACGGCACCAATGCTGCTCATCCTTCATTGCCACGAGTGCGCCACGAGGATAATAACCGCAATATCATCTTTGATGTGCACGGCGTCACCACCATTGACGGATCTGGAACTCAAGTATTTACTGAAATCGTGGAAGATTACGTAAAGCGCGGCATTCGTGTTATCTTTTGCAGGTTACCTCAGAGACGGAGTCAAGTTTACAAAAGTTTTGAGAGGAGCGGCATTGTTGGGTTGGTTGGCGGCACGAGACACTTTGTGGGCAGTGTGGAGGAGGCGTTGAGGTTGAGTGAAGCAGAGGATTTGGAGGAGTATTTCGACGAGAGGTTGACCGGACATCAAGAGCATCAGCATCACTAGAGCGCGGAAAAGATCCAAAGGAGAACTGGGATCAGAGGGTGAACGGACATCGGCGTATCAGCATCAGCATCAGCATCATTAGAGCGAGAGCGACGGGCTACAACTCGCGGTTACATAGTTATGGTTATATTCCTAAAAGCATGGCGCGGTCTGGCATGATCTGGCACGGTCGGGAGGTGAAAAAGAGGCACTTTGCCACGGAGACTCGGTTTGTCTCCTGTTAGCTGCAGATACATTCGTTGCAACCTACACACTCGATCACTGCGCGAGAAAACAAGAATGGCCTTTCTCAGCGACTTGATTGTTTTCATCTTGACTTTGTCCTTCGCTTTCCTCGTGCAATCCGCCTCTTCAGCCGTTCATTTGCCCCTGCACAGAAGGGGAGGTCGTTTCTCGTACCACGAGTCGGCGAACCTGACCTACCTCGCGTCAGTTGTCCAAGATGTCGAAGCAAAATATGCGCGCAGCTACCGTGCAATCGAAGGGAATCGCTTGGTGCGCAAATGGCACGCAAGCGGGTGCAAGGATGAGAATGACCCCGATGTGATTGATGTCGTCGGCGGGCCGAATCGATGGTATGGGGGAGCATCATGATTCTGTTATGTCTTCGAGGATGGAGCGGGAGATCACTGACCTCGGTGTCGACGAGTCACAGGTACACGACGATTGAACTGGGCCACCCACGGCAGAGATTGGAGGTCGACGTCGACATGTTGCGTCCCGATTTCTACACGATCACAACGGCAAGCAGCACGGGGTCCAGGTACGAAACGTCTGCGTCGCAAAGCTACGGTAGGTGAAGGAGGAAAGGTGAATGCCGAGCTTGTGCGCTTGTTTGTCCCTGACCCGACAATCAGGACTCAGTCACGACAGAGCGCATCCGATCTGCGTCCGAGCCAGTGACGAGTTCCACTTCTCCCCCAACCTGCGGGCGACGCGCCTCGACTTCCCGACCTGCACGCCGGCCAAGTCGTCACGACTGAGCCTCGTGCGTTCCGGCACGGTCCTCGGCCTCGCGCCGCCGCACGGGGGATCTCTCGCCCGCCTGTCCTCCTCCCCGCTTTTGACGCAGTTGAGAGACCAGCACGTCATCGCCGACGAGGTGTGGTCCGTCACGCTGCTGGACACGGAGACCGGGATCCTCAGCCTCGGCGGCACCGTCGCCAGGGAGGTCGAGGAGGCCAAGATCCGCGGCGAGGTCGAGTTGAAGCACTTTGGCGACGCCGGGGCCACGGCGGAGTGGGTGGGCGAGCAAGTCGACGCGCAGTTGCAGGCGGTCATGCCGAGTGAGACGCCGTGGGAGCGGCACTTCAAGTGGACCGATGTGCAAGGCGCGGCGGGCTGGTGGACGGCTCTGATGAGGGGGGTGTGGGTGAACGGAGCAAAGGTACGTACGTTCCCTTCCTGGCTGGTCACATGACCCGAGACGGGGTGTGTTCGTTTCCTCCTTTTTTGCTAATGTTGGCTCAAAGATCCTCAGGAATCAACCTGTCCTCTTCGACCTCAACGTCCCCGTCATCCTGGCGCCCTCGATCGCGGCCCAACGCTTCTACGACGCGATCGGCGGCACGAAACGCCTGGCCCCGCCCTTCGACGCTTTCTTCGCCTTCCCGTGCTTCAACCAGGTCAACCTCGCGCTGGAGATCGCCGGGCTCAACCTCCCCGCCATGCAGGGCCAGGGGACCTGGGCGGACGGCCTGCACGGCCCCGCGGGCGGGCGGTTCAGCCTGGGCAAGCTGGGCGACGGGTCCGGGTACTGCGTGGGCAGCGTGGTGGAGACGCGGATGGGGCAGAGGCGGGAGTGGCTCGACAGCGGCATGAAGGACGTGTGGGTGCTTGGGGAACCCTTCTTCCGCGGACTCGGGGTGGTCTTTGATATGGACAAGGGGAGGGTCGGGGTCAGGGTGTATTGAGAAAGGGAGGAGGTGAGAAAGGGGCACGCACAGAGACATCAGTGGGTGGATGCGTACGAGGTATTCGAAGGACAATGGATGACAGACACACACATTCCAATAACGGCACCGCGAGGATTGATTCAACGTCCTTGATAACTTTTTTTGCCATCATTCATCATCTTTTTTTGTGTTGTCGCTTTGGTCTTCAACTCCGTTTTGAGACACCTGGCTTCTCTCCATCTCCCAAAGCCTACTTGCTCTCCTTGACAATCTGCTTCAGCGCCTTCTCGTACTCCTCGACCTCCTTGGCGCCCACGAGGGTGATGTCCCTGCGCTTTCCCTCGATCATGATGGTCGGGACGGAATCCACCCCGTTGCCTGCCTGCTGGCGAACCATGCTGCCAAAAGTATTGTATGTCAGCCTCGGTGGGCGGCAAGCTTTGCGGAATTGCCCTCGTAACGACAAAGAACCCTTCCAATAACTTCCCCTTGGGGCAAGAAACTCACTTCTTGACATCCATCATGCCGTCGCTCTTGTCCTGGATGAACGGACGCGCTTCGGATTCGGGAATGCCGGCGGCGGCGGTGGCCTGGAGCAATGTCTCGTCCGACGACGGGTGTCTCTCGTTCTCGAAGTACTGGGAGTAGAGCGCTGTGATGGCGATCAACCCGATTCCCCCGCGGAGAGGGTGAGGCAGAGACCGTGTGCTGGACCGTCTCTCTGGTGGGACTTACAGTTGATGATTTTGTCGGCCGTTTCGGGGCCCTTTTCTTCCTGGAAGTGCTGGATCACGCGATGCGCGTCCATGGTGTTGGCGACGGTGCCGCCGAACTTGAAGTTGATGCCGGCCGAGACGCCATACGCGGTCATCAAGGTCATGTACTAACAGGTGATATGGATCAGCTTTCGGGGGGGGGGACGTTTGAGTACCCCAGGGGGAGACTGCAGATACCATCTTCATCTTCTCCTCGGAGTCGCCATAGCGGGACTTCTTGTACCAGTCATACTTGTTCTCCCCTTCCGCGGTGGCGTCGGGATTCAGCTGGTAGGGAAAGTACTTTACGACAAAAGTCACGTCCTTTGCATCGTCACTCTGCCGGAATCGACGGAGGGCTGTTTGACCAAGTCAGGCGGCATTCCCAGTACGTCCACCGCAGGGAACCTCCAACTCCCAGGGGAAGAGAACAGACCTTCGTCAAGCCTGCCAACTCACATTACATGGTGCGAGTCAGTCACGCCAACTCCCTCTCTCCTGGTCGTTACATGGGGGAGCCGGGCAAAAATGGCCATGGGAAGAACTAAGAAGAAAGAAAAGACTGTATACCGTCGCTTGGCCAGATACGTCCTGTGAGACACACATGATCAATCAGCCCGGTTTTGACCAAGACGAACACACACCACCCCCCCTCCATTGCATTGGTGGATTGGCAGACGGGCGGTAGATTTTCCAGGATGACGGTTGACAGGATGCATGTCTCACCACGGGCAAATGGTGTCCAAGGTAAAAGATATCTGTGCTTCGTACGTCATTGCTGTTGGGAGGGCTTTGCGTAACAATGGGCTTGGTTGCAGAGGCCCAACTGGTAAGTCTACGGAGGACAGGTTTCAATCTTGCACCAAAACAAGAGGGCACGAGGATCAGGGTTTGGGCTGCAGGTGTATTGTTGCTGCCTTGGGAAAATTGGAAACCAATCTGATGATGATGATGGTGGTGATGCGGAGGAACGGATGGGCGAATTAGTGATCAAGTTGAGTCTCCCTCTCCTTGCCAGCCACGTGATCCATTGTCAGCATACAAATGCACGTGACTACACTGAGCTCCGGAGAATTTGTTATTGGTAAAAAGCCAAAAACAAAAAGTCAGAAACAAAAGGGGGCAGCTGTACAAGTCCTGCAATCAAATCCATCCGACGAACCATTTGCCGCATCTCGAACATGCCATAGCTGAAAGATCCAGAAAAAAAAAAGAGGGATCTCGCCCACAAACCGAAGGCTGGGGGGGGGGGGGCAAACACCCGTCAGCCTCCTTGTTGGCCAGGTCACCGAGAAGCCCATCAAGCAAGCCATCAAGCCATCAAAGCCACCAAGCCTCCCCTGGATGCCCTTGCCAGCTGTGCCAAGTGGTGGCCAACCGACTCCGGTGTCCGGCTATATAGCTCCAGAGGTAAGCGACCCCGAATCTGACATCTCCCGTTCGCTCGCTTCGTCCAGGGTACCCCCTTGCACCTGGTCTAACCACGTCCAGCCATCCAAAACATGATCCGTGGTCCAAGGGCTTCCCTGCTCCTTAGTGCAGTTTCACCTTGAATCCAGCCTCTTCCTGCTTGGCCGAGCCTTGACGCCCTCCACCTATCCCCCATCACCCCCCTAACCAAGCATACTGTGCGATGCGAGTATACAGTCGTGGGCCAATCCGCAAGGGGGCAAACAGGCTGGGCGGCAGCACCCCGTTCGCCCATTCCGTCCCAGCCCAGTTTGCTCTCTCCCTTTTCTATACTCCACTTGGCCTGATCCCTGACGACAATGCCGCCCACGCCCACTTGGTCTAGCAGTCTTTGTCCATACGGCGTCATAGTAGTCCCGATCCTGCCTCCTGAATAGAGCCACTAACCCGGCCGGATAGCCAGTTAGGCTTTTCCCAGTCACACTCATACGGGGGGTACACAGCCTGAACTGTCAACCTCTCCTGTTGTGCATGACGTGCCTCCTCTCCCCTTTTGCAAAGTATTTGAATCCCCTTCCTGACCGTTGCATTGTGTTCTTGTTTCTCATCTTGCACATCATTCACTCTTCCCAACGATCAGCAGTCCTTCGTTGAACAAAAAGGTCAATCGTTTCTAAACAAGATTCAATAACGCATAATCCCTCACCCCCCTCGACAATTATACTATAATACATCCTACCCCCACCAACACCATGAAGTCAGCAGTTGTTCTAGCTTTTGCTACACTCGCCGTCGCAGCTCCTGGCGGCGGTCAGGGAGCCGGATGGGGTTCTGGCGGCGACAACGGCAATGGCCAAGGTCAATGGGGAGACCAAGGTGGCAAAGGTGGCCAGGGCGCCGGTGACAGCGGAAGCTGGGGAGACTGGTCGAGTCAAGGCGGAAACGGAGGTCAGTGGAATGACTGGACATCATCATCACTAGCACCATCCCCCACGACTACTTCCCTTCCCCCTCCCCCTCCTCCCGTCTCTACCACATCCCAGTGGGAGGAGTGGAGTTCGACGACGACGACGACGACAAAAACCACTACCACTACCACTACCACTTCCAAGCTCACCCCCGTTCTCGAGACGACGACCAGCCATTGGCAAGATTGGACGAGTACTAACTCTGTGCCTCCCGCTCCAGCTCCCGAGAGTTCCAAGTGGCAAGATTGGACGACCTCGGCGCCGCCAGCTCCCATCACCACTTCTTCAGTTCCTCCGGCGCCAGTTGTGACTTCATCGTCTCATTGGCAGGACTGGACTTCTTCCGCACCACCAGCCCCCATCGAGACCAGCTCGTGGGTTGAATGGACGACCTCTTCGCCTGCGGCACCGGTGGAAGTGAGCACTTCCCATTGGCAAGATTGGAGCTCGTCCGTCGCGCCCATTTCCACGACGACTTGGGGTTACTGGACTTCTGCTTCCCCCGTCGCGCCGGTCATCGAGAGCACCAGCTCGTGGGCCGACTGGTCCTCCAGCGTCCCTGTCGCTCCGGCTTCCAGCAGCTCGTGGAGTGATTGGTCTTCCACGGTTCCGATCGTTACTTCCACACCGACGCCCGTGGCTCCCACGACTTCGACATGGGCGACCTCCGTCCAGTCGACGACACCTGTTGCTCCGATCGCCAGCCAGTTCACCGGCGCCGCTGCACCGGTAGCCACCGGCGGAGTCAAGATTGCTGGCGCCGCCGCCGCCTTGATGGTCGCCGCCCTGCTTTAGAAGCGGGAACACATCACCATCGCTACCCTCGACCACACTCAAAACGACAGAACCCCCCCGTCTCTTCGACTCTCGTTCCCAACACGTTTGGCGGGACAGAATCGCGATCGATTCGGGTCTTGTTCATTTCGCTTTCTTGTTTGGAACCAGCAACCACGGCTTGCTTGCTTTGCTTAATGACCCACGACCACTAATGAGAAGAAAAGGGGCACCGAACCCCCCTTTTTCAAAAACACCCACGAGACTCATGATCACTCCTTTACATGAGGATCCCACTGGCTTGGAATCAGGAATCAGGAATCAGGATATTTTGGAGAAACAAAAGGAAGAAACCACCGGATGGATAACAACGGAGAAAAAAAGGAATGGACATTTTACCCCCCATCTGGAGAAGGGGCCACAAATGTGTATGTACGTCAATGTCAAATGTCAAATGTCCAATTGTTCAAACAAACAAACAAACTCAACCCCAAAGGCATCGTTTCAGCAGGAATGGGCACATCATGTCTAGGTTGGGGTTTATGTACGAGAATAGAATCAATAGAGTCTTGAATAGAATAGAAATTGTCAACCAAAACAAATCAAACGACCTTTTTGAATGCACCCCTCCCCCGCACTTGTGATATATATAGAGTGTGAGATGGTGAAGGAGCGTTCGAATCAAAGAGACCATATCAATACGTGATTGTGTTTATGTTTTCCCCTTTTCAATCATGGTCATTTTCCGCCCATCACGAGAAGATATTGTTAAAGTGCAATGCGTGACCCCTTGTAGCGTGGCTGCGAATCGAGTCTGACTGACTCTCGGACTCACTCGGTTCCTTGCTCACAATACTATCCTGAATTTAAGACACACATGACATGTCGCCCTTGGAATCCCGGCCGACGGCATTGAACAGCAAACCGGTCGGCCAAGTCAGTCAGCGAGACAATCAAAACCCGGCCAATGTCTCAGCTGGGGTAGGACGGCAGCTCCGGCGCCAGCACCGGCCGCGCATGCGCCAGCACAAACAGGCATATCGGCCGTTGTTGAGCGGGAGCAGGAATATCCCAGTTACGGGTTGCCACGGCGGAGACGGGCAAAGGGACAAGAATATAAAGAACCACCACGATTGGTCACCTGCCGTCTCGAAGTTGTTGATGTTGTTGATGTGTTGGTGCGGCGGTGGGCGGGCGTTGACGCCGCATCCTCAGCCGCCGCGGCACCGACGGATGGATCATCATTTATCCGGGCTGCGGGGGACTCGAATTTGTGCCATGGACAAGAAGTATAGAGTACCTTTTGTATAAACCGAGAACAGCACATAGCCAACCCTCGAGGTTTGCCCCCCAGTCAGCCAGGCACTCGGATCTTGTATATTCACGGCGCGGGGGAAGGAGTGTGCCACGGTTCTCTGTAATATTCGACCAACGAGACCGACCAGAACAAACTGCGGAGGCTGAGTACAAGATAGTCCATTAGCGGTCCTAGTCAAGTATAGACGTGGAGCGGTTGGCTACTAGCAAAAGGAAAGAAAGAAAGGGGTAATCGCTTGCCAAGCCCTCCCCCTTTCGTACCCTGGTGTATCGTGCGAAAAATCTGTAATATCTCCCTTCGTCAACTTGCCCTTACCGCACCTTTACCTTGGACTTCTCGAACGATCTCTAAGCGTTCCCGGAATCTGTCGGAGCGGTTTGATCTCCATCTCCGCCACTTCATCACACACTTATGTACGTCAAGATCGGGACGATGGGCTCTGTACAGGATACACTTGGATCCCCAAACCGCCCTCTCCATGAACGGTCCTATTAAGCTAGTCCAGTGGGCCCTTTGCGCTGCGCGGGCATCGATTCATATCCACCGGACGACAAATCGATCGGCTATGCTATGCTGTCGACACGGGGTTGACCATGGACGCAGAAGTGAGGTATACAGTTGTCGCACGGCATGGGATGGGTTTACACTACCCATTGTCATTGCGTCATGTAACAGTCCAAATCCCGCATTCTTCACGGAACGATTCGAGGAACAGTGGGATGCGCAGATTAAGGACCACAAAACGATCAAGGTTACTCTTGAGATAGCCACTGGCCTAGACTAAGCCAGGATATAAGCATGAACCTTTCTAGTCTCGTCTCGTCTCGTCTCGTCTCGTGGGCCTGGTGGCAGCGACAGCGGGGCCACCGCTTGGTTACATGGCCCCGCCCCCCGGCCCCGCAACATAATCCTATTAACTAGTAACTTTCGACGTCGACATTTTATTATCCTTATAATAACTACGTACTTTTCCAACCAGAACACCAGGTGGACGTGCTCATCCAAGAAGACATCTCCCACGTGGGGCACCCGATGAAGGAATCCTGGCCCAAAATCCATGTTTCCCAGAACTTGAACGACTCCCGCCGGACCGTGAGGGAGCAGTCTCCTCTTTCACGACTGCGACGCAAAGTGTGCAAAGGAGGAGGGACCTTCCGGCGCCCCCTCCCCGTCCAATACCTGTGATGGCGCAGATCCTGGACGGCACAAACCGTCGTGGCGACAGCGAAATTGCGTCTTCTCAGAACTGTCTTTCCAGGCCAGAGATCAGACCGAAATGCCCGAGATGCCGCCAGCCTCGCGAGGGTCGGAGGTGTTATGCTGACTCTTCCATTGTTGTATGTATGGGGAAACGATATTGGCACTGGTCGCCTGTGGTCTATCACGTCCTATGTTGGCAAAATGGGAACGGGCAGAAAGGAGCCGTGACAGGTATTTTTGAGACAGATCCGTATCAAGTAGGCCGCTAAAGAGCAGAACATGGCTGGCGGCAACGGACACGAGAAAATCTCTCCCACAGAGGCATATCAATCCTGAACACCGTATTCAATTCACTCGTTTAAAGACCTATGCTACTGGAGGCGGCATTCCCAGCGGCAGAACCCATTAACACAGTCGGCACCATCCTTTCACCAACATTTCCAAAGTCGCGCGACCGATGCTCTCAAATTTCCGTTCGCGGCCTGTCGACATTGAATAGGCCAAAGACTCCAGAGGCGTCGAGCTCTGCCGTCTTTCGAATTGGATTTATGCCGTAACCACCGTCGCCATCTTTAACAAACTTTCCGCCTCGTGGAATGATGATTTCATACGTCATCACAATCCCTCTGATCTCGAACTGTACCTGATACTCCAGGTACTTGTATTCTCTCTCTCTTACCGGTGAGGTCCTCGTCTCAAAGAACCTACAGTCGTCCTCCGTGAGATACACTTTGAGCATTCCACAGGGATGGATGCTGCTGTGGCGTGGATGGTCGATCCAAAGTCCATCCTCTGAGATATCATCAGAGTAGAAAATCTGTTCTTCCAGAACCCACCCGGTTTCGGTCTTCTCATCCAGGAACAAGCCACGCCAGCAGCCTTCCGGCCCAAACGCCTGATGGTGGTGTCCAATTCGTTCCCCTATTCGGATCAAAAAGCTGGTGACGTCGATGCGACTGTAATAGCCGTCGTGCGGATCGCGTAGTACTTTGACCAATGGATTCTTTCGATCGCCTGGAAGGCTCTCTTCGTCGATCTTAACGCAATATCCACGTCTAATGACCCTTTCCGTCACGAAACAGCTGTCCATTCTAAGCAAAACCGCCCCTTGAGAGATGCAGGTCGCAGCGCCCATTCCGTCTTTGTCCGTCTCACGAACAGTGATGGGATACGGTGTTGCTTCATTTTTGGGACGGCAATAACGATTCCGGAGCTTGGCTTTTAGGAATGGAGATGAACTGCCACCCCCGACAAGGAGAATCTCCGAGATCCGCGCTCCAGAACCATCGCGAGAGAGTGGATGCCTGGTGTGGAATTTTTCGATCATTTTGTCTATCATGCATGTGATAGGGGTGATCGAAGAGTCGAAGGCATTGGTAACGTCCTCTGCTGATAGGTCCAGGGTATTCCTTCGAAGTCCGATTACGGGGATCTCTGGCAAGCCCGGAATGTTCAACGACAAAGTTTCGCCTGGGGACCACCACCGCTTTTTGTTCTCGAAGAGAGCCTCTATTTCGTTCAGGAACTGATTCTCGTCCATCGATCTGCCATGAGCCCTTAGAGCGTCCAGGATACGCGGCATCATAGGCTGGCACCTTTCTCTGACGATGGCACGGCATGTCTCGTTGACGCGATTACCTCCGCACCATTCGTCGGCGCCTTCAACTTCCTCTCTGACCACGAGAGGGCTTAGCTGAGCAGATGAGTACGCTTGGCAGTCCACCGAGCCGCCGCCGACGTCCACCGCTATCGTACACCCACTCTTGTCAAGAGGTCCATGGGCATCAGTCCTCCTCTGGATGTCGAACGCATAGGCTGCGGCAGGCTCCGCGACAGGCTGGGGTCTGGGGATCTTCGCTCGAACAGCGGCACGAATCGCCAGCTCGACGTGATGCGGCTTACTATCTGCCGGCATGGGCAAGACTGTTTCCACCGCCGTGTACTCGCACGGATCAAAGTGTCGGTATGCTTCCACATCGGATGGGTCTGGCCACGGAAGCTCGGGGTATTGTCCCTTTATTTTGCGTAGAATATACCTCCAGGCATGACCCATAAAGTCAGAGAAGATATCAAGAAACGTCAATCGTCGAGTGTCCCCAGGTCGTAACTCGTCAGAAGCGGAGAACTGAATGGCTTGAGGTAGCTTGTCGATTTGATGCTCGATTCGCTGTTGAGCAGCGCGTCGTGTACCCTCGGTGTAGATCGCTGGCTTGAGCCATCGAAAGACGAAATCCGAATTAATGCGGCCTTCGTCAAGAGCAATTGTGACCTCCTTGCCCCAAAGCTGCCGGTATACAAGCTCTCCCGTGACCTGGTCTTCCCACCATTCATATCCGATCTGGGTTTCGATGAACTGAAGTTGATTAGGCCAAACGATAATTCTAATTCCTGGCAGGATGTTGCCATCGACGCCGACCTTTGGATTGATCTTCTCACGGCTTTCCACAACCTTGAATGCGCTCTTCATGTAGGCAGTTCCCGCGTCGATCGCTATTATCACCTTATTGATACCACAAGGATTTCTAGGACAAAGGTCACCGACGGAGTTTATCGGTGGTGCTTGGGTCAAGGTGTTCCCCCCTCGACCCTGCCCATTGCCGGTTCTTTTCTGTACTTTGTGGGTGGATCGTGTCGTCGGAGAGTCCGTGAGGACGCAAGGAGTCCTCCTCCTAACGCAAGCCATGCATTTGGGCTTCTTGGGATTCTTTTCAAGAGAGCATGGTTTCTGCGACCGACGTTAAACGAGAAGATCTCCTTGGGCACGCCAACGGTAAACTCACGTTGCGAATTCTGCACTCTGAACATGCGACCATCGTGGGATCAGGCTTGTAGTGGGCGAAGTGTTGTAGGAGCTGGAACTCAGGGTATTGTAATAGCGGTGTGAGGGTGTATTACTTGGGCAGGAGACAAGTCTTCGCGGAGGGAGTTGTCATGGGGATATGATATTTTAAAATCAGGCCACCTGCTCCTAGATTCACCAGGTGGGCATCTGGAAACCCTGAGAAGCGCTCAGACGGTCAGCTGCTACGTCCAGGGGGAGAATGATAGGCCCTCCTTCGACATTATCACTCACACCCATGCAATGTTTCAGGAAATGATTGGTGGCGTCAAGCCTCTGAGCATAACGGGACTAGCTTGTGACGGTGTGACGAATTGTCGCCCCAATCTCAGCCAGATTGGGTCGAAGGCTGGGAATGCTCAAGAATAACTAATATATCAGGGAAGTCTCTGGGCCGAATTCTCGCGTTGTAAGAAAAAGTCGAATTCTTGCTCGCCAGATCACTCCGCAAAGCATGAATTCTCTACGGCCGTGGACCACACAGGAAACCAATGTCGCGTTTGCCTTGTTCGAAGAGTTGCGAGAAACCGACAAGGTTGTCAGACTTACGGAAATTGCGTGGAAGGTGAAGAGCTTCCTCGAGGTCATGGCCAGGGAGTCCGATACCACTGCCTTTTCCTATAGGCAAGTGTACAACAAACTCGTGTTCCAAGGCATGAAGATCTTTCCCAAGCCGAAAAAAGCGACAGAAGCCCTCCTCGAGTTCGGATTGTTTGCCAGCTTCTCTGAGTCCCAACGTGGTCAGATGAGGAAGGACCTTCAGGCCGCACGACAACTATTGAGGGGGTGTGCCGACGGCAACGACGGCAACCCATGCGAGGAGACTCTACCTGAAAGGGGAAGACAAGTTATCCACTTAGCTCTCATCATCAACTAACTTGCTCAGAATTCACTTCGACTTGCAACAGCGGCGTCTCTAAATGAAGCGCGATCAAGTGTCCACGTCGGATCCTGTCGAATCTCTGAAAAACCTAGCCTCACCCACAACCCTAGTTCAACCGAAGCGGCAATCGAACCGACGAGACGACACGATCCGTCGAATAAACGAAGAGGAAGAACACAACTGCAAGAAATGAGCTCGACGATCTCGAGGAGTCTGGCGGGCCGGAAGGCACGCCGCAGACGTTCGAGAGTACATTCGCTGGCGATCGACGGCAATGACTGTATGCGTCAAGACAACATAGTCGTCGAGATCCCAACATCGACGGCACGCGCGGCTACAATGACCTCGTCAAGTGATCCGATTCCTAGCCTCGGTCAACACGTGGACTTTCGTCAGCGCTTCGAGGAGGAGATTAACACGTTCGCAACGAGCCTCGTACATCGCGAGCCCAAATACGTCCCTTCACACCAAGAGGATGCACTGGCCATGGCCAGAATCGATTCCAGCTGCGAAACGGCGATCGATCATTGGATGCTGGCACAGTCGTTTGGTTGCGTCAAGGCAACAGATTTGACGGAAGGCGCAATCGAACTTTGCCAGCTTCTTGTCGGAGTGGACGGCTGCGAGGAGACTAGAAAGGTTCTCGAGACTCTCTCTGCGCATGAGAGTGTTTCCCCGAAAAATTTTCTCCGTGGATTATGCGCTGGAGCTATCACGCGATGGGTATATCTGGACACTAAGCCACAGCTCCCATCCGTCTGCCAATATCCGCAGTCGGATGTTTTGAGATCGGTTCTGGCTGGTAAGCCCTTGAACGTGTTGTCCGAGAGTCTTGCTTGGCTTCAGCTAATTCTTCGATTTCAATAGCTACACCGAATATATATCGGAGGCTTGTCGACGCTATGACCTTGGAATATCTTGAGAGACATTTTGCAACAACTATCCCAGCCTTGTCGAAAGAATTGACAAAGAGGCTCCATACCATTCTCACGAACTTCAGAGGTCTAAAGTCGGCAAACACCCTGACAGATCTATCCGACCACATCAATAACTTTCGTGTCTGGGAACGTTACATGGCGGATGCTTTTGAGGGGGCATTGAGACTACGATTGAATCATCTTCGCAGCCCCATGAAATACAACTACACTTTCCCGTCCAGCGGCCAACCATTCGTGGAAGACAAGATGATATCTCTATACTCGGAAGCGAGCAGACGGCGACCCCATCAAGTTTGGCTCTGCCTGAGTCCTCTGATTGAAAGCTGGAACGAGAGTATGGACTCCTCATCCCACGTGATAATATCTCCGGCGAGGGTGATCTCATCGTGATTCTGGGTGATACCACATCTATGTGCGAGTTCTCGACTTTGAGTTACACAACACCAGCCTTGGACACCGATTTCTATCATCACATGCACGCACGCTTCTCTATACTGTAGATTCGCAAATCTCGCTGGGTGTATTATGGGGGGATGAAGACTATTATCGCGATTCTTAGGTAATTCAAACCTCGAACTAGGAATTATGATAGTTCTGATTTGGAAACATAAACATTCGGGAACGTTGTCATGCTGTTGAAAGAACAGATCTAGATTGTCGAGCTTGTTTGAACGTTTCTCAAGGAGTGTCAGGTGAACCCACCTATGTCCTTAGGTACGGACAAAAATCCAATGTGTAAAAACCAGGCATCAGAATCGGCTGCGGCAAGCACTCGGCTTCGATTGAGGAGCCACCAAGGAGGCAGGTTCACGAGCCTGGGATATGCGTGAGAGCGCCTTACCACATCGCTAGAAGAACAATATTCACCGACTTTTCCCAGGCTTCCAATGGCCCCTTTAGGGAGTCCCTTTCTATCTCCCCTTCTTCCCCCTGCGTATTAGGTCGTGGCTTGATAGGGGCAAAGAAGGCCTGTCGGTCGAGGAGACCAGAACAGTGTCCTCGCAAGGAACAGTGCTGTCGTCTACAAGCTTTTGGTCGACAAGGCCCTCCTAGCAAGGATATTGTATGACATTAAGAAGCGGGAGATCCTCTATTGGATTTCGACCATCGCTCACGCTCGGGGAGGGAGGAAGTCGGCATGGACCCAGAGAGGGATTCACGCCAACACATCCAACCACCTACCCCTGGCAGTGCCCTAATGGCTAGAATTTCGGGTTGATCACGGCGGCCAACACGGTCACACAAAACCATCTCCGGTGGGCTTTGCTTGCGTGGTTGCCGCAGGGCTTGCCCACTACAACTCACTAACTCTCCAGCCTCCTGAATGCCACCAGTTGTGCCGTCTCAAAGCTAGGTCCAGTTTACAGGGGGCGAATACTTGACGCATTACTGCTGCATTAATATCATGGGCCGACAGCTCAGCTCGATTTTCCGACGCATGGTCGCATTCAGCCACAACAAACTAAATTTCTACTGGGATTCTAAGCCATATCTTGACGGTCACATACGTGGAAGTCTGCCCGAGCGTTGTTTCGAGTTTTACCTGACGATTCCTTGGCCTCCGCGTCTCCACTGCCACTATTTCTGCGTCAGGCGGCATCGCACACCGTTCCATTCTTCTACACAGGTCGAGAAGAAGACGTCAAACACATTCCAGTACACTTTCCTGCCCTCTCTCCTTCAAGCAGCCGCCAAATTATACCTCGCAACCCACTCGAGACGCACCCACAACCCAGCGCAGATACTCGACATGGAAGACGGCGAACACAAACAGAGTCAGATCGATGACAAGGGTGACAAGAACGAGAACAGCCGCAGGTCTCATTCGCTCCAGATGCTCGCCAACAAGCTCAAATGTGACGAAGAAAGTATCCCCGCTGTCATAGAGCAAGAGATAATTTCCTTGACGTCGTCGTATCTCGAGATAGAGGAAGATCGTTGGAGTCCACGTACGTTCCGAGTTCCCTCAACCCAGTGAGAGTCTGCGCTCACTAGAAATCAAACTAGATACGCAAGCCCGAGTCAATCTTCGTACGGAGAAGCTCCGCGACTTAGCTAAAGTCATTCGAAAACTCCTGGATGAAGCCCGGGCGTCCATGACACGAGCGGATAACATGGAGAAGCTCCGCGGCTTAGCTAATGCTATTCGAAAACTCCTGGATGAAGTCCGGGCGTCCATGACACGGGCGGATAACATGGAGAAGCTCCGCGACTTAGCTAATGCTATTCGAAAGCTCCTGGATGAAGCCTGGGCGTCCATGACACGAGCGGATAACAGGGAGAATGCTGATTCTGAAAGCTCCGGGGACATATAAAGACAAGATGTTGGTTTAAAGATATTGTTCGATGATATTTGACACGGCGGTCCTGAACTCAAGGCCCCAGGTTGGTCGAAGAAGACAAGACTCCAGTCGTCTTGAAGCTCGCAGCGATTGTGGGTATTCATGTACAGGATACAGATGGTCTTCGCCCTGTTTAGGTTGGCGACGCTTCAAACCACATTTGGTGTTGTGTCTCAATGCGCACTGATCCGAGTTGACGTGGCAGATGCATGAACCTGCGAACTCCACAGGTGATTCTTTGGAGCAAGCTGATCGTCAACCCGGGTTAACGGTCCACCATCCATTTTCCAAGAAACATTGATTGTTCCAGTTGGCACAAATGGCTAAAATAGATACCATATGTCTCAGCCTGGTATCTGCCAACACGGCATGTAGAGGTCGGTGTCAGACGGTCTGTGTGAACTTCATGAGACTTCATGTCTCGAGGGAAAAATATAGAGATCGTGCCGAGACTTTCTTGGAGGTCGGAAACGCTTGTGGACCTAGAGGGGCCGTCGGACTCCTGTACCGGCTACGATGGAATACCTAACACTGCTCTCCTATGAGAAACTGCCCACAGGATACACGGTGTTGGTCGTCCGAGCACTTCTTATCCCCAAACGCAGGACCGTTTAAGCGCATTACAGCCCTTTCAACTCGACCACAAATAGACTAGTGCCAAGACAAACGGTTTTGCGGAGTTTGTTGCACATTGATCTCGTCTTCACCCTTTTAATAGGAAAATATTCGGAATGCAAAGGTTGTACCTATCGCATCGTCTCTTCAACCCTTCTCCGAGGTACACACTTATCGGGAACCGCTGTGGCAACGTACCAGCACCAACGCCGCACCAACGCGACGTCGGCGTGTGCCCGGCTCAACGTTTCCCACCGCGGTCATAATCTTGTCTCCTCTCTTCCATATAATCGGACACCTGTGGAGGTCCACGCTTGGTTTCGCTAATGCTCTGTTTATTTGTGTTTCGCAGGCCAGCTTTGTGACGATGTCTTCCTCTCGGGCTGCCATCTCTGACTATCGTGCACACATCATGGTGCGAACATTTTTTTGCTCAATACTATGAGGATCAATGGCGAGGTTCCCGACACTATTGACATCTATGAGAAGCGTCTCTCAGTCTTCTCGCTGGCTCAAGCGGTTCTACATTTCCCGCGCTCAGAGTGTACAAATACTTGTTGTGTACGCAGCCAGTCACTGGTGAAGTTGCCTCACTCGCATCAGTCTGACCAATCACATGAGACCTTCTCAATTGTATGCCTTACACCTCAAGGCATTGGAAACTACACACAAAACTTGGAGGCCAGTTAATGAAATGATGGTCGGGACATGTCTTGTGTGTCCTAGCGTAGTACCATATTTTTCCACTCATCCTAGTCTCCTCTACACGTAAATTTGGTATGCCACGGGTTTTCAAGTCCCCCATCCGGTCATTTCCGTAGCGACACGAGAGAGTTTCGACGTCAGAACGAAGACATACCAGGCTTTACTTGATCGTATGATTAGGACCGAGGTGTGTCCTTGATTTTGGACATTTTCAACGGCGGTCTGAGGCATTGTTCCGGTATCGCACAACGCATTGGTGGGCAACATTAAATAGCGCTCCCGACTTGTGATAATTGGGTTCTATAAAAACTATGAATGATTCCCCGACGGCTTACCATATTATCTCCCTCTCGCGTAGGAGTATCAACGTCGGAGTAAGTCATATTGCTGATCCGTAGACCCCTAACTCCTCGATCAGCCTCACCTGGAAGAACACGGTATTTGGGGCTAAGATCAACAACTCAGTCGCGCTGCGTGAAAATGGGGAACGACTCCGTCATCCACCTTGTCATTTGGTGTTGAGGTATATAGAGCATGACTCGTGGTACGGAGGATATGAGGAATGGTATCGTGGCAACCAAGAACAGGGGTAGATACAATACCTTTGCTGGCGCACGAGAGTGGCGGCACGCCTTGTGGAGAGCCCGCGTTACCCCTAACGTGAACTGGAATCCCCAGTACCAGGAAAAGAACGCGGTGATCGTGAGAAGTCTTCTTTCGCCACGAGGAGACTTCCTTACGTGTTATCTCGACGGCACCCAACAATTACAGTTCTGCGTAGTTCACAACTCGTAGAGCGCTCCTCGTCGTCGTGTTCGGATTACCATTTAATCCATGCCCAGCACGAAGTTAGATACCAACAGCGGACGTCTGATGATGAGAAACACGGTCCGCGAGACGGTGTCTATTCGATTCAATCAAGGTCACTATCACCGGTCATGGAAGCCCAACCATCGTACAAAGGTGACGCTAATATGTCGTTCACAAACGCGACACTAGAGCTTAGCGGATAGGATTATATCGTTATTGCCATCGCCCTTCTCAAAGTTGTGGTTCACTGGCTCGTCCATTACAACGTAAATGCCAAAGATACTATAAAATCTGGCAAGACTATAGCACTCCAAAATCTCTACAGCTGTCGGCGAGCACTGAGCACTCCGTAAACACTCCGGAGGTTCTGTTGGAAGCTTTTAGTCCTCTCCTTCATCGACAATATTAATTCTCGTCAACTTTGGACGCTGAGACCCATTTGCGATGCTACGGGATCCCTGGTCTCCGTCTCTAATATGATCTCCCTACTTGGTAAGCTACCCCCACGATTAGGATGCTCGTGCCCGATGGTTCACGGACCGATGGTTTGGCAAGCTTTCCTTGGTATTAGTTAGGGTATTTTGAGAAGCGTCAAGTTTATGCGTTCTATCTCCACTTATCGCATGTGGGGAGCAGGCTTTCCTTCCTGATGCCTCTCCAACACAGTGGATAACTATGATTTGACCCCCTATAGCTGTCTCTTATGAGTTGGCTCGCAGCCTATGTTGCTATGTCTACCGGTGGCCCGAGGAGCCTCTCACAAATGGTATGATATGATTACCCCAATCACATTCTTCTTTTTTCTCTGCTGGTGTGTGAGTACAGGATCCATTGGTTCAGAAATTGATCGGTCCTCCTCCTGAATTGAACGTGTTAGCAACGAAGCTCTTCCCACTTCCCGTCATAGAGGTCCCAGAGATCGTGTTGCACTGGTGAAACCCGCCTCCGCTTGGGTAGGAATGATGTTCTGTTCCCCCGGTGCTTGTGCCTGGCTGTCCCTTGTTATCCTGTTCGTTCACTACCCACCGGCTTAGAAATGCCTTCATACAAGCCGCAGCAGTCGCCGCTGCATACCTCTGCCACCTCTTGTTCTTATGGCTGTCTGCATAGTCACAGACTCCTTTGATCACCACCGTCGGGAAATGTTCCCACACTCCAGCTCCTTCCATCTCGAACCCAATCACGCCCTCCTTCTCCGCAATTGTGTCTCGGTGGTAGCCTGACTTCATCACTTGGTCTCCTGACGCGATACGCCCGAAATGGATAACCGGCTGTGGTGCATCAGCAGCATCTATAGGGTTACTTTGCGACTGGACTACCTCTATGCGAGCACGTTGAACCCGCCTTCTCTCGTCGCACCCTAGCTCCGTGCAAGATGCCTCGAGCGCAGCCGGACAGACCGGATCATCCTTACTATCGGATTTGGCGCAAACGGTACAGAAGGCTGGATTTTGATGCTTATGGATATAGGTCGATTCGTAGAGTTTGTCTTCCTCGGATCCGGGATATTTCGATTGCTCGAACCCCTCCTTACTGCATAACTCTGCCAGATAGACGCTTGTCTTCTCTCTCAGCCACTTCCGACCTGGAGCCCCTTGTAGCTTGTTAAGAAACGAGCGGATCTCCAGGTTCGGCCGGCCCAGTTTGTCCTCCAGTGTGTCCTTTGGGATCACTCGATCAGGATATTGGCGTCCAAAATCATGCTGCACAAGGCCAGTACTCATGATTACGTCGCCGAGGATGATCTCTCCATGCTTCGTTCTTGGGACGCCGCCACAGACTCCTACCACCAGACCCAGCTTGATCCCCGAAAAGCTGGAACAGATGCCAGCTGCCACAAAGGCCGCATCAGCTTTGCCCATGCCGGGCATATGCGCCAGCACCACATTATGATTACCGACTCGTCCCCTCGTGTAGGCATTTGGATCACCAGCGGCCTTCCTGAAAGACTGGTCGTCTTCCCAGACCTCGTCGAATAACGCTTGGACGGCGTCCGACTCGATGGGCGAGGCACAGATGACTGTAATCTCGAACTCGCTACGATCTCGGGGTCGTTCGGCCATCTGGCATTTCGGAGTCTCCACACAGTTGCGGAGGATGGTGTGCTTTTCCAACTACTCCCACGTCTGATCGTCCCGAGCCGGGACCTAAAATGTTTAAATGTTGACGTTACACCTTTAGCTCTTCCAACGATTCATCGATCCAACGTCCTGCTAACAAGCAAAATCATGGAACTTTAGAACTCTCTATACATCACAACGATATGGCTACTAACATACAGCATTGAGATGTGAGGTCTGGCGCAGAGCGGGGTAACCACGTGCGCGAACCCCACTCCAGCTGAACTTGCGCAGGCAACAGCTACTAGAGCACATTCAAGGCTTCATCGGCTGCGGCGGGCATGTTGATCCCCAAACTGACAACACTCGTTAAGTTTCTGTGAAAATCTCCCTGTGATCTAATCTGCTGATACAATGCAGGCGTCGGCTAGTCACCAGGAGAATGTCCTCCAGAGCACCACCAACAGTGGAAGTGGCAACTTGTTCGCCGCGAACTCCTTTAACACTGGCGGTGGATCCATTACCTTTGGTACGGACTCGCGAGGCGCATAGCCATCCTTGCCGCTATATGGTCCGCTTTGGCTAACTAGGCGCGTGTAGTGACAGGCCATGAGCGGAAGGAACTCGAGGACCGGTGCCTTCGCGGACTATTTCAAACGAATCCCCTTGACGACTTGAGGAGCATTCAGAAGGCCAAAAGCAAGCTCGAAGGGACGTGCGAGTGGCTCCTTCTCCGGGAAGAATACAAAAACTGGGTGAGCGGCGACGGACCCTGGCTTCTCCAGCTGGAAGGTGCTCCAGGTATCGGAAAAACTGTGCTAGCAACTTTCCTTGTCAACGAGTTAACCAGGCGGGCTGAAACAACTCCCGACATGACGTTTGCGTATTTCTTCTGTGACAACAAACATGAAGCCCGAAAGACTGCGACATCGATTCTCCGGGGGCTGATTTGGCAACTACTGAGGCGACACGAAGATCTATTCGAGCACATTTTATTGGATTTCAAGTCCCAAAAGGATCGTCTTTTCGAGAACTTTGAAGCCCTCTGGCGAATCCTATCAAACATGTTACGTGATCCGAAGTCTGGCCATGTGTTCCTCCTCATTGACGCCCTCGACGAGTGCGAAGAAAAGTCGCGAGAGGGGCTGATTGACAGTCTCGAATTATTGGCAAACGAGGCGTCCGACGACTGCAAGGTTCTCATAATATCCCGACCTGGGCATGACAAGAGAAACAAATTGGACGAGATTTCGACATGCATCCGCGTGGACACTGGGAAAATCAATCAAGATCTTTCCAACTTCATTTCATCCAGAGTTGAGGATATCTCTCGGCGGAAAAATTGGCTTCCTACTTTAAAAGAAGACGTCCAAATGGTTCTTAATGAAAAAGCTCAGGGAACGTTTCTTTGGGTTTCCCTCGTCGTTAAAGATCTTGAACGAACAAAGAAGCACGAGGTCCGACAAAAGCTGGAAGCGCTCCCCACCGGCCTCAACGAAATGTACGACAGAATCTTGTCCGGGATTGGGTCCAAGCAAGCTCAGGATGCCCTGTTCGTGTTACAGTGCATTATAGCCGCAAGACGCCCTCTGACCACAAGCGAACTTGCTACGGCCTTTATATTGGGAGCCCGCGAATCAAAAGCAAACGAACTGCCTTCAGAAGACAAGGTGGACGAGTTCCGCGAAATTCACACCATTTGTGGGGATATCGTCTATCTCGATGTAGATAATAAGACTGTCAATCTCATTCACCAATCAGCAAAGGACTATCTTCTGACAGACAAAAGCAAACCAAGGGAAACACAAAGGCAATATGCGGTCGTTCATGACTCTGCCAATTGCCTCCTATTTCGGGTTTGCTGGGCATACCTAAGCATGAAAGAATTTGATCACGGAAACGAGATTATTGGTCGAGATTCAGATAATGAACTTTATCCACAATTCTTTGCGAAAGATATGAAAAAAAAATACAGTTTTCTTCAATACGCCTCCGAGGAATGGACAGAGCATGCTGTGGCAGCTTACCCGGCTATAGTCGAGAATCTTGTGGGATTCGACTGGTCCGTTTTGGATGACACGCCAAACTTACGCGATGCCTGGTTAATCGAAGCCTCAGAAATGGGACAAATCGAAGTAGTAGAACAACTACTTAACAAGGGCGCTGATCTTGAGTCTAAAGATGTGAGTGGCTGCACGCCGCTGTCGCTGGCCGCAGATCAGGGAAATCAGGTGGTAGTACAGCTACTCCTCGAGAAGAGCGCTGATCTTGAGGTTAAAGAACACAGTCGCAATCAAACACCGCTAGCGCTGGCCGTAGAGAACGGACACCAGGCGGTAGTGCAGCTACTTCTCGAGAAGGGTGCTGAGCTCGAGGCTAAGGATAATATGGGGCGGACGGCGCTATGGTTAGCCGTACAGAAAGGACACCAGAAAGAAGTAAGGCTACTCCTCGAGAAGGGTGCTGAGCTCGAGGCTAAGGATAGACGGGGCTGTACGGCGTTATCGTGGGCCGCACAGAATGGACATATGGAGGTAGTAAAGCTACTCCTCGGGAAAGGTGCTGGGCTCGAGATTAAGGATATATGGGGCGGGACACCGCTATTTTTTGCCGTGGTGCGTAAACACGAGGAAGTAGTAAGGCTACTCCTCGAGAAGGGCGCTGAGCTCGAGGCTAAGGATAATGATCGCCAGACAGCGCTATCGTTAGCCGCGAGAAACGGATACGAGGAGGTAGTAG